AGGAGGGAAGGCAAGGGGAGTCAACAGGTATAGATTCATTGTATTGTGCGTCGTTTGCAGCACATACGCCTAGTTTTGCAGCAGGGAAAAGGGTGGTGAAGGAATTCAGAGTAATGTTGCACATGTTGGCGTGCCCATGTGGAGCTTAGTGTTGCGGGGTGACATGGTGATGCATATTTTGATGCTGTCGTGTCGCCATGTGCATGGCACCGAGACGTGCGAGAGGTGGGATGGGCAGTCTGGATGGACGACATGGAAGTGACGATGGTGTCGAGTCGGCAGCCGCTGTTGTACGTACACGGGTACGTGGTGTCGGGTAGTCTTGCAGAAAACGCACAAGTGGCAGAGGCATGACGTCTGGACCAGGCAAAACCGGAAGCCAACCGGGGCGGTACCTGCATACATAATACATGTATGTACATGGCAATCTGGACCAAGAAGCTGGAAAAGGCGGTGCGAAATGGAAGAAGTGGAAGCCTGGGGGGGGGGGCGCGCGGGAAAGAAGAGAAGAAGACGAGAAAAAGGAAAAAAAAAAAATCTTACCAGGACGGGTCTATCGGTCCGGGGTGTGCTGTACGTACCTTCTCTGCAAGCGCTCTTTGTGCCCGGAGGCCTGAGCGACGACGGGAGGTCCCTGACTGCTCAGGATGGGATGTGATGCCAGTGCGACTGCGGCAGGATGCACTCGAGCAGTGAGTATCCGTCGAAACGGAAACGGAGACGAGACCAGACGAGACGAGACGAGGCGAGGCGAGGCGAGGCGAATCGAGAGGCAGTGAGAGATGGCGGGCAATTAGGGGCTTCGGCAGCATGTACATGGTCTGGCACTGTGCATGAGATGCGGGCTTGACGTAGCGGTGCCAAAGCTGAGGCCTGAGGCCTGACGAGTTGATTTGCACGGCATGAGAGGCGTGTGTATATTTATTTTTCATTTCTTATTACTTTTTTCTTGAACGTTGGAGCCGGTTTTTTTTTTTTAATATCCCCTCTGGTGGTTGAGGGTGGGCTTGGGTTGAGGTGCATCTCATGTCTTGGTTTGCGGGTGGTGGTTGGCGGTGGCGGTGGCGGTGGCTGTGGCTTCCTGGGGAGCGGCGACGGGTCATTGGGCTCTGGGGACGTTGGGGGTGGGGGGATCGGATGCGCACACGCATTCTTGAGACATTGAAGCTGTGTCTGGGTGAATTTTTAATTTTTTTTTTTTTTCGTCGTCATTGCTGCTCTCGGCTTGCTTGCTTGGTGCCTGGTGCTTTGTGGCGATTGCAGATTGCAAGGGCGGTCACGGTGCAGGTACGTACTCTGTACGGGGGGTTTGTTATGTTGCAACTCGTCGTGGACTCGTGGCGGCGGTCCTTTGGCGGGCTTGAAAGTTGTTCCATGAATGTAGCGTGGCGGGCGGCTGCAAAGCAATCTTGCATGTTTGTTTGTTGGTTTCGTCGGTTTGCGACTTGCGTGGTTGTGGTGTGTGCTGCGCTGTGCTGTGCTGTGCTGTGCTGTGCTGTGCTGTGCTGTGCTGTGTTGTGTTGGGTTCTCCTTGTTCCCGCCTCCGGCTTGGCTCGTCGCCGGTAAAGGCGGTGTGGTGTGTCTGGCCGAGATGCGGCGTGTTTGCGTGGCGATTCTCGAGCCTTGACAAGCTTCGAAGAGGACGCGGCCGGTGTTTGGGCTTGCAGCCACGGCTAGTTTCCCCGCCGGCGGCATGATTTGTCACTATTCCCGGGCCGCGAGTCGGTCTGATGATGGCCACTGCGTCGTGGGTGGCGGCGATGCAGACTTGACGTCTCGGCAGGCAGGCAGGCAGGCAAGCAAGGCTTTCCGGCAACGACGACCTGCCTTGGAGGAGGCCCTTTTTTCAGTATTGCCTGCTTCTGTCCTGTAGCGCCGACATGTATCGTGTCATACGGAAAAAGACTTTTGGTCCCCGCCTGCAGGGCCCCATGGCGATCCCGCTGTTCAGATCTACACGCATGCCGGCCTGGTAAAACGTGCGAATTTGTAGACGGGCCGTGTGTTTGCAGTGAGTCGGCCAGCATATCCGCAAAGCGGTCACTTTGCCTCCTCTCCAAGTTGCCGACTTTAGACTGTATCCTCACCGCCCAAACAATCCGAGCCAAGTCGAAAAAGGTGGTTGCTTCTGTCCCAAACTCCTGCAGGCCACCAGGCAAGTCACTGCAGCTCGACAGAATCTAGCCACGCAACGGAGACGTGCACCAGAGTAGCCCTGACCTGAGAAGATGAGAGACGGCTCATCCGGGACCATTCTGATCACCTCGCCGAGGGGAAATCGCCGCGCTTGGCCATCTAAACACAAGGAATACGCCTCTCTGCCATGGGAACGTGTTGAAAGAAAGCGATTAGTGTCTCCCCTTGAGACATGCGAAGTCAGCCCACACGCTGCCATGCGAATGAAGCACACCGCTTCCTCTCGCTTGTTGCGCTATGCCATTGTTCCATCCGCAGGCTCCCTTTCAACAGATGCCGCCGGCAGTTTTCACAGGAAACCACGATGCATCGGCAATTGGCCCGCGCTATGGGCTGATCGGTATTCCATCTCATCGACCGGTTAGCTAGAAGAACCATTACAACACACGGGCTTACCATTACATTGGACCTAGAACATCCCAAGCGGACATGTATATATTCCACCCATGCGCCCTATTCTCGGAAGCGGTGAAGCATTTTGACCCGGTCTGGAACACACCAGAACCGCCCGGCGACCACCAGTGACGACATGGCGTCGATGTTATCCTGTCCTGCTGCTTCATCCGCGCCTAGGACAACTCAAACAGGCACTGTTTTGCAAGACCAGCTCGCCAGTCGTACGTGAGAAGGTTTGGAACTGTTGACAACTTGTTTCGTCAAAATACCAGTTGCTTGCTCACTGCTCACGTTGTCTTTTCAGGAGCAGCCTCTGTGTCGTGTGCCTCTCCGGAGCCATCCCCGAGACGGGAAAAAACACCATTACCCTTGACATGGAAATCGTGGGCTATCACAATCCATAAGCGGAGAGTTGGACGGCGTGTCCACGCTGTTTTGACAGCAAGGGCTGTACGTGCTGATTGTGATGTTGCGACTGGCATGTCAAGACTGGAATAAGCACACTGAGTACCTTCCTTTGCTCCTCGCCGGCTGGCCGTGCCGGGACTCTGTTGACGGTGGTCCTTGGCTTTGGTAGCTTCTGGCCACACGATTGCTGCTCTTGGTCTCGGCGTATCAGTTCGGGAGTGTATCAGTCAGACGGAGTACGAGCATGATGGTCAAAGGGGCAGATGAAGCCATGACTCGGTGGTGCGCCGGGGGCTTGCTTGCACGTGTCTGCGGAGCCGTGGAGATGCCAAGGCACGACAATAACGATTCAGGAGCGTGGATGGGCCACGATTTCTGCGAAAGCTAAAGTGCTTTGCCTTTGTTCAGCCAAAGTCGCATGTCTGTTGTTCGTTGGATTGCGTAACACTGGAAGGCGCGAGTGACAAGTTGACGTCTTTCTTGCCTTGCTTGTCTCGGCCAACCATGCCCCACTGCATGGGAGATGGAGTCATGACAACTCGTCCCGATCGATCGGCCGAAGTGCGTACTTCTACTTCAGGTCTTGTCCGAGGGTTCCTTGATCCGTGGAAATGGCCGAGTGCTTTGTCTCCCGCACAACCCTGGCGCTTTTCCATCTTGAGCAAGCGTGCCGGAGATGCGTCGGCAATGTGCGTGGTGGGAAACGACGGTGGTAGGCAGGCTTTTGGATGGAGGCCTCGCTTGCATGAATTGACCATGTCGAGGACAGATGCCGGTCTAGATTTTACCGCACCGAAAAAGCTTATTCGATTCAATTTCATGCAGGGACCTGCCGCGATCGTATAATTATGCAATCCGACCAGCCGCGCGGCAACATCCAAGCTATTTCCTGCAAACACTGGATGCATTGATGCGCGGCGTCCGATGGTCGGCATTGACGAGAGGAGATGCTCCCGGAAAGGCAGAAAGGCACACTTGGGAGCTCAGTGTCGGGAGGTGACCTGCAAAGCTGCCACGTCAGCCGCGGAGTCGCCCACTCCTGAGGAGGAGGCAGATTCATCAAAACGACGATGCATCTCCAAAAGTAAGCTTGATTCGGTCTTGGCGGCTGGTAGCGTGGCCCGGACCCGCCGTCCGAAGACGACCGGCATCCGGGCTCGGGACGTCTCGAAGCAACGGCGGCACGTCTCGGCGAAGCTTCGTGGAAACGCCAAGTCATGCTCTTCCTGGCAATAATCTTTGACTGGCCCAAGACTGATCGGCTGTGTCACTCTCAGCGAAAAACTTCCAGGGTCCGAGTCGTATTCTTGTCAGGAGCGGTCAGGTGCGCAATGAATGCTGGACAGACACGTTAATGTCTTAATGCGCATGGAGTTGCTGTATACTCGAGACTGGCGACATGGTCATTTTGAGGCATTTTGGGTGGGCTGGGCCAATTAAACCGTTACCGTCTCAGCGTTTCACGGAAATGATCCGATTCATGCAAGTCATGATGCTCATGGACGTGACTTGACGTTCTGGTCGCCGCCGACGTAAGTTCAAGTACATGAAGCAGCCAGAGGGCCGAGAATAGTTCTGATTCCGCATCTAGATATTCACTCAACATCTCGGCGCACAAAGACTTCGACGCTCAACTCAATACGCTTTAGAATCTTCACCAAGGATACTTTTTCGGCTCAACATTAAATCATGAAGCTATGATCCGTTTCTGTCCTGGCTGCTGCTGCGTCGCTTGCCGCGGCGTCGCCTGCCACCGAGGGGCTCAGGAGGCCCACTAAGCCGGGATATGAGCAGATAGCCGGTGGTGTAGGTGGCCCCCGAAACGCAGTATATCCGGTTGACCAGCCACATTCTAAAGCGTCATCGGGTGAGGTACGGAGTAGTCGGCCAAGCTCATGGAGAACGGACTCCGCAGCCTAGCAGCGCGCCAGGGCGGAGTGGTCTATTGTCACTTTGTAAGCAGCTGAAACAGAACAAGACGTGCAATTCAAAATGTGCTCATGTCGCAACAGGAAGGAGCTTATCGAGTCTTTTGCGTGGCAACGGTACGAAACATTGATACTCGCTGCTTTTTTACACTACTGACCTGATGATCCCCAGAGAATACCCTCCAAGTTCAAGGTAAGACGTTCCACACAAACGGCAGCTTCATATAACTACACTACTCTAACGAAAATCTTTAGCTGAGAAAGAATGAAGTAAGACGTCTCATCAAAGGCAATTTTATTCCACTACTAAGACGCTCGGCCTCTAGTTTTCTCTTCAAGATTTGAAGGATAAATTCAGTCACTTTGGGGTAAGTAGCCTCCCTGTCAAATCGAGCGCAAGCAGGCATATTCACAGCAGGATGTTTTACAGGCCGAGAACTGCACTATAGCCCGCGATGTGCAAGAAGCAGATCAGCACCGCCACAGGCCCATAGTGAGTGGCCTCCCACCAAGGCCGTCTAGAACGTGTATTTGCGCTGACCATCTCAGGGCTATGCTGTCTGTAGTCTTAAAACTCGAGTTCCGGACAACGTGAGGTCCAACCCTCGCGAAATCTAGAAGCATGGCGATGCGCCCGGTCTGCGTCATGGTGGACTCGTCGCCGGATCAGTCCCAAGCCTTGACGCAGCGACAATATTTGCGCCGGCATTGCTCCTCTCTGGCTTGATAGAAAACGATTAGAGTGAATACAGAAGACTTGCCGAGTTCGGCGGTCGAAAGTGTCACGCTTGACTTTGGATCTCGAACCTTTCGACGCGCCCTCCGAGCCGTGCCTCGCCCGGGCGCGCGCCCTCGTCGCGCATACCTTGGACTGTCTTGTCTAGCCGTCCTCAGGTCGCCAGGTGCAAGTGCGCAGGCAGGTCAGCAGCGCCGGGTGGGCGTGGGTTTGGGCCTCATCCCCCCGGGAAAACAAAGGGGGGCAAGCAAGCTGGCAACAGGACAAAATGACGGCCCGGGTCTGTGCGACGTTTCTTCATCTGCCCGCGTTTTGTGGTTGTGGTTGTGTTTGCCAGCCCAGCCCAGCCCAGCCCAGGCAGAGGCAAAACAGGCTCGCAATCAACGACGCCCGCGCATCGTTGCACACAAGCAACAAGCACTCACAGTCTCACACCCTCCCAGCAAAGCATAGCGGTAAGAGCCCAAGTTTCCAATCTTGGACTTGATTGGCTGGAAGAGGAACGCTTGAAACGCAATGGTTGCGAGGCCAGCGGCGCTAAGGCTGAAGCCGATTTTTTGAGGACTCAAATCGCGACCGGCTGGTGCGGGGGCGGACGCAAAGATGGGATAAAGACTGTTGAAACTAATGTTGGAGAGTTGGAAAACGAGGTATGTGGCGAGAAGGATGACGGTGGTACGGTTGAGTAGGTCTTTCCAGACAGGACGGCCATTGAAACCATTGTCCTTGACGCCGTTGCCATCATTTTCGGTACGTTCTTGGTCAATTGACGATGACGTCGATGAGCTTGACGACAGAAGCGGCTGCTGTGATGCTGAAGCCTCTGCCAAGCGCGAACTCCAAGATTCTCTACGGTCAGAGGGCTTATTGGAGCCGTCGACGCACGCAACAAGACGGCTGATCCAAGCCGGCCTCCAGGGGCTCCTGCCTGACTCGTCGAGCGTCTCCTCGAACCAGATGCCAACGACGACGATGCTCGCAGCGAGCATCGCTGCACCGACAAGGTTGGGCCCGAGATAGGGATATTCTGACCCCATCTTGTTGACCAGAATACCCCCCAGCGCGGGACCGGTAATGCTGCCCAGCGAGTATATGACAGGCAAATAGGTGAATGCCCTGGTCTGATTCGACCGGTCAGTAACTTCGCCCAGGACGGTTGGAACACAGGCCGCGTTGCCATTGAGCATGCCCATGAGCGCGTGTACAACCACCATCTGCCAGTACTCCTTGCAGAGGCCAATGCACGCACCTCTTTTCAGAAGCAGCAACAGTCGGTCCCTCCCACTTCGGCCGCGGAGAGTCTGGTGAGAACAAGACAGGAGTATCGTCAAGGGAGTCTGATATTCGACTTGACTGGCCGTCGGGGCCACTGGCATGCCGCACCGAAGCGTGGTTGATGGGCCAGAAGCCTATTTCGCAAGTCCGCCGGCACTATCTCGCCGCATGTTACGGCTTTGTCAACGTCAAAAGGCCTCGCCGGCTGGGGGCTTCAGCTTGGCTGCTAAAGCTCTGCCACTCCGCAAGGCTACGTCGTGAAGGGGCACAGCACGGGACTGCCAAGAAGAAGACAGAGACGAGCCCACGTTGGCCACACCAGGGCTCAAACAGCAAGCTAACGAGAGACAGCTGAAGAGATGACTGACGGTTGTCACGACCCAGATTCACACCCTCGCGCTTGTCACCGCGTCTTTTGTCAGGCACCGGCTCCATGCCCTCGTCCAGATACTCGAACACGATAACCCGCCGAGTGAGCGCTTGAAGTCGAAATACCAGCCCATTGAAATTCAAAGCGGCCGTCAATGCCGAGAGCCGCCGGAGCTTGCTGTTGAACTTGCTCCCACTGGTGACGACCGCCGTCTGCGTGCTCAATCACCCTGGTTTCTCCCAGGATACCGGACAAGATATCATCTCGCGGCACCTGTGACGTAGCCGCGCTGTGTACCACGTACAACACGTTGGCTTCAACATGTATGCAGGCCGCCGAGTTGTGTAACACTACAGTCACTCAAAGAGCCGGCCGTCGAAATCTCTGGCTTGGAGACTCCTCGAGGGGAAGTTGGCGGGAGAATGGGGCATAGTCGACCCCAGGGGCAGCCGTTGAGGACGTGTGTCCGTTATCGGGTTGTGATCCTGTACGAGCAGATGGTTGTTGTTCCGTCGCTGTTTCTACTTCCGTGAGAAGCACAATGTCCACGATGCTGAAATGCCAAACGCATCCGGAGACAGCTACGATTGTTGAAAGTGCGCCAATAACCAATCCTTTCAGCAACAAAGTGAGTGTCCACCAAGCAGCCAGTCCAGCCCAGCTAGATATTGCCAAGAAATATCACGCCACAAGTCACAATTGGGCCAGGCATTTCGTCTAGGTAGCTCTCGCATGAGGGCCCTTGAATTACCAGAGTCTTGTAGGGTCGAAGAAAATGCCACCCAAGGCCATCATGCGACGTTCTTAGAAGCAGGGAGCCGCAAACCTTCTCATACTACCTGTTACATGATGGAATGGTCTGCCTGATTTCGCGCGTGCTGTGATGCTGTGATGGGCGTCGCATCAAGTCATCGTGCCGGGAGCAGCAGTAGCGTGTGATGACTCGAGCAAGAATAACCGCCAGGTAGCCCAGGGGAGGGGTCCTGCGCTCCCGCTAGACGGCCGTGCGAGTCGCTCCAAGGCATGGGTTGAGCAATGCGCATGAAGTGCCAGGGAAGCCTAGATGGCGGCCGGGAAGCAAGCAAGGTGAGGGATGCCGTTGTTCCACTCGACTCAAGCGGAAAAGTTGGCCCTCTTTTTGTCCCGCAGTTTTTCGGGGTTTCCCTGAAAAGTGGCTTGTCCCTTATTTCTCCTTTTAGCTGATCGAGCTGCCATGTGTGTGTGTCTGCGCGTTGGTGCTGCTCCCCGTGTTGCGTCTCGCGTCTTGCGTCCCTCTATGCGTCCGTGTGATTTGCACATGTTGATGGTCCCTGGAGCATCGCCATTTGCGAGCGTCTCAGTGTGGTCCTGCGCTGGCTTGCTCTATTCCAGAGAAGCCATCTTGTCTAGTTTCGTCCAGAGCCCGGACAACGTGGGCTGCTGGGGAGTCGGGACTCTCGTGGCTCGCGCGTAGCTGGAACTGCCTGCCTAGGGCTCAAGGACGGCACCCGTCTCCGTGTTTATCCCAGGAAAGGAATCAACTTCAGGGAGAGTCATGCTGGAAAAGCCGCCCCGCCGAGTCAGGACGCCAGGACGCCGCCGCCGTCCACCGGGCACATCTAGGGGGGCGGCGGCATCGATTGCTAGTCTAATTGTGCGAATGAGCGGGTCGGTGCTGTCCGTTTTTGTTCTTGATCCGAACCGTTGCTGCAACCAAGACGCGACGTTGTTGGCCGTCGTCTTGCGCCAGGACGTTTCATCACGGGGCTTCAGGCGCAGCGTTCGCGGAGCTCTGGGCGCAATGCTGTCTTCTCAACAACGTCGATGAGCTTGACGACAGAAGCGGCTGCTGTGATGCTGAAGCCTCTGCCAAGCGCGAACTCCAAGATTCTCTACGGTCAGAGGGCTTATTGGAGCCGTCGACGCACGCAACAAGACGGCTGATCCAAGCCGGCCTCCAGGGGCTCCTGCCTGACTCGTCGAGCGTCTCCTCGAACCAGATGCCAACGACGACGATGCTCGCAGCGAGCATCGCTGCACCGACAAGGTTGGGCCCGAGATAGGGATATTCTGACCCCATCTTGTTGACCAGAATACCCCCCAGCGCGGGACCGGTAATGCTGCCCAGCGAGTATATGACAGGCAAATAGGTGAATGCCCTGGTCTGATTCGACCGGTCAGTAACTTCGCCCAGGACGGTTGGAACACAGGCCGCGTTGCCATTGAGCATGCCCATGAGCGCGTGTACAACCACCATCTGCCAGTACTCCTTGCAGAGGCCAATGCACGCACCTCTTTTCAGAAGCAGCAACAGTCGGTCCCTCCCACTTCGGCCGCGGAGAGTCTGGTGAGAACAAGACAGGAGTATCGTCAAGGGAGTCTGATATTCGACTTGACTGGCCGTCGGGGCCACTGGCATGCCGCACCGAAGCGTGGTTGATGGGCCAGAAGCCTATTTCGCAAGTCCGCCGGCACTATCTCGCCGCATGTTACGGCTTTGTCAACGTCAAAAGGCCTCGCCGGCTGGGGGCTTCAGCTTGGCTGCTAAAGCTCTGCCACTCCGCAAGGCTACGTCGTGAAGGGGCACAGCACGGGACTGCCAAGAAGAAGACAGAGACGAGCCCACGTTGGCCACACCAGGGCTCAAACAGCAAGCTAACGAGAGACAGCTGAAGAGATGACTGACGGTTGTCACGACCCAGATTCACACCCTCGCGCTTGTCACCGCGTCTTTTGTCAGGCACCGGCTCCATGCCCTCGTCCAGATACTCGAACACGATAACCCGCCGAGTGAGCGCTTGAAGTCGAAATACCAGCCCATTGAAATTCAAAGCGGCCGTCAATGCCGAGAGCCGCCGGAGCTTGCTGTTGAACTTGCTCCCACTGGTGACGACCGCCGTCTGCGTGCTCAATCACCCTGGTTTCTCCCAGGATACCGGACAAGATATCATCTCGCGGCACCTGTGACGTAGCCGCGCTGTGTACCACGTACAACACGTTGGCTTCAACATGTATGCAGGCCGCCGAGTTGTGTAACACTACAGTCACTCAAAGAGCCGGCCGTCGAAATCTCTGGCTTGGAGACTCCTCGAGGGGAAGTTGGCGGGAGAATGGGGCATAGTCGACCCCAGGGGCAGCCGTTGAGGACGTGTGTCCGTTATCGGGTTGTGATCCTGTACGAGCAGATGGTTGTTGTTCCGTCGCTGTTTCTACTTCCGTGAGAAGCACAATGTCCACGATGCTGAAATGCCAAACGCATCCGGAGACAGCTACGATTGTTGAAAGTGCGCCAATAACCAATCCTTTCAGCAACAAAGTGAGTGTCCACCAAGCAGCCAGTCCAGCCCAGCTAGATATTGCCAAGAAATATCACGCCACAAGTCACAATTGGGCCAGGCATTTCGTCTAGGTAGCTCTCGCATGAGGGCCCTTGAATTACCAGAGTCTTGTAGGGTCGAAGAAAATGCCACCCAAGGCCATCATGCGACGTTCTTAGAAGCAGGGAGCCGCAAACCTTCTCATACTACCTGTTACATGATGGAATGGTCTGCCTGATTTCGCGCGTGCTGTGATGCTGTGATGGGCGTCGCATCAAGTCATCGTGCCGGGAGCAGCAGTAGCGTGTGATGACTCGAGCAAGAATAACCGCCAGGTAGCCCAGGGGAGGGGTCCTGCGCTCCCGCTAGACGGCCGTGCGAGTCGCTCCAAGGCATGGGTTGAGCAATGCGCATGAAGTGCCAGGGAAGCCTAGATGGCGGCCGGGAAGCAAGCAAGGTGAGGGATGCCGTTGTTCCACTCGACTCAAGCGGAAAAGTTGGCCCTCTTTTTGTCCCGCAGTTTTTCGGGGTTTCCCTGAAAAGTGGCTTGTCCCTTATTTCTCCTTTTAGCTGATCGAGCTGCCATGTGTGTGTGTCTGCGCGTTGGTGCTGCTCCCCGTGTTGCGTCTCGCGTCTTGCGTCCCTCTATGCGTCCGTGTGATTTGCACATGTTGATGGTCCCTGGAGCATCGCCATTTGCGAGCGTCTCAGTGTGGTCCTGCGCTGGCTTGCTCTATTCCAGAGAAGCCATCTTGTCTAGTTTCGTCCAGAGCCCGGACAACGTGGGCTGCTGGGGAGTCGGGACTCTCGTGGCTCGCGCGTAGCTGGAACTGCCTGCCTAGGGCTCAAGGACGGCACCCGTCTCCGTGTTTATCCCAGGAAAGGAATCAACTTCAGGGAGAGTCATGCTGGAAAAGCCGCCCCGCCGAGTCAGGACGCCAGGACGCCGCCGCCGTCCACCGGGCACATCTAGGGGGGCGGCGGCATCGATTGCTAGTCTAATTGTGCGAATGAGCGGGTCGGTGCTGTCCGTTTTTGTTCTTGATCCGAACCGTTGCTGCAACCAAGACGCGACGTTGTTGGCCGTCGTCTTGCGCCAGGACGTTTCATCACGGGGCTTCAGGCGCAGCGTTCGCGGAGCTCTGGGCGCAATGCTGTCTTCTCAACAACGATGTCATTTGTCAAGCTTAAACTTGAATCACTTGACACAATGGCCTCTGCACAGGGCAGGCCAGGGCCGAGCACTGCCTTAGTGCCGGTGCCATCCGCGCTTGGGGAAGATCGCCCATGGCCCGGTCCACCGCGCAGGGCTTGTCCGCGCCGAATAAGACGTAGTAGAGCTAGTAGATGCTGTCCCATGCGACGCTTCATCGCCGTCATGCCACGAGTTCCAGTCCGCCGAGCAAGGGATTCAAGCCGGCTTGATTCTCATCGTTTACGCCCGTCGTGGTGAGAGAACAGAAAACTCCCATGTGTGCAGAGAACAAGGAGCCGGAGATGGAAACCTAAAAGTTCCAGGAGATGGCAACAACAAAGATACTTTGACATGTTCTCCTTGCGAATAACCAACACGTGGCTAGTCTTTGAAATCGAGTGTTGAGTATACGCATGTGGAAAATTTCGCATACTGCCCCTACACGCTCCCTGAGATCCTGACTATTCAAGACGTGATTATAGACTTGGAGACCATCACGCAGGCTCTGCTGGGCCATGCTGAATGCCCCTTCCAACCCTTGATAGACAAAGTAGAGAATTAGCAAGTACCTAATTTTTTACATCAAAAGTATTCTATTTTACTAGCTTTGTAAGGAGTTCTTCGCCTCGGTAACATGTTTCTGGAATCAATCTGAACTCTTGATGTGTCACGGACATTGGTGACACAAGGTCTATAGTCACGAGACCTGGAGCAGAGGTCTGCTGCAGACGAGCCCTTGTCACACCCCAGACTTTTGTTGATGCAAGCCTTCTGCCCCAGGCTTCGTCATCATAGCTAGCCCTTGTGCAACCACGTGAAGTCTGGTGATGGGTCAATTGGCTGGCCCCTTAACGCACATAGGGCTGTTTTCGTCCCAGGCAAGACCCTGCGCAGCTCTTTTGGCCACAGCCTGCAGCATACAAAAAATCCTCCAAAAGTACTTGTACATTGAATTTGGCCGACTGAACAGTCTTGTATCTCTTGATATTCACTATATCCCGCCATCGTACTGACACTTGCAACCTTTCTATTATATCATGGAAGTACATTCTTTCTCCCATGCCGTTGCTCTCAGCCGGACTGCGTAGGCGGGCTTGACTCGGGAAAAAAGCCCCTGCAACGGTGTGTGTCAAGCCTCCTTCCCAGGACTCCAGGAGCTTGGGAAAAGGAAACACCCTCCCGGCCTCGGAAGCGGCTCTTGTAACAAGGGCGGGTCACGGAGGTCAGGACATGGAGTAAAGACAAAGACTCATATTACAGTATGATATCGTGTGGTCTCGAGGTCCTTCGTTCTTCAGTCTGAAGGACCCAACCAACGCCTTTGTGCCAACCCTAACCCAGTCTTTGGGCTGGCGGAAACTGGGCATTTGGCCACGTAAGCCACGGAATGATGATGATGCGCACACGAAGCGTGGCATTTTCATAGGGCGCACACAATTCTCTCTTTTGCAGCTCAATTAAGAATCAAGGCTTTTTCGTATCATCTACGTGATATCTAGCTTTGGTGCCCCCGTTATCGTGTAACTGGGGTCCTCACACGCAACGCCCAGCGCTGCCATATGCACTCTGTCCATCATTAGTGTTACCCGGAAAAGCCTCACACCCACATAACTAGCTGCAATGCGCAAAAATTGCAGCTATCACGATGCTCTCATGGGCCACTTGTGGGCTCAGGCACCGAGGCATCAGGGCAAGAAGGCACAAAGGGGTGACACTCACAAGCACTATCATGATATAAAGCCCTCAATGGTCGGGTCTATCAGATCAAGGGAACCAAGGACCTTTAAGGCCTTGCGATATTATATGTAATACGAGGGTTAGGTTTATCTACAAGACCAGCCCTTCTTACAATCAATTCCCCAAATTCTGCATGATTGCGAGCTGGCATAGTTGCCAGGCGGTTCTCCACGGCATGAGTAGGGTGGCCTGGAGGTGCGTTTAGTGTGCGGCGATGGAGGATAAGATCCATCTTGAACGAGGAGGCAAGTGATCTTAGTAACTACAACGGGAGCCAACTGCTGTCTGCTGGGGGAAAGGGGGGGGGGAAGGCGTCAAATGTAGCTGTGGGCGTTGGAGTCAAGATAGAGTGTAAAAATTAAGAGAGCAGGCAAAGTGTGAAAATAAGAAAAGAGGGAAGGATGCAGATGTAAAAGAGAGGAGGAAAGAAAGATGTAGAAAGAAGAAAGCGATAAGAGCCATGCCTAGGGTGAGTCAATGACTAATCAAGTATAGTATAGTTTCTAATTTCTAAACCCGAGGGGATGCTGCGGCCGAATGTCGTTCGATCTGTCGGTCGCGTATGTATTGGCTACGTATGCAGCCACGATGGAGGTAAATTGTGTTCGTACTTGAATATGTTATGCGTCTGGGCTACAATGATTATTGAGAAGTATCCCGCAAAAGACATGTAAGAGAGTTGCCTTCGCTGTCTTGCGCTTCCGTATAGAGTCCCCCCCCAAAGACCGCATATTTGGGACACGCTTGTCACCTATGGAAGTGATATATTTCAGTCACGTATATTTGCAATTTGTGCCATGGTTGCTGGTAGCACGGGCTGCTAAGTTGGTGGTAACCCCGGGTGCTCAGCAGCATTGTTGCTGGAAACCAGGGCGGGCGGATCACGACCCAGTTCTAAAGCTGGTGTTGGGCGCAATAGCACTGAGTCGCACATTGTGGTCCTCAGCCTGGTTGCTGGTTGCTGGCATTCCAGGCACTCGAGGTCGTGAGAGTGCGTTGATGTCAATGTAGTTTTTTTGGTGTGACTGTTGACGGTTGCTTTGTAATCACGAGGTACTACAAGTAGTTACGATTCGTGCCTTGGCGGGGCCACGTGACTAGTCTTTTCCCCTTTTCAGGACTGGAAATGCAGAGTGGTGCAATCGACCATGCCCAAGAACATTTTAGTACACAATAAACCTCGCTCATTCGAATCAGCCGCTGAAGAAGAAACCAATTTCCTTCTTTCTGCCCAACACCAATGTGCTGCGGAGCACCTGAGACGTCGACTGTGGGATCAACGGGAGTCGATTCAAGCTACAGTCCGGCACCATCTTCGACTAGGCGGAGATGACGGTTGCACTGTTCTACCACCGGAATCATGGGTGCAAGGCGGTTTCAATCTTTGCCTTCTAGTCGAGGTGGATTCCAAAGGCCGAACCAGAAGGTTGATTTTCCGGTGTCCCATGCCCCATAAGCTTGCCGAGCAACGATATCCTGGCACGATTGACGAAAAAGTTGGCTGCGAAGTGGCCACATATATATGGATGCAAGAGCACTGCGCTAACATCCGGATACCAAACCTTTACGCATTTGGCTTTACTGACGGCGGCCATGTGCGTTCTCCCAATTCTCATGTCACTCGGATCGTGCTGATGCTGACCCGTTGACTCGGACCAGTTCACCCATGTCGAGCAGCGACCATTTTACGTCTGGGCCTACCACCGATTCCGGCGACTGATCCATCGCCTCTTTCACTACCCCTTGCTCTCGAATTACACTCGCAACGCGTCCTCACCAGCCGTTGACACCGCCTATATGCTTTTGGAACATATCGGCCCCGAGACCGGAAGTATGCTTTCATGTACCTGGACTCAACATATGCGCGACGCAAACCGGCGAGCTCGCCTGTTCCAGGGCATGTCGCGTATTATGCTCTCGCTTGCTCGGCTTCCACACCCACATATTGGATCCTTTAAATTCAATGCCAGTGACGGCACAATTCAGCTTTCTAACCGGCCCCTGACATGCACCATGATGATTTTCGAGAATAGCGGGACGCCGCGAACAATTCAGCCGCACCAACTCTACCAGAGCACTGACAGTTTCGCCTCCGATATGCTTACGCTATATGATAATCACCTCCTTCACGACCCTCATGCTGTGCGAGATGCAGATGATGCCCGAGAACGAATGACGATTAGGACATTACTTCGAACGATAATGCACCGCTTTATTCTGCCAGGTCGGAGGAACGGCCCTTTCCTCCTTCAATTGACCGACTTTCATCAAAGCAATATTTTTGTGGACGATGATTGGAACGTTACTTGTTTGATTGATCTTGAATGGATCTGCGCGCTTCCTGTGGAAATGTTGTCCGTGCCACACTGGCTTACAAACTGCAGCATCGATGGTATCATCGACGAAGAGTACAGCACTTTTGACGAAGTGCGGCAGGCCTTCCTAAAAGTTATGGATGAGGAGAATAGGAGCGTACGGATGGAACATGATATTGACATCACAAGCACGATGAGAGATGTTTGGGAGTCTAAAGGAGTGTGGTTCTGGGCCTGCGTGAGATCTATAAATGCTTGGCTTTTCGTGTTTGAGGATCACATTCTACCCAAATTCTCCGCCGATAGAGCACTAGTTGTTGACCTGAAGCAGGTCTCGACATTTTGGCAAGAGAACGTTGGACAGGTTGTAAAAGCCAAAGTAGACGACGAAGAAAGGTACCAGGCGGAGCTCTGGTCTCTCTTTCATGAGGGACTCTACTGACCTAAAGATGCGTCCAAAATGATGGCAATCTAGACACGTTGTCCTGTTCGATGCGTAGTCCTTGCTGTGACGAATATACTTGAGATGCGGCATCTGACGTGGGACACGGGTAGATGAACTGCCAAAGATGACCGCCCACCGAGAGCAAATTGACAGAAACATATCGGTCAGTGGGTTTCATTGCGCCGCCGAGCGCGCTCGCGGTCAACATGCTAATCTTCCGAGATGTCCGAGTCCATGGGCCGTGTGGGCCAACTGCCGTGATCACATGTCGGTCCGCGCCGGGAACTCCGACACGGATGTCCGGCAGCCCCACCCCGACTTGGGTCAACGCGGGCTCACGCGAATCCGTGTCCGTCGCAGCGCCGGGTCACTCACGATTTGAGAGACAATTGCAGCCCGTGGCGACTCTTGCGTCCAAATCTTGGGTGTATTCGATCCCGTGTTGTTCTCTACGCGTTGCAGACCCATCACGTCTCGTTCTCCTACCTCCGCAGAGGCGGGAAGAGGCTTGCCGTTCTTCAAAGTCACACCGAAGAGCAGTCGCAGCTTGCAGCTGTTGCAGACGACCAGAGGTGCACTGTTCCGCTTCGAGTGGTGCTCCCAGAAAGTCAGACCAACGTCAACGATGAGTCTTGGTTACGGAGCGTTTGCTGCACGAGAAAGCATACTAAGCTCTCGATTCCACCCACAGTCATCTAGTCAAATACAGACAGCGCCAGACCCTAGATTCTGCCGCCGCTGAAATATCTAACACAGGTGTAAATGATGCAAGATAATCCCAACCCTCCTCAGTATTTCAACTACAAGCTGCATTCGAAACCCTCCTTGGCCAAGCCGTATCCTGAGGTGCTTCGAGTGCGCTACACTGCTTTCTGGGCCTTTTGATGTGTTTCGGTTCTCGCAGTACAGGTGCTCATACGAGGCAAGCCAAACAAGGCATCCGCATCCCCTGAGCTGGTAGTATCGTCCAAGGGCTCGGAGCACACTGTATTTTTGCTTTAAAAATATAAAGTCATGTAGGTACTATTTGAATACTTGGAAAATCTAAAATTTACCAATGGGTAATTTTGAGCAGCTTGCTTTTCTCTAAATACGTACTCAGTCCCTTTTTATCACCTACATCTACCTATAACTGTAGTACAAGGTGACCCAACCAGGTACCTGTAGAACTTTGACACCTTGTATTGCACACTACTTGAGTAGTTTAGCGTCAAATATGCCGCCAACCAGCTCAGGACCAGGATTTGACTAGACGCTTGGGCACAGGACAAGGGCTAGGGCTGGTTGTTTTCTTCACAGCCTAGTCTGTATCCTGGCATTCTATCCTGACATGTGTGTCGCTTAATCCCCGTCGTCGCCTGTTATTCGGGACAGCCGCCACGGGACTAGTCTGACCGAGCGCCTGCTCCACGTTGCCTGGCGCTGCTGGGCTCTGAACATGTAGCCCGAGTGCTATCGATGCGTCGTGTTCTCCTTGCTTCGAGTCACCATCCATCAACCGCACTACCCGGGTTGAGGCATCCTCACCCTCTTCTCCTTCACTGTACCCTCGCTCAAAGCCGAATCGTCGCCGGGGGGGAGATGACAAAAGGCGAACGCAAGTGGTCGATTTTCCCGCTTTCCTTGCCTCAGCGTAGCGCCGTGCTTGATGACGCTCACAGTCACCAATGGGTATGCAGTGCTGCCAGGAAGCGGCCTAGAGCGACATTCGATGGCGTCTACACGTGGGCATCGCGGGAATAATACCACCCTGTCACGGGGAATGGCGGTAAACCCGTAGAGGCCAGGGTGTTTTATCCCGACAGGAAGCATGAATAGATGCCAGATGCTCTGCTGCAGCCCAAAGCACAACCAGAATCAAAAATTTGCAAATATATCGTCGCGCACGCACCGTCCACCACCACCACCACCATCATGAAGTGCGGCATCTGCACAGTCACGGTTCTCCTCGTGGCGGCAACTAGCCCGCTTGTCTCGGCAGTCAGCCCTCCCGTCTCGGAAGCTTCGTGCTTCCAGGGCCTCACCTACTGCGGTTGGACTCTGAAACGCAAGGGTCAGTATAGGCTAGTATTGGCACCAATACCATCAGCTCGTCTCTCGTCTGCCCCTTGGGTCGCTGGTGTAGTGTTCTGGCGGCGCCGTGTTTCTCGCACAGCAACGCCTGCTTGGGCGAGGAAACAGCAGCAGATAGCTGGAGAGGGGGGATAGTTTGCTGACAAAAGATTGTACTCGTGACAGGTTGGAGCAGCGAGGCCTTGGAGATGGCGATTTTGAAGGCGGGGATATGGCCCGACGACCGCGCAGAGGCCTTTGGATTATTCAAGTGCTTGGCCGGCAACAAGCTCAGGTGGGAGAGGCAATGTGGAGTCAACAGTTGCGCCTCCGGGGGGCAACGTAAAAAGAACTTTTGCACTTGCTTCGGCGGCAGATGTTGACGGCTTGGGGATACGAGGAGCGGCGCTGCAGAGACGGGTCGGGTCGCTGGGCTTGTTGGGCAAGCAGGCGAGAGTCGAGAGTCGAGAATTAGACCAGGCGCTTCGCAGTCTTTTCATTACAACGTCGGACTTGGCAACGACCGTGGTGACCGTTCATGTGAGACCGACGTGTTGGTCATTGCAAGGCATTGACTGCGCCGAATGAAGCTTCTCACGATGGTCAAGCACGTAGTCGGCTACGTGGCTTGCACTGTGCAGTCTCTCGTGTGTCTCCATGTCGCTTCGCTGTCGCACGAGGAGACGGCGGAACGTGGATGAAGCTGAAGTCCGTGGCGCAACGTCTATCCAATCCAGCTGCTCCGGACGGCGTCGCGATTCGATTCTCGCCCCATGCCGAGCTACAAACAAGGTGACGTGCCACGATGGCCGTGTGCGTGGATGGTCGGCAAGTTCCGTCGTGGCAGGGCTGAAAAGCATCCCCAAGCCACGGGCAGTTTGATCCTTGCAGGAACGAAACGTGATGCCACCATCCCGTCACGTCCGGACGTTTGACGGACAACCGGGCGTACAAGCCGTGGCCCTTCTTGGCTGGACGGCAGTCATTTGATACGTCCGTACTTCGGCTGACCGGCGGTGTAGGTGCCCGTTGCTCGCGTCGGTTTTGAATCCAGACCGCGGCAGCGTGGCGAGCTGAACCGACGTCCGCGAGAGGCTTGCTGCCAGCTCGACGACGAGCTTGCTCGCCAAACACGGCGCCTCTGCATCTACACTCTGGGCAGTCCAATTCCTCCGGGTCCCGAGCGGTCTCTGCTTCTCCTCGAGCTTCACACAGTCCATCCCGCGTCACCACGTGCCTCGTTACAAGTGTCGGACGGCAAAAACATGCCCTAAATGCTGCGACAACGAGTCCTCTCCGTCCTCGTCTCGGCCCTGGGAGGCAAAGTCGTCGCCGATCGACCCAGCGACCAGTCCATCTGTGACTACTATGCCAGCCAGCGCTACGGAGCGAGCAACGACACGACGCAGCTGCGACTGATGCAGGGCATCGTTGCCTACGCCTATGCCGGCGGCGAGACGCTGCCAAACGCCGCGGCCAACAGCACGGGCATCTTCAACACGGGGCAGTTCAACGGCTATGACGTGTACCTGCGACCATGGTTTGACGGATCAAGTATGACCCTGAACTGAAATCCCACGAGCGACGGCCTCGCCTCGCCTCGCCTCGCACGAGTCCAAGGCTGACCACGTCCCACAGGGGCAACCACGAACCTCAACGACCAAGCCGTCGGGGTCAACTGGTTGGACGGAGGCGGCACCCAGCCGCTGATATCTTTCCTGAACGGCTCGACGCAGACGGCCGAGATCAAGAGCGGAACAAATCAATAGTACGTTGCGCGTCCCTGCCGTGACTTCTCCCGCAAAGAGGGCGTCGTATCGTCGCTGACCCTTGGCCCCTTCTCCCGCCAGCACCTTGTTCACGCACTGGTACTACGTCTTTGGCAAGATATTCGGCTGCTCCCGCTACAAGGGGTTTGTGGGCACCAGCTTCACCCCTCTCACGCCGGCCTACGTCCACAAGTTCATGGACTTGAACCAGACCGAGGTCGGGTACTTTATCGAGCAGTTCATCGCCGCCAGCAGGTACTACGGCTTCTCGGACGCGGACGCCTCGACGCTCTCGACGTTTATGAACGCGCGCTACAACATCCGCTGCTCGCCGCCGCTCGACGGCCAGCTGTACTCCATCTGCTTCGCAAAGGAGTGCCCCCTCGCCGCGCCCAACGCCGAGTGCGGCGCGTATTCCAACGTCCAGCCCTACGGCCTCGCCGGCTCGACGAGCCAAGGCAGCGGCACGCCGCCGCCGCCGCCGACGACGACGACGACGCCGTCCTCGCCCACGGCCTCGACCGCGACGCCCACCACTCCCGCGGCCGCGCCCTCGAGCTTGTCGGGAGGCGCCGTCGCCGCGGCCGCTGGCCTCCTGGCCGCAGCCATGTGTTTGTTCTTCCGGCGCAGACGGCGAGCCGACGCCGCGACGCCGCCCGGCCCCAGCATGCTCGACAGCACGTGGTCTCCCGCCTTCTCGTCCCAGCCGGCTTACAGCTCGAATCTGCGCGACAGCTACTCCAGCCAGAGTCCACACGCGGGCGTGGCCTCCGCCGCCGCCGACGCCCGTCCCCAAGCTGCCCTGGCATCGTCGTCGCCGCCGCCGCCGCAGGAGCTTGACACGCGCAATCCTGCCGGGGGGCCCGCGTACTACGGAAAATATGCGCATTGATCCAGCAAAGGCCTTGACGTATATCTGCACGTACGCCCGTCGAGACGGATGACCTGCGTTTGGTTTGAAGCTGGGACGGAGCCCTCGCGTCTTTTGAACAAGTAGTAGTACCAAGTCTCTCAATGAGTAGATGCTGTGCCGCTGGTCGTGACCCCGAGACGAGGCCGTATGAACCATTTCTGTTCCGCTATAGAACCGCAATGTGCTCCGTAACAGAACGTCTGCACCGCCGCTTAGAGCCACACCAGCTCGATGCCAATCACCTATTGCTCCCTGAGCGGCAGTGAGTGAGCATCCCAAGTCCTCCCTGAGCCTCCGCTATGCGTGCCTGAGCCTTCTTCCTGCCTTTCCTGGCCAAAAGTATCAACGCCGACACCCGGCCCCGTTCCAATGGCGACAATGACAAGCAAGGATACCAGGACATCCTCCCAGGCCTGTCAAGCCTTCCACCGCGCGGCGACGGCAAAGCCAATGATAGATACCCCTGATGTCGACCAGCATATGCTCAAACGCCGCAAGGCCCACAAGTCTGTGGCCAGGGTTGATAGCTGCTCCCGCAAAGTCCATGGGGAACTCTCTCATGCAATAACGGCATCCAAACCCAGGACCACGTCGGAAACCAGCTCTAGTTATGACACTGTCGTGCGAGGTGACCAAGAGTACTCTCCTCTGGCACGGAACGGCGACGCAACAGAGGCACTAAGCGAGAGCTGTTATGCCGATGATGATTCTGACCACCATGCCCGCCAACGAAAGCTTGGACGATCCTCAACCCGCGGCAAGCCTCGCCAACGACTATATGCTGCCAGTCCATCAAGCCGCCCATCAGCATCGAATGACAAGCAAGATGAGGGTGACCCACGGGCTCCGTCAGCGACGTTTCAAGAATGGCAAACGCGTCTTCGTAGGTGGTCAAGCCTTGGTTCAAATTCAGTTCAGCTGGAATTCGCGCATGCATGATCACTCAGTGGCAGATGTTGGTGGCAGAGCCGGAGTACGGACGTGTACACCAAGGACATCTCGCCGAGCCTCACGGAGGGCTATCGGCCATGCTTTTACGTTTGAGCAAGACAATCTCCTTATCGGCTGGAAAACGTCAGGACAGACTTCTTTGGCTCAGAAATACATAAGCGGTTCAGCGGCATCTTTCCTGGACAGCCATCTCAAGGCAGCCAACAGGTTCACTATTGTGAGCTAAGGGGGCGCAATGCACCTATCCATAGTCATAGAATCGACGCAACATCACAATACCTATGTACCTTAAAGATCTTTGACAATTTCACCTGACAGCTTTGCTTTCCTCCCGGACTCCTGGCTAGGAACCGTGAAGACCGCTGGTTCGCTCGCGCATTAGCTGTCGCCGGGCCTTGTCCTTTTCTATAATCAACCGCCGTTAGCAGATAGCCATATCATCGTGTTACAATCCCAGGAACTGTGGCTTACCTCTATCATAAACCAAGAACTCGTGGAGGCCAGCGCCTGCTGGTACCATAGGCAGGACAGGCACCTTCTTATCGGTAATAACCTCGAGAAGAGCTGGACCGTCTGTGTTAATGAGCCACTCAAGGCTAGCCCGAACGTCCCCAGGCTTGGACACCTTCCTCGCCTGCACACCCATTGCGTCGGCTAACTTGACAAAGTCCGGATTCCGCTGGTGGGTATGTGCGTAGCGGTCCTCATAGAACAGGTTCTGCCATTGGGTAACCATGCCTTGCTCCTCGTTATTCAGAACAATAACCTTGACGCCAATGTTAAATTGAGCAGCGGTGGAGAGCTCTGTTAGGGTCATGTTAAAGGACGCATCGCCATCAACGTCGATGACGAGGGCGTCTGGTCTCGCTACTGCAATACCAATCGCACTTGGCAGCCCAAAGCCCATCGTGCCTACATCCCAGGGTCAGAACTAGGATCGTTACAAACTTCAATTGCCAAGAAACATGACGAGATTTGGGTTTGGAGTTGGGAAAGGCCGGAGAGAAACGGCCACGGCGCTGCAAAAGCATCACGTACCTAATCCACCGCTCGTGACAAACGATCGAGGCTCTCTCCACGTGTAGTGCTGCGCTACCCACATTTGCTACTTCAGGTCAGTTGGTGTTCGCAATAGTGTTGGCTGCTCATGAGGAACTCACATGCTGGCCCACTCCAGTCGAGATGATTGTTTTCTTATCAATTTTAGAGGTGAGATCGCTCAGCTCCTCGATTAGGGACTGGGGCTTGATGAGACCGTTGCCCCCAGGAGAATCAGCGCGCTCATAGTTGGATAGAGGCCACTTTGCCTTCCATCCGGATATCTTGTTAAACCATTCGCTTCGTTGCTCCATGCTTGTAGATGTGAGCATAGGTATGAGCATCTTGAGGTTAGTGGCAACGTCGCCCTCAATAGCCTCAGTTGCTTGAATGACCTTGTTGATATTCTTGGGCAATATATCAAAATGAATAATGCCGCCTCGCTTCTCAGCTGCTGCAGCTTTAGCATTAGGAGCAAATTTTGAAGCATTGAGGACAACACGGTCATCAAAGCGAGCACCAAGAGCAATGATAAGATCGGCCTCCTGCATAGACATATTGGCGTATGCCATGCCATGCATACCCAGCATGTGTAACGACTTCTCGTCACGCTCATCAAATGCACCAAGGCCCTGGAGGGTTGTTGTAACAGGAATAGAACACTTGTCAGCTAGCTCGCGAAGAAGCTCAGTTCCACCTTTAGACTGAATGATGCCTTGGCCAGCGTAAATGATGGGCTGCTTAGCTACTTTGATAAGCTCAGCAGCATGACAAAGGGAGGTATGAAGTTGCTTCTCCATTAGTCGTTTGGCAGCCTGAGAAGCGATGCTTGGAAAAGAGGGTAGGCAAGTCTGTGTTGGTATAGCCTTTCGAAGAATCCCAGCTGTAATATCCTTGGGAAGGTCAATGAGAACAGGGCCGGGACGACCACTGGTAGCAATCTCGAAGGCCTCGTTAATCCGACGCGGGAGCTCAGCAATGCTCGTGACCATGCAGTTCCACTTGCACGCACTCCTGCTGATGCCCACAGTATCGCACTCTTGAAACGCGTCCAGTCCGATGGCACTTGTTACGACCTGTCCGGTGAAGACCACTATGGGAGTGCCATCTGAGAGAGCATCTTGCATGGGTGTGATGACATTGGTCGCTCCCGGACCCGATGTGACGAGTACAACGCCAGGTTTTCCGGAGGCACGTGCGTACCCTATGACATGTTAATATAAACCTTGTTCAACCAAGCAAGCCTTACCTTGTGCCATGTGGCCGGCGCCTTGTTCGTGTCGAGGCAAGATAAAATCGAAGTGTTTCGAGTTGTAGATGGCGTCAAAGACGGGAAGAATGGCGCCTCCGGGGTAGCCGACTAGGACTGATTAGCACGTGGGTTCTCATTTGGCCCTGCCGACGAAGACAAGTTCGGTTGGAGGAGAGGACAAACAAATATGCTTCACACCGTGTCTGAGCATCATCTCATGAAAGATCTCGCCGCCGGTCTTTCCGATGAACCTGAAAGCACATGAGAAAGAGCCCATCGTGGTTTGAGAGAGAATTCTTACGACTCATCCATCTCGGGTTTCGATCGGTTGACAAGAGGCTGAACATGACGACGAGATTCGGGTTTCAAGTTGAAGGCGGGGCTGGGCACAGGGCGAGTTTGATTGTAAAGCAGGTCAGCAACATGACTGGGATGAGATTAACAATGAAACATCGATTGACTTGGTGGAGCGAGCGTTTAGGCACTCCTCGGCGTCTTTCCAATCAGGAACACGGATAGTTGTTGGGCGGTGAAGCGTGACACCACGAACGAGGTTATGAGGGTGCAAAGGACCAAGAAAAACAGCCAGAAACTTACGGCGCGGCAGAAGTGGTAGCAGTGGCCTTTGTTCTTTGCGACGCGGGCAGCTTTGACTGCGCAAGAGCGGCTGTGGGCGGCGTCGTCCTGGCCCTCGCCTGGCCAAGGGCGTCGATAGCCTTTCTCGTAGGGCGATTTCGGAGCATCGCGGAGGAGTAGATGGATTCGGGGGGGAGAGGAAAGTCGGGGTGGGGTGGGAGAGCCAAGATCCCAATTGCGCGAGAAAGAGTATCCGAAGATGCCAGTCTATGCTTCGGGATCGAGGAGGATGAAAAAATAAAGATGTTGTTGGAGGAGGCGGGAGGCGAGGAAGGCGGGAGAGGCTAGAGAAGGAGGGTTTGGCTCTGGATCGAAGCGAAGCCGGACAAAAACCTGGGGCAAGACTCATAAAAAAAAAACGTCGCCACACAGTCACTGTGGAGTCGCAGCCACGCTCCGACGTCGTCCGGCAAAATATGTGGGGCTCTGTTGGCGCCCGGTACTTGGTAGCCAATCGCGCCCACGTTTCGACACCAGAAGTAAGCTGTCAAGGACTGGCCTTACAGGCTACTAAAGGTAAACCTGGAGATGGAACGATGAGGTAGAGAAACAGAGAAGACTTAATTCTCAAGTATTTAATATCATGAGGATACCCAAGCGTTGCGGGTTAAGGAATTGATAGCAATTGGAGCGAAACCTTCTACAATCAACAAAAGCAGCTACAGCTTAGGAACGCTTTCAAGAAAGAGAACTAGGTCTCTTGCTTAATATTCTGTAGACTTTAACAGAGACCTATTGCCCAGACGGGGCGGAAAGATGCGCGGCTATATCAGCCGGGACGAGAAGCAGAGTGCTTTTGAAATACATTTCCCCGCTCGGCCGACATCCAAGGAAACAAGCTATAAAAAAACCAAACGTCCATGCCAAGTTGTGGCAGATTGCAGGGGTATAACCCAACACAGAATGTACCGTCATTTCAAGCCGCCAATATCATTGGCCGAGTCGACTCAACAGCGCGAATCAGAAGTACAAGTCCCAAGAAGAACTTACTGCCACTGTTCCTCTTGCGATTCGGGGCCTCGTTGACGATACGCGGAAGCGCAGCCGTTTGCGTTCGTGTTGAACCGGCGGGCAGGGCGGATTTGATGACTCTTTAGAACTGAGACTTCTTACGAGAGAGCCCTCCTGCGATCCAGGCGAGCAGTTTCCATCCCTGTAAAGAGAACCATTCTAGCCTGGGGAATGAAATTACATGGCAGCATATCTCGAATAGCTCGAGGTAAAACCCAGCGTAATCCCAGTCAATGAGTCATCAATGACGGCAAGGATCTAGCATAACATTTCGTGGTACCAAGTTGTAACAATAAGTAAACACAAATAGTATTCCAGCTAAAAACGTTTGTTTTAGGCAGGTAGAGGGTTGGCTGACGTCTTTTAATCTCTTGGCGGACGGAGAAAAACTCGAGCCAGAAATTCGTAAAGGCGTTGACTTGCTTTGGGGTTGCTCTTGGCGGAAGACCGAACGAGTCCTCGGAGTAGCAAGATCTGAATACACTGGCCTGTCGCCAGCGACCCAGCCGTTGCTGACTTGACTGACGATGGTTGATGGATAATGCGGCAAAGCCGGAAGGCAAGGCGAACGGCAGCAACTCAACCAAGAGTCACCCACCGACTTAGTAGCTAGCAAGGCTCTTTAGATCCGGTCCATGATGCAGTATGTGGCACTGTCGGCCTGTACTGTTTGTCTAATTCGAGGAACACAGATCCTGAGCTTAGACGCAAAACTTGGTGACGTCGGTAGCATCTTCTGTCTCGCCCCTAGAAATATCTTTTTGCCATAGACGTGGAAGAAAGCAGGATGATGTTAGGGTACTCTAGTGGAAAAAGGTAGGGCTTTTACATAATGGCAGATTTGCTCATCAGAATAGTCAAGCTATTAACCATGTTTAAACTCTAGGTCTATGTCGGAAGGAGTAAGGGGACATGTATAGAGTCGAGTTTCCGTTTCTCTTTAAAACCTCGCCTAAAAGACTGTTGATAAAGGATTCCAGAGTTCCTCTGACGTTTCTTTACCAGCAATTGCTTCACTCTTGAATTTGTCCATTTCCCAGTCGCGATCCATGATTGTAGAATCGTTACGTCGCGATTGGTATAATGTGAGTTTAGGGCTGCTGTCTTTCCAGAAAGAAGCTCAGCCAACAAGAGTTGGTATGTTGATTTGCACTAGAAGCCTACCAAAGAATCTACGCTCGTCAATGCTTGCACACGATGAGGTGAACTCTGCCAAGGATTCGACTGAACGGGAACTTACGGTGTCTATATATGTTCTCTCTTGTGTTGGTTCAAGCCAGTGCGGCATTAGTGTAACAAAGGCTGGTTGGGGGTCAGGGCTCGGAGCAAAAGACTCGATTCACATGAAATACTGTATGGTCTTGAGGGTCCTTGGCGCCTCAAGACCATACAGTTATTTTGTAAATGTGTGACACAATTAGCCAGATATGCTCCGAAGCTCCCCCACCATTTTGAGTGACCGTACATCGCTTGTTCTTCTGCTACTCGCGCCCCAGGCAGCCCGTCGTCTGATCCAAGCGTGGCTGGTCTGTGGTTGCGTTTCCGCGTAGCCTAAAAGGGCGCACACCAAATCTCGGAGGTAGGTTTGCCGTCGTGCTCAACATGTCGCCTGTTTGCGTGGCCATCTTTCACAGGAACAACCAGTTCCTTCTATCAAATATTCATCCACGAAACGGGCTTCGTGTTCTTCGATTCCCAATATCGGGAGCGAGCAACCCACACACGCCGATGTATCCGGCCTCATGAGTCATGACTTATTACCGACGGCTCCAAACAGAAGGGAGTATAGGGAGCCTTGTCAATATCAATTTCTGGAGTTTAGAGCCCCGCTTCGGGTTCGGTGGGATTGAGTCATAGACGCGCGACGTACGTAATCGTGGTGGCTTGCTTGGGATCTTGCCAAGACCGGGTTCAGAGTACTATAGCTTAATTTTAACTCTGGTCAATCCAAGCAGAAGACCGAGACAAAAGCAGTCCAGCCAGCCAGCTCGCCCCTGGATAAAGGATCGACGGCGGGCCAAGGATGTACCCGGCTGTATAGCCTTCATGAGCAAGGACTTTGGCAGACTGCCATCTCGGCACAGGCCACTTCGTCTCAGATAGATGGGCCGACGAGTTTGACGGCAAGTGACGGCCCAAAGCAGCAGCCGAGAGCGCTGGTGTCCGACCAATGCGGTATGCTTGGTGAGAAACACTTGACTACATGGTGCCAGTCGGGAAGACCGGGGTTCCATGCCAGGTTGCAGGGCATACGTAGTTGAAAACGCACAATCAAACCTGTCAGACGGCAACCACGAATAGAGGCCTACGGGCAGTACGGGTTCTGATACGTCTCGCAATGGCAGCTAGAGCAGCCAGAGTCAACGACAGGCCGGGTCTGTCATCCCATTCGGAAAAGGAAAGGCCAAGGCATGGACACATTCCCGGCATACGGAGCACCGACAGGCAGGCCCTTGCCCTTGTATCGCATCGCATAGCTTGTCCAACCGAAGGGCGCACGCAATGTCGAATGAGCTTCCATTGATGTCAGCGGTCGACGCCGTGGCCCGCGGCATCGCGTCGTCGCTCTCGGGGGTTACCATCTACGCCATCAACATCTTTGACAAGTGCGCCCGCCGCCCATCCATGGCTCAGGCTCCAAGGCGGCGCTCTGCCGTAGCCCATGGCATGTTGATACTGGAGTGCGCAGCAGTATGACCCTGCTCTTGGAATACAAGCGTAGCCAGTGTCACATTTGATGCCTCACAAAGGCCAAGGGCATCATTCGTTTCCACTTGCTCGAACCATGCCCGTTAGAAGGGGCTTCTCACTTTGCTTATTACATCACCTCTGCAGGGATCGATTGATTCTTGCGATAAAAAGGTGTATAGCACGCGTGGCTCGCGGAGCCCTTGGGCATGTCGCAAACGCCCCGGGCATCTTTCAGGGACTGCGCCCATCTACATGGAATACGTGTGTGTGTCCAGGCCACAGGAAGTCCACCAGCGACAAGTAGCGCCAATTCAACTTGTGCTTCATTCCGGGGTCGTTTCCAACACCAGTGGCGGTGTCGATGTCGGCACACTCGAGCGCTTCCGGCAAACACAGTAAAGCGATTGCCAACTCGTCGTGCACACCGCAGATTACCGCGGCTGCCGCTGCATGAGCAAGTCGACGGACAAGGGAAAGCGCTCCAGTCGTGAACAATCGGCCTCGACGACGAACAAAACTATCCATGGCCGCGACTAGCTGCAAGGATCTCAGACGGTCGAGGAAAGTCGGTGACGACAGATGTTCTCTCCACTCGACAGAGATTTCGCAGCGCGTTTGGCATCATGGCAAGGCAGCAAGCTCGCTCTGACTCGTATGGATCGGCGGAATCTAGCTTGGCCTCGTTGCTGAGATGGACCTGGATGAGTACCGACTCGTGAGCCCACGCCGGCGGCGCACCATTTGCCATGTGCCGCGCATCATTCGCCGTCGGCATCTACGCTAGTCGGCGATTTTCCTTTGACTAGCGCACCGTGTTGAGATTGACACGGTCAGCACAAGCTTTCCTCGCCGAGGGTCTTTGGTCCGGCTCTGATCGCGACCAGGGAGGCGCAGACACGGGCTCGTTTCAACCATCCGACAAGTTATGAGCTTTCCGTGACGGGACTTGTCATGACTGACCTTGCTGGTATGCAGCCACCCGAGTCGGGGATACCTTCTAGCTGGGCTGAGTAGCAGATCACTGCGTCAATCTTCTTTATCCCGTCACCGCCCTCAGGGGTTCTGTAAAGGATGGCCAATGGGCAGTTTGTGCTCCTCGAAACGACCGAGGCCGCTACTCTATGGCTGTGATAAAAGTATCAGCGTCTCGATGAGGGTTACATCTTGGAAAGACTTGTAGATGAACCGATGAAAAGGGCACAACAGTCTGGAGCAGTTGGCGGGCTGTGGGTTCGCATAGCTTTCTTACACATGGTGAAACATGCCAATGCCAGTGACGGAGAACCCTTCAGTTCATTACTAATAATCCCCGCGTGGCCGTCATTCCATCTTGCATCCGGGACCGAAGCGACGACAGCCGTGCCCCTTGCCACCAACCTTCATCCCATGACGAGGAGCAAACTTGGCATCGGGTCCGTCGTTACGCAGACCGTCAAGTGTCATGCACGATCAACCTGCTGCTGTGTGTCGTCCCAAGTCGGCCGCAACGATGCAACCCTAGTCCTTATGGTTATGTTTTGCCATGTGGGTTTGAGTTGCAGTGCCGCGGCGCACAAACTCCCCCGTCGTGGGGACAAAGGTCGGCCATGCAAATGAGAGTGTGCTCTCGTTTAAAAGGCATGAGTGCATACGCAATACTACTCCCCGTCGCGGCGGCTTCTGATGGTTTGAAGTTCGGATCTGTGGGATGGATGCAACGGCGAATACGTATGCAGTCGATTCATACATTCCCTTGAGGACTGGACTGCATTTATAACATGTCTTTGTCCTCGGTTGATGTGTCCCGTGGAATTTTTTTATAAATAAAAAGTCTTGCTACGCGTTTGCCTTCTCCCCATTGCCGTCATCCTACGCGAGTTGCAGCCATGGGTTTCTCTGACGGATCAGGCCTCGTTTCGGCATCCGTTGCCAAGTTTGCGACAACGCTTCACAAAACCCCCTCGATAGAACTCCCCACCGCACGCATCCTTCTGTATGTGCTGATAGGCTCGGCGATATGCTTTGTCCTTTGGGCAAAGCCGTCGGCGCCGCGCAAGTTCCCTGGTCCGCCGGCCTGGCCCGTCGTCGGCAACCTGCCGTCGATTTACCGCCAGCATGCGGAGCGGCAGTTTGCCGAATGGGCCGCCGTGTACGGCGACGTCATCCAGGTCCAGTTCGGATCCTTGTCGGTTGTTGTCGTGAACTCGGCGGCGGCGGCCAAGAGCATCTTCACCGGCAGCGCCGCCGCCCTGTCGTCACGCCCGGTATTCCACACATTCCATCAGGTACGCTGCTTTTCCCCCCCTTGCCAGTCGCCAATCCCGACTGACACGAGACTACTCCAAAGCTCATTGCGGGAACTCTCGGGCCAACTATCGGAACTGCGGGATACGGAGAGGCCCTGAAAAGAGGCCGCAAGGCTACGGCCTCGGAGCTCAGCAAACCGGCCGTCAAGGCGAACCTGGACAAGATCGACCTAGAGACTCGCCATCTGATTGACGAACTCAACTGCTACGGGACCGAGGGACACAGCCCCGTCCAAGTCTCAAAAGTCATCAAGAGACTGACCCTGAGCCTGTCCCTGGGAATATGCTACGGCCGCCGCATGTACCTCGGCGACCCCCTCACACAGGAGATCATCCACGTCGAGGACGAGATCCTGCGGCTCCGAAGCATGACGGACAACCTCCAGGACTACATCTCCATACTCCGATGCTGGCCCTTCAACACGTATCAAAAGGCCGCCACCGGCCTGCGAGAGCGCCGAGACGCCTACGTCGGCAGGCTGAACCGCGAGATTGAGGAGAAGATGAGGGAGGGCACTCACGAGGAGTGTCTCTACACCAAGAACTTTGACGGCCCGCACCCGCTCCCGACCAAGGAGCTCTCCACGGTCCTGCTCACCTTCCTCTCCGGCGGCCTGGCCACGGCAAGCAACACCATGCACTGGAGTCTCACTCTACTCGCCGCCAGGCCAGAGATCCAGGAGACGGCCTACAGGGCCATCCGGGAAGTCTACCCGGACAACAAACAGCTCTTCGAGTCCGTGTACCAAGACACCGAGGAGGTGCGGTACATGTCGGCCCTGGTCCGCGAGTGTCTCCGGTGCGATTTGCCCCGACCATCGCTCACGTCTCGTCTGTCGCCTGCTGACCAGCCCGACGCAGATACTACACCCCGTCGCGACTCGCGCTCCCTCGCCTCGCCGTGCAAGACATACGATACCAAGACGGGACCATCTCCGAGGGCGACACCGTCGTCCTAAACACGTTTGCCTGCAACAGAGGTCAGCACAGCACCACCACCCACCCCCGTCAAGACACGTCGTGAGCTGACTGCCGTCCCCTGATCCACAGATGCCGCGGTGTACGGCGACCCGTACAGCTTCCGCCCCGAACGGTGGCTCGAGAACCCCGACCTTCCCATCTTCAGCTACGGCCTCGGCTACCGCATGTGCGCGGGCTACACGCTGGCCAACAGGGAGATGTACATCGTCCTGATGCGCATCATCGCCTGCTTCAGGATCAGCGCCGACGGCGACATCGACGCCGACCCCATCACCGGCTGTCTGGACGCCGCGCACCAGGCCATGGCCCCCAAGCCGTCCGGGCTCTACTTTGAGCCCAGAGACGGCCGCGGCCTGAAGCGGCTTTTGCAGCCGCACCAGTCGCTTGGTATCTAGGGGCGTACGAGGGCTGCAGGACGTGTGTGCAACGCAGTAAGCTGCACAATCAACTAGCATAGAAGGCAGCACGTAGGAATCGACGATAGACTACATAGATCAAGACGAGACAGACAGTGGAGTTGAACCTGCTCCGGCCGAGCCATTTGCCAGGTGCTTAGCGTGCCGGCAATCGCGAACTCCAAAACGCAGCAATAATCGCGTCCCGTTCTCCGAGCTCATTCTTGGCGCCGTCGCTTCACGGGTCCCCGGACTCCCGGGGCCCGGGCTGCGGATCGGGGGCCCGTCTAAATCAGGCATAGTGGCGCCCGAGTCCGGCCGGCGTTGATCCCGAGGTGCGCCCGCCGTGGATTCCCGGCAGCCCCGTACGTCGCGAGCTTGACGGGACAAAACGAGTCGTGGCTCTCGACTGAGTAGCGCTGGATAGCATGCCGGCTGCGAATGTGGGATACTGCCGCTGTGACAAGGGCTCGTCCGAGGGCTTGGAGCAAGCGCAGCTTAAGCATACAGCACACTTTTGCCCTTTGGTTCGTAAATACGTTGTACTTGTTGGAATAAGAGGGTAATTATCACGGACGAGTGGATAACGTTGTGGAGAATTTTCCAAGGGCCTGAAAATTTATTAATACTGAGAAACCCCCCCTCCCTGAGTGTCGTGGCTTAAGGGACTGACAGCTATTGAAACTATACCTTCCATTTTAACAGTCCTATACGATTACAGCTTATATCTGACGGACGCTCGACTGTGTAGCGGCACGCCAGTGCTATGCCATTAGCACGGCGACATTGCATGTGTTCCGCCGCAAACACGGGTCCTCGTTCGACGATCCAGAGGCTTGAAGTAATAGTGACCTGCCGCATCACAAGGTTTCGACTTACCCAAGACGATAGCATTGCCACTTTCCAGTCCCGACGCGCAAATCAGGCAAGGACACGCAAGACTAGCTGTTCGCTGGTCATTCCTGGCGGCCCGTGCAAATCCAGAGGTCGTCGGCCTTGCCCAAGACACCAGTCGGATCCTAAGCTCTGCCGGCTTCCCCACGTCTGAGCGGCCTCTCAGGCACTCTGCAGCGCCTGCTACTAGAAGTAAGATGTAAAGTCTACAAGTAGTATAATAAGCTACTCAATAAGTTAATAAGATATAGTATAGAGAGAGGTAATAACCCATAGGCGTCAGTCTGTCTGTCTGTCCACGAGCTGTGCCCTGTGTGGAGACGGCTTCCTTCCTCTCATTGGCTGCGGATCCCTTGTCGGTGGCCGCCTCGGCCGCCTCGCGCCGCCCCCAAGAGCGCGGATACGTTTATAAGATACTTTAAAACTAACCCTTTCGGCCGGGTAGCTCAATGGTAGAGCGTCTGATTACACAAGTATCCTTATAGTATCCTTATGCCGTAATCAGAAGGTAGCAGGTTCGATTCCTGCCCTGGCCGCTTATCTTTTTGGTCCCGCACCACGCTGTTTTGTCTGCTGGCTGCGCAGCAACGTAGAGGCGTCTGTCGTGACTCGTTCCCTTCTCCGTTCGTATGGTCAATCCTTGAAGGGCCGTGTCTTGACGCCATGGACAAGACGACACATGAGAGCATCTTTCCCACTTGCAGCTGTTGCTGCGGGCATTGCGCTCGACATCGCACTAGCAAGAGAGACAGAAACGACACGACGAGCACAGGGCGAGAAGCCAGGACGGCGATGGACATGGGCGAGGGATAGATGAGCACGACGTGAGACAAACTATCTCCTGGTCAAACACCAGGTCCTAGCTATCTACCGCACAACCCTCGATTGAAATTCCTCGATAAGAACTGATTCAATGGTCCGGCTGGTAAATCAAGCCCACTATGGACATCATTGACTCACACGCTCCCCTCCAAGGACATGGACGAAACTAGCACGGTAGACACCCGGTCACGCCTGGTCAGAGTGTGAGCGACTCCAGCAAAGAAACTCGTCCATTCGAATCCCCGCTTGCTTGCTTTGACGAAGAAAGAACCAATCTCACTGTCACACGGTTACGGTCACAAAAGGGCTATGACTGTGACCACGAGTTTGAGGCACAGGGCCTGCGCCAAGAGGATCGAGGGACGCCCAAGTACAGAGAGTCCTCTCATAGCTGAATGAAGCTATGGCTCAAGGCCCTCTCTTCACTGAGCCCTCGTCACAATTGTCAACCATTTAACAAGACGACTTCATCGCAGCATAGGAAAGATGAGCCTGCGATACCAGAGATGCTTGCTGGCCAAAGGCACAATCCATGGCCTCGTAGCCGTAGCACCTGTATGTCGTGGCTGCGTCGGGTGTGTCGGAAGACTGGAAGTACTCGGTCCTCGGATGGATGGAGCCAAGAAGGAAAGGGTACAGGTGCGGAACAAGGTCTGCTTCCCCGATCAGTCCTTTGCAAGCTCCCATCAAGAATTGGCCAGCAGCCCGGGCACACGTCATACTTACCATTCCAGTGAGTGACCCGGTATGAAATGCCGGGATTCGCATCCGTCGCCCCAGCGAGCCTGTCAAAGTAATCGGCGAAGCCCATGTTGCCGACTCTCGGCGCGCCGTGGGTGATGACCTGCGTGACATTCAACGGCTTCGGCCCCAGGCTGCCAAAGGCCAGCTCGCTGAGAGCGCCGCCCAGGCTGTGGCCTACGGTGGTGACGGTGTAGTCCGGGTGCGTCTCCAGGCTTGACGCCAGCTCTCGTTCCACCTCATCCTGGATCGATTTCCATGCTGTCGTGAAGCCATGGGTGCGTTTTGCATTGTGTGCAGGAACCTTTGGGGTCGGTGTATTCAACCAGACGCAGGTCGTTATCCGTGTCCCAATCCTTGATGGATGCGGTTCCAGGAATCGCGAGCACCAGCTCCTTTCTGGGATCCAGTCGGAATATCATGGCCTGTGTGTCGGTGTCGGTGTTGTTGACGTAGTGCTGCTGGACAATTCCGTCCGGGAGTCTGCCAGCGCATGGAAGGCGGAATACGGAAACTGTGCTAGTACTCAAGCTTCTTGAATACGCTGGGGGCAACTTCTCCCATGTTAGCGCGACACTCGGGTCTAGGAACATGTTTGGTTGCGCATCTTGCCTGGTTTCCGAGGACAGTTCGGGGTGGCGACGGCCTCTACCGCAGCCGTCTCGCTGAAAATGTCTGGAGGGGCACCTTTTGCGAGAGCGCCGGCTGCTTGAATCGCATAGCTGATGATGCTCTTCTTTACGACATTGGCCAGGGCAAGGGCAGCCCAGGGCAGCCCGAGTATGACTGGGAGCATTCTAGCTTCTGTTCCGGAGAAAAGTTCGCACGCCGACAAAAGCGCGACCTGCGGCGTCGTACACTGCCCACGATCCATCCTGAAATAATTCCACGAGGGAGGCACCGGTTGGACGAAGAGGCCGCTAGATGTTGCTTTGGGCGAGCTGCTCTATCTCAGCCAGGGCCTATGCAGAGCAACGTTCGAGACGGTGCTCAGTCTAGTTCCAAGACAACGTTGACGCTAATGCCGGCGAGGAAAAGTGAGCAATCCGCATAGTCGAGTCAGGGCATAGGCAAATTCCTGTCAACCTCGTTGTCAATGTCGACCAAGACAAGGCTGCGCACGGCAGTCAGATGCACGCAACTGCGCGTTTCCCGTCTCCTGGGAATAAATGTAGTCCATCACCCTTGCTCCTTTTCCCGTCATTGGCCAAATTGTCTCTTTTGTCCCGTGTTGCCACACGCAACTTCTGCTGTTTGTCCCACCATCCAACGCTTCATAACGACCCTTTGCACTGCCGCTTTCGCCAGCACCACATCGGGCACCAACTCGGCCAACGGCTCCTTTGGTCTATTTCAGAATGCAACGGAGCCACGCCGAGATAACCATTGGTATCGGAAGGATTCGATGGTAAACAGACTCGCCATAGCTCCGGTAGGTCGCCCTGTCAATGGTGGCTGCAGCGTAGACGTCCGCAGAACTGCTTAGACTTTGAGGACCCGAAAAAAAAAACTCCTATGCAACGAGATGCCGGCCGGATCTTTGCTGTTTGCTAGTCCTTGGTTAAGCCATGCCTGTAGTTTCAAAAGTACGGCGGACAACACATGACTCCGTCGATGCCATTTACCAAGCGGCCGGCGCAGTCATGGTTCGAAAGGCGTGCGCCGCAAGCGTTGCTGCACAGGTTCGTTCGATTGTTGAGCATTCTTGTATGGCTCCTGTACGCATATACGCGCTTTGCATTGAAGGCTGGCGTCAGGAAAGCAAACTTCGAAATGAGCTTGAGGACCTGGGTAAGTGTGGTCCGGTGTCGTGCGCTGGTTAAAAATGGACCCTAATAAATTGACGTGAGCGACGGCGCTTGGGGTTAGGGTTGCGCGGTGGCGCCCCTCCCACTCTCTACGCGCTCAACACCAAAAAACGCGTCCGCTCTGCCGTTGTCGCGTTATCTGCACGTACCACGTACCACGTACCCCAGCCCGTCCGCTTGCCTCCACTCCGTTCGTTACCTGGGCGCCCTGGGGCACTCTGACCTCGCGTCCTTCCTTTCTTGCCCTGCACAATCCACGACTCGACGACTTTCATCGCTCCTGCACCGCATCGCACCTTGACCGTGACGGTTGAGTACGGCAACCACAGACACCGCTTTCATCGCATTCACTCTGCCTTGCCACTCTCGGCAACTACACCGCCGCCGACGACATCCAACCTTCCCGACCAACGGGCTGGCGCAACACCCTCGACTTGGTTGCGGCCGCGACACCAGGCACCAGGCACCAGGCATCGACATGCCTCAGCCGGCAGTCACGAGGCGGCAGGCCGTCCAAGCCTTGCCTTCTCTCAATCCCATTACCAACTTCACACGCGTCGTCAAGACGCAGCAACTATCCGACGTCGCCGCGAAAAAGGCACTCGTCGTGGAGTTACCGTCCCCTAGCCCATCGCTCAAGAGAAAGGCAAGCTCCATCCAACAGGACACCGACAGACGACGCATTGTCTCCTTCTCCCCCCGCAGTGACGGAGACGAACATGAACGTGCCCCCTTGAAGCGGGCGAGACGGGCCGGGCCATCCCCCGCTGCAGACTGCATTGGAGTCTCTTCCCCCAGCGAGGGAAAGCGCTTCTCCAAGGCTGCGCCGTCCAAGACAAAGACGGCTCAAAGACCAAGCCAGTCTACCATCATCGCCAAGGCCCTCAAGCAGGGGAGGCGGGTTCAAACCAGGATCGACGCCGTCTATCAGAAGAAAGCCGACAAGGCCAAGGCTAACAGGGAAGAAAAGTCACTGCTGCCGCCGCACCTGTTCGACATGATTGCCCTGAACAGGGCATTCCTCAAGACCATCATGATTCAGATTGCTCACAGCGGCAGCACGGCCCCCATCGACATGAGGATGATTTCTCCAAATGTCTCACGGACCTGGGGGAAGCGACAAGTCACGGTGGAAGACATCCGACGGTGCATCGCGGTTCAGTCCCACGGGCCGGAGGGCTCCGCATCACCATTCATCATTACCGACTACGGGCGGGGAAGAGTCTGCGTCGAGCTAGCCAGCGGCGTGGAGGCAGCGTCCATCAGGGAGGACCGCCTGTGCAGCCAGTTTGAAGACAACATCCGGGCTCTGTGTGCGGAAAAGGCCACGGATGGAACGACGGACGTGCACGTCCCCCTGCAAAGCCTGTCGCTGTCGGATCTTCCCCAGGCCGCCGTTGCAAACAAGACCGACGGTTTGCAAACGAACCCTCTCGTGGCCAGGGGCCAGAGTCTGCTGTCGGGGCTAAAGAGCGACATCGCAGCCAAGCAGCAGGGGAGGCAAGACAAACAGCACCGAGCGGCCGCACAAACGGCCCAGCTGCTCAACCCCGACGGCACCAAGATGAGTCTCCTGGACCGGCTTCGGCACAAGCAGCTGGCCAAGGCAAACGAGCCGCTGGCGCCCTCTGGCCCAGACCTTCAGCGCCGCGCCGCGCTCAACCGCGTCGTCGACGTTGCTGCCACCATCTCCATGCTTAGCCTGTCCAACCCGCTGTCTCTCCCCCGCCAGGCCTTCACCATGCTGGCCATATCCAACAAACTCCGCGACTCACTCCGCGTGCCCCTCTCCAAGGAAGAAGGCGTGGCCTGCGTACGACTCATTGCCGCAGAAATCGCGCCCGAGTGGCTGCGGATTGTGGCCATTGGCGGCCGGGAAAATGTCGTCATTCAGCGCCACGGCCAGCCCATCGATCGGGTTATCCGCGAGCGCGTGCAGAGGCTGCTCGCTGCGTGAGGGCAGGAGCATAGACGTGCACGTTGGCACGTTGGATACCAAGACGAGATACCCGCAGCATTTCTTTGAGGAGACTTTCGCCTCACAGGGCGCTGGATCAGGGCCGATCAGGTCCCAATGTACGTCCAGATCAATAGTTGAATACGCCCGTGTCTAAGCCACCCTCCCCACATGTCGTATTCGTTAATCGTCGGCGGAAACTCCATGGACATACATGTGCCGGCGGGTCCCCACCACAGTAGTGAGTGTGCCTCGGCAACGACACATCGGATACAAACACGGCAGGAAGTACGCCTTTCCACCAAGCAGTGCAAGGACGAAGCAGGATCCTCAACTCAGCAGATTGGAGGCAAGCGCATCTGCTGCGTTCGTTTCGGCGCCGGGACATTCGCGTTGGCTAAGTACCTAGGCGCCTTTCCTGTCGGAAGGCATCCGCACCCCCATCCCACTTCCGAAGAGTAGTGATTTTGCTCCGGAGCGACGCCCGACGACCGGGGTCAGGGACGGAGTCTGCGCGGATGGATCTACTAGTTATCGGCTACTTAGCCTGCGACTCCCATGGGATGGGGCCACGGCAATGCCAAGGGGGGGGCAAAGTTGAGCTACTGGTCTTTATCATTGGGACCTTGAGGAACCCTGGGGGGGAGAATCGGGTTTCAATTAGTTAACACGTCTTTTTTTAAAAAAAATCCCTTCTGCTCTTCTTGCGTAGTAGCCATTTCGTTTTGGTCGGGTGATGCTTTCGTCGACATTGCTCGCGTCTGGCCCGAGTGAGCTTTTTCTACGGGAAAATTGTACGAATTGGATGAGGTCGTTTTCGCTGTAGCGGAACGTTATCCGCTACAAGCTTGAGCAGAGAGGACGTCGTTCGGCTTCGCGCAAGACTCCACGCCGTCGAGCAGCTGCTGCAAATGACGCAGCCGAAAGTAACGGGGGCTACGCCTCGCTTCACGCCCATATCGCACACATCAGGCGACACGGCTGAGGCGTACCGCTCCATCTCTCACGTATCGGGCCACGACTTCCATCCTCAGACCCTGACGGAGACTGTCGACGAAGACACATCCGGTGCGTGTCATGGCCTCTCGCCGCGCCGCAAAACAGTCATTGTAGCCGTCTTGTCCTTCTGCGCCTTGCTCTCTCCCATTTCCAGCACTTCCGTCCTCGCCGCGACTCCCGAGGTAGCAAAGGAATACGACACGACGGGGTCCATCATCAACGCCTCCAACGCGGCCTACATGATCTTTATGGGCCTGTCGCCAGTAGTATGGGGCCCCATGAGCCAGGTGTTCGGACGGCGGCCGGTCATCTTGCTGACGGCAGTGCTGTTTTTCCTTCTGAGTCTAGCGACGGCTCTGGCGCCGGATCTGGTGTCATTTTTTGCATTTCGTGCGCTCTCGGCGTTCGAGGGAACGGCCTTTATTCTACTAGGGAGCGCATGTCTAGCGTGAGTTCATCGCTCGGCTATGTCCTTGTACGAGCTGTTGTCTTGTATGCATTGTGACTGGCTGACGCTGGACAGAGATATATATCATCCTACCGAGCGAGGCACAGCCATGGGCTGGTTCTTGTCCGGTACTCTCATCGGGCCGGCGATGGGCCCATTTATAGGCGGCATCATCGTCACGTATTCGTCGTGGAGGTCAATATTCTGGCTGCAGACTGCCCTCGCAGGGACCAGCGTCGTCGGTGTCTTTTTCCTGGTTCCCGAGACCGCGCAACACAAGAAGATTGCAGATTTGGAGAATTTGCCCAAAAAGGAACGGCTCGGAGCAGTTATGCACATGATTAGTCCCATTCGCGTGCTGAAACTGTTTCGGTATTGGAACCAGGTTCTCGTGGCATGTGCTAGTTCGGCCTTGCTCTGGAACATGTACAGCTTGCTCACACCCATTCGATACGTCCTCAACCCACGGTTTCGCCTGGATTCCCCATTGCTGGGTGGGTTATTCTATCTTGCCCCGGGCATGGGCTATGTCGTTGGAACTTTTATGGGTGGTAGGTGGGCGGATCGGACGGTCAAAGTGTGGATAAAAAAGCGAAATGGTGTTCGCGTTCCGGAAGATCGGCTGCGGTCAGCAGTTCCGTTTATGGGTATTGTGATGCCCGTTTGTATTCTTGTATACGGCTGGACGGTGGACAAGTCGGCAGGAGGCATCGCGGTTCCGGTAATCGCCTTGTTCGTACAGGGCATGGCACAACTCTTTAGTTTCCCATCATTGAACACATATTGTCTTGATGTAATGCCGGGACAGGGAGCTGAAGTCGTGGCGGCCAATTACTTTGTGAGATATTTGGCGGGTTGTATAGGCTCAGGCGTGGTGCTGCCTGCGATTGAGGGTGTTGGAGTCGGTTGGTTCTCTACCATTTCGGCGTTGCTTCTGGGTCTATCTACAATTGGTGTCATGGCCGCCATCAGATGGGGAGAGTCGTGGAGAAGGGCGACTGATGCCAAGTTGGAAAAGCACAGGAGGAGGACGCCTCAAAGCTTGAAAAAGAGGATACAGCTGCGGAGCACGGCGTGATTGAAGATAGACTGTCAGCATAACAGATTGCGTGATGAATCATGATAAATTCCAATGGAGGAACCCGGGGGTTTAGAGCATCTTACATGAAGACGGCGTGTCGAGTCTCGACTCTGCGGGCTAGAGTACGACTTTTGAGAGGACAGGAGCACGCCGTCATCGACAGCCACTAGCAACGGGCATCCGCGCGTGGGCAACTGTTGAGCAGCAGTATTTGAGGGTCGGGAACGATTTTGGCGCTTTCGTGAGTTCGTTGGGTGCGGCAGGCAGTGATCGATACGAACTGGCACCTCGACATGATTGGACAGGCGCCAAGGCAAGATCACGCCACGTTTGGCTGGTACTGCCGGTCGAAACGAGGAAGCCTTCCCTCTAGGAGGCAACGAATCCTCTCGTGAACTCGTAGAACAAATGGATTCCTCCTTTTCTCTCCTCCTCGCAGTCGTCTTGGCATGCACAGCCGACACCAACAACAGGCATCGATCGCCGAAGCGCCCTCGGCCGATCAAACACCCGTGAAATGTAGAGCGTACTCACCGTCACTACTTTTGCTCTGACTATCCGCAAATAGGTCCAATAGGAACAAACGGATGCGTATCGAGTACGGCTGGTTTTTGCCTTGTCGAGTGTCAAAGCAGACGGATGGCCAGTATGGTCATGAGCCATGACTGAACTTCCACAGTAACGTAAGCGCCTTCTCCAACGTGGCGACGGCGTGGCGGGACGTGTGAGCCATGGACGTGGTCTTACATGGCGCTCCGTGGCAGATGCGGCCTTGCGACACCGAGAGGTGGAGGGATTGCGTATCCCATCTCGAATGAGGCCGTCCAAACATACAGAGGTAGTGAGTAGTAGATGTGTCGTCGTCAGATCCATTGTGGCATTGCTGGTCACTGCATTGTCCCTCGTCACAAGTTGCCCTCTTTTTCTCGCGAAAGCTTGTATTATCCATCACGTTGGTTCCTTCCTTCCTTGTCTTGCGACTGACTATTGGTCCATAGCTGAAGGCGCTTCCCAAACTACCCTTGACCTTTTCTTTGCCTTCTGCATACTCCAGTACGCTTATTGCTCCTGTCTCCTTGACGTCCAAGTCATATCATTCTGCCTCCTTGTATATTCGTTTCTTCATTTCTTTTTGGCCTTGCAACGCAGGAGAAATGATTCTCCATCTCTTTGCTCATTTGTGTCTTGACGAGCCCGTTTCGGCACCTCATAGCTGCACCGCGAGATCTACGACGTAGATCCTCTCCTGGACGTTCACGTCTGTTTTCCTTTTCCCTGCGACTATTGTTACATCCAAGTCTACAGTCCATTACCTAGGATCGACGTTGAACTAGAATTTTTTTTGTTTACTACTTCCTTTTTCACAAGGCGTCCTTATTGTCGGCGCACCCCTCCGGCAGCAAAAGACTGTGTAATAGACGCCTCCCGGTATACATCACTATTAACTGATTGGCGCTTCAATTTACGAAAAAAAAAGTTTGATACTCTAATGTGTATCTAACTTGGTTGAAACACGCCAACTGGCATGGAGCGCCGGGCCCCTTTGCTCGGTCTAGGCGACCGCGGAAGCATGCGCAACGGTCACAAGTTCAAGAAGAGTGACCCTATGTTACCATATTCTGAACACTCAACCCGGGATCACGTCGCGCGAATCAAGACAGTTTTCAGCCACTGTCATTACAGGAGGATTTTGTTCTGGGCTGCCGTGTGCCTGATGCTTGTCATTCTGGGCTGGTCCCAGAGCAAAAGTGTTGCAGTGCCACGCGCGGTTGAGTACGCAGAGAGCAAAGCCTCAATTTCGGAAAACACTCCCGAAACCACTAGCAATGAAAGACTAGGGGCCGAGGATGAAGAGCAACGAGAAGAACTCGAAAGGGAGGCCAAGCAAAAACCTTGGCTCCGGTTCCCTCAGTAGGTGCTCCTTTCCCTGTAGCAAGCAATAGGTCGGTCAACCCGTAGACTCACCATTCTTCGTCTAGCCTCGACGGCTACTATTACGGTTTGAAGACGCTAGTAAAAGCATCAGACCTGGTACCAGAGTACCCCAACACCACTGACACAGCGGCTTTGCCCGCCCCAAATATCAACGAGGGCCGTCCACGGAGGCCAGCGGTATACGATCCATACCACACAGCCGGCAGACATGTCAAGACCTGTTACCTTGACAAGAACAAAGAGATCCCGGCAGCCAACGTGTATGCGTACGATGGCGTACCCCAGCACATGCCCGCCGCTACACTTGGGTCGTACGAGTTATTTGGAATTCGAGACGATGTCTGCTTTGACCGGTTTGGGCGGTTTGGTCCCTATGGCTTGGGATATGCGAAAGAGGAGGGGGGTTCGGGTGTTGGTCAAGACACAGAGGATTCCCACAGCGAGCTCGTCTGGGCAGCGAGCGGCAAGATCAACTACACTGAGGTTGACTGGGGTGATGCTCAAGACCGCTGCTTAGAAGCCAACCAACATGGCCTATTAACCCCTGACGCGAAATTCGGTCGAGTTGCCAATTCGGCAGGCGATGCAAGCAGCAAGAAGGTTCGCCAGGCAGTTGTTGCGCGCTGCTACACCGACTTCCAATGGACGGACATTGCCATTGTCAACTTTCGGGCTCTGATCACGGAGCTGTCCCTCAAGTCGGGCGGCGAGTACACAGTCCATATTCTGCTCCACGTCCTCGACGACGACGAACCCATCTGGGCGGATGAGAGAGTTGTGCAACGAATCCTCGACAGCCACATCCCCCGCGAGTTTCACAGTCTGGTGACTCTCTGGAGCGAAGCCCAGATGGAGCTGTTCTACCCCGGAGACTTCGAGGACGCGTACGAGAACCCCAGCCACTCTGCCATTCACGACGTCTTTCGCAGCGCGCACTTGGCGCTGCAAGTGTTTGCCTCTCAACATGCAGAGTACGAGTACCTTTGGAACTGGGAGATGGACCTGCGCCATGTGGGAAACTACTTTGAGCTGCTCGACCGAGTCGGGCGGTGGGCAGACAAGCAACCGCGAAGATTGCTCTGGGAGCGAAGCGAACGCTACTACGTCCCCTCGTACCACGGGACGTGGGAGAATTTCAGCAGAACCGTTGAAGCGGACCACGCACAGTCGGGCAGGCAGGCCGTCCTGGGCCCGGTGGACGACGAGGATGGGAGGCCTCTCTATTCCGAAGAGGACGGCAGGGGCCGTGTCCCGGAAGGCTGCGGCGCCGAGGACGACGCCGCCGGATGCGGAGTCGACGAGGGCGCGGACCTCATCACGTTCAACCCCATCTTTGACGTTGCCGCCTCTGGGTGGGTGTTCTCCAACGACGTGGTGGGATACAGGGGCGCGTCGTGCAGCAATCCCCCGCGGCGGGCGTCCATTGTCACGGCGGGCCGGCTGAGCAGGAGGCTGTTGATGTCGATGCACGAGGAGGTCTGGCGCCACCGCCGGACCATGTTCTGCGAGATGTTTCCCGCGTCGGTGGCCCTCCACCACGGCCTCAAGGCCGTCTACGCTCCTCACCCCGTGTTTGTCGACCGCGCCTGGGCGCCCGCGGGGTCCGCCGTCGACGCCGTCTTCAATGGCGGCCGAGACCACTCGACCTCGGGCCCCAACAGCCCCTTTCACCTTGGCAACGAGCACAACCACCGGGGGACCAGCTTCTACTTCAACAGCGAGTTCGCGGGCCTCTTGTGGAGGCGCTGGCTCGGGCACGCCCAGATGGACGGCCGCGGGCTGCGCGGTGCTCGCAGCGGCACCCTCCGCGGCGGGCGAGGCGAGGAGAGCCGGAGCGACAGCAGCGGCCGCATGTGCTTGAGGAGTGTGCTCCTCCACCCCATCAAGACGGAGGGTCCCGACCTGTAGCCAGTCTGTCGACGGCACGGCCGGAATGGTTCGGCGGTTGGCGTCGCCACAAAACATGGAACAGCGTCTCCTGCCGGGAGGGAGGCGAGGGGGCAAGGGGTCAGGCAAGGCCACATATTTCATGTACCGTCTAGCAGAATTCTTCGGCATCAATCTCAAGTACAAGTACAGTGAGTGTGGGCTTCCAAGTGGGCGCGAGTAGTTTTCAACAAGCGTCTGTCAAGGACGCAACGTAGATGCAAAGGCCGGACGCACGGGGCACCTCGTCGCACCGCCAGGCGAGGTCTGTATGAAAACCAGAAGAGCAGAGTCGACCGGTAGACGGATCCCAGTCTGGACCGGCGACAACTCGAGACCAGTCTGGTCTGTACTGTCACTGTATACAGTATACATACAGCCAGGCAGGCACGCACGCACTGGGTGACCAACCCCCCCAAAAAAAAAGAAAAGAAAACATATTCCGACACGAAAAGACGCAAAAAGGCACCCGAACCCGAACCCGCCGACGACAAGTCGACGCTTGACAACAAAGACCAACGGCAGCCGCCACCAAGGGCTCCAGGGTGTGGTCTGTGGTTTCGCCCCGCGACACGGCCCGGCAACGCAACACCACCAGCTTACGTACTTGGAGGCGGGCATGGTCGCGAGCAGCCGCGCCACGGCCACACCGGAAAAACAACAAACAGGCAGAGGTCCCGACGATATACGAAAAAGAATAAATGCCGTCTGTCCCGAGAAACCGCAGCCCAGAGAGCCTCCCCCCTCCCCCCTCTCCCCCTTTTCCTTCGCGCCTCCCGCTGTGCGAGCTCAAGCTCCCCTGTACACGTGTCACGGCAGCCCATACAACAGAGAAAAAGCCCATCCTGCGCGCCGTCGAGCAGAGGCTCCAGGTCAGGAGAATGGAAAAGCGGATATTAAATAGTAGCTCGGCACAGCGTGGGGGTGAAATCGCTGGACGTCAAATAAAAAGCGAGACAAAGAGGTATCGAAGCCACGCCGCGACGCCGTCAACGCCCTGAACGCCACTTCGAAAGGGGACACGGAAGAACCCCGGAGAAGAGAAAAAAGCAGCCATCGCGCAAAGAGAGGGAGGGCGGGGCGTGTCGTGTCATAAACGTCGAGGAATAAAGAGAAGCAGACCAAACCAGGCCCCCAGTGGCACGGTCACGGTCGATATCGAGGCGACACGTCAAACCGGTGGCTCAGGAGACGTGGTGACTCTCCTCTTCATTTTCTCAAGACAGCCTCGTAGATGCTCACGATGCCCGTAACGGCAGTGCCGACAAGGATACCTTTGTAGCCGCCGTAGACGGCGCGTTCGAGACGCTCAATCGACGTCTCGGGCAGGAGGCCGCCAAAGGTGACGCCCTGGCCGTACACGACGTACGAAACCAGGGCCTTGGCGATGCTAAACGTGAGCGGGTCGACCACGGTGTCGTTGGCCGCGGCCCTGGAGCGGGTCCGCGGGCCAGTGTGGCTCGTGGCCGTCAAGTTGAAAAAGTACCCAAACAGGCTGGGGAGGACAACGCTGGTCAGAGTCCAGGTGAGCGCCGGCGACCAGAAGCTCGAGGTCAAGATGAGGAACATGTCGGGCAGGTAGACGGGGTAGTCGGAGGTGCCAATGGCGCGAACCGCCGGGATGGTGAAGGCATAGCGGTCGGCCAGGATCTCGCGTCGGATAAGGACCAGCTCAAAGGCAGCGACGACGAAAAGGACGCTGGTGACGGTGCTTAGGGTCTCGCGGGCGGCATTGGAGGCCTCGGTGATGCCGGTCTCCTGATACATGGACGCGACACGCTTGCGCATGGCCACGGTTGAGCGGTCAAAGGCGTTGGCCACGTCGGCAGGAGTGGCCGGCAAGGGGATGCGGGCAGCAACTTGAGAAAGGCTACGGGCAGGCGTGCGAGCAACGGCCGTAGAGGATCCATGTTCGTCGCTTCTGTCGACGCAGGCACGACGGGTCAGCCGTGAAGGGGGAAACTCGGGTCCGCGACGAGCAGAGACTGGGACGCAAAAACGACCAGACAGCATCGGGGCACTTACTCAGAGGCCAGCTCCTCGAGGGCCTTGTTCGCGCGGCGCTTGGCAACCCGGAGAGGCTTTTCGCTCTCGTCCTTAGAAGAGTCCTTCTCCTTCTTAACGGGGGAGCCGAGCGCCTTGGAGCGGCTGTTGAAATAAGGAGTCAAGTCGGAGCGGTTGGCCAGGCGGCTGCTGTGTTCGGCGATGAACTCGTCGAGCGCAACCTCGAGTTCGCTCTTCTTGAGGCTCTCATAGCTACAAGAACGCGCAGGCTGGTCAGCGCACAAGCTTTGATGCGTCTGGTTGGGGTTGAATACTGCTCAAGCCAAGGCGCCCGGCGACGACGAGGTTGTGCAAGAACTGGCGCGCTCGGGTGCGGCACACGTCGCGCGGCTCGAGAAACAGAAGCCTCAAGCACGCCTCAGTCGTGCTACCATGACATGATGCTGCACGGCTCAATGTCCCGTGGTCGCATCAAGCTGGTTTCGCGCGCGGGAGCTCCGGCAGTCGCGAACCTGACGCGCCAGTCTTTGTGCGCAACGAGGAAGACAAGACGAGGAATCAGCAACATACTTCTTCAAGCCAACATTGTCGGCAATCTGGACGAGATCGAGCTTGCGCTGCGCACGCAGCCAGGCGTTGGTTTGTGACGAAGACATGGTCGGCTCGATTTCGCCGTTGTCGCGCGGAAAGACTGGTGGCCGCAATCGATAATCGATGCGGGCGCGCGCAAAACAACCTCAAGGTCAATACAAAATAAGGCTACCAGGGTGCCAGTCTTGACGAACAAGGGTCTTTGTTGGCACCGTGACGAATGAATCTGGAGTGGAGAGACAAAGTAGTGAGAGAAGAAGAAGAAAAAAAGAAAAAAAATAGTATTAAAAAAAAAGAGCCCAAAAAAAAAGCCAAGATGGATTTCGACGGTGGGTGGTGGGTTGCTGTGGTGGTGACGGCCAATTGTTTATGTTTTGTTTTGGTTTTTTTGGGGCCCCCAGGTGGGGCAGCAGCAAAGGGCAACTCGCTCAGGAAGGACGGAAGGACGGAAGGTGGTCTCAACTTGCAACTGCCGTCCGCCCTCGACTGCCGCCGGCCCTTGCCCGTTGATCCCGGCTTGCCTGCCTTTTGAAATGCGTCACGGCCATGGCTGAAAACGCGTCATTGCTCCGTACTACATACACCAAGACCCTGACTGCATGCAGCTTGCTGCCTTTTGCATCCGCCTACCCTCCTGACTGCCTACTTATTTATTACATGCATGTATGTACGCATGCCCAAGCTGGCCGCCCTCTGACCATGTTCCAGTTGCAACAGGACCCTTGTCTCCATTCGCCGTTATTGGAAGCCTTCATATTCAGCTTTGCACTACGCATCCGACATCCAGTTGATGAACTTTTCTTCTCCCCTCTTGACGAGCCGCATGGGGACTGTCTTGCCCTGCAGGCCCAACGTGATCACCGACTTGGCCTCCGCCAGCGTCCTCCTGCTACGTGCCTGCGCCGTGCGGTATACCTCCGCTCTGGCGTCCCTGCTCATTCTTTGTACTTCTTCTTCGCTGGCCCATTGGTCCACTGCTAGCTCGAGGCTGTACCGTTGGAACAGAACCGTGAGAAATGTCATGATTTCAACCTGCGCGACTCGTCGTCCGATGCAGGATCGGGCCCCGTCGCTGAAGGGGAGATAGGCTCCGCGACGGGGGCGGAAGAAGCGCACGCTGCTGTCGGGTTTCCGGTCGATGCCCTCGTCGCTTTCGTCGTCGCCGCCGTCGAAGCCGTCGGACGACTCTGTCCAGCGCGTCCCTTTCTCGTCCGTCTCGTCCGTCTTCCCTTGGCGCCGGGGACCGGGCGTCGTCTCAAACCACCGCTCTGGCTTGTAGTCTCGTAGGTCGTCTTGTCCGGGAGTCAACCGACTCTCCTCGCAAGGCCAATGGCGAGCGTCTTCGTGAGCCTTCAAGACTTGGAGCATAACCAAGCTTCCCTTGGGGAGTAGGCATTCCACTCCATCAACGTTGACCACCTGATCACGATCCCGGGATACCTGCTTGGGGATGGCAGGTCCAGGCGGAATAAGCCGAAGAGTCTCGTTCATACACGCCGCGATCGCGCTGCCTGTCATGGGCCCAATCAATCTTTCGTAATCCCACGTCGAAGGGTCCGAATTCCCGACCAATTCGTCAACGTCTTTATGGATCAATCGTTGAGCCGCTGGGTTCGTGGCCAGGTTGATGAGAGTGAAATGAATGGTGTTTGCCGAAGTCTCGTGACCTGCCACAAACATGATGAATGCATTCCCAAGAATCTCATCCCGGTTGAGCACCCGTGTTCTTCCAACATTCCCAGCAGTCCCCTTTGCATCCAAGCCGTACGAACCCTTGATCAGCGCGCCCATGAAATCCATGCCCTCTTCGGTCTGTGTTCCATTTTCTACACCACGCATTTTTTCGTTCATCATCTCATTCGAGTATCGGACGTAGTCCTGGTATGCTGCCGCAGCGAGCCGTGGGCCCTTCCACGGGGATAATTTAAGCAGCCAGGAAGGTAACAATAGGACGATGAGGATGTCGTTCAGTAGCCGAACTAGGGTGTCCACGAACGAGAATGAGTAGCCAGGAGGCGGGTCTAGTGAAGCGTACTTTGCAGCGGCGACGTCTACGCCAGGTGGCAAATCTTGACCCGGCCAGAGAAGTCGTAGTCCGAACCCAACATAGCTAATGACGTTGATGGTGAGTCGCGTAATATCAGCCGAGATGGTTGTCAGGGGCTCACTCCTGTTGCCCAAGTCGTCTACCCAGGTGCCCATCATGCCCTTGGTCTGCTCGATGATTTCGCGAAAGACCAGGGCAGAGTTCTTCTCATTGAAGCTTGGCGACGTGGCCTTGCGATGAGCTTTCCACACGTTCCCTTCGGTCGTGACAACGTTTTCGCCGAACAATCTCAGCATGCGATAAATTTGACATGGCTTGGGGAATTTTTCTCGCTGTGTAATTATTTGTCGAATCACGTCGGCATTGGCTGTCTGGATCATAATGGCACCGGGAGACACCAAGGCAAACGTGTCGCCATGGCGTGTATAACGCTTTCTGTCTAGTCGGTAGGCGGCATCGGGAATCATGAGACTAGTGGCTTCCGGTTAGAAAATAAAACTGTCGACCTCGTGCGCTAAACAGCCAGCAGCTTACTCTAGCCAGTCATCCCACCAAGACTTGGGCAACAACCTGATCAGCTTGGCATAGATGGGAGCCAATACCAACCAGTGTCTCGCCAGCATTTCACATGCTACAGATCAGACGAAAGACATCGTCTCGAGTTAGAAACATGGTGCCTTCAAAAATCTCAAAGACAAAGGTGCTGGCGGAAAAACAATAAGCAAGCCCAAGATATCGACTCACGAACAACAAGATACGGCAAGTTGCTTGCTTTGGCTATGGCGATGTTCCGCCTTAAGCCCAAGACAAGACGAATTGTGCCATAGAAAAGAAGCCCCGCAGCGACTAGCAGGACGTTCTGCATGGTCACGGCGTGGCAGCAGTCCTCCTTGGTTAGCCAGTTCGGTTTCACTTCCAACCAAAGAACCCCATATGACTGAACCGAAATACAGGTTGGAATCTAGGGACGTTGAATAGATGAAACTGTGTATGACCGGTATGCGACGAGTCCGGGGACGTTGCTGTTAGAAAACGTCAAAATGAAGACAAGCGCAGATAGGTATTACCCAGTGTCAAGTTGATTGAAAAAAACATTTTCCAAGGATCGGTTGGGAGAACAGACGGCGGCGCGAAAGCATATTATCTCAAGCAGGAGTAGCTAGTTGCTCATTTCGGCGCCAATGCCAGCCAGCCCGATGAGGAGAAGCCCGTTTCCCCTTGAAAGCTGGTCTCGGTTTCTAAACATCCGTTCCCACTTGGCTCCAATCGGCAGCGGAGCACTGTCAAGGCATAAACAGATGGTAGGGACCGGAGACTGGGAAGGTTATGTGGACCAGGATACGTCGTGGTCACAAGTCGCCAATGCTACGTCTAGCTTCGAAGGCTGAACGTGCTCGGCGGATACGCGAACTTGAGTGGCGGAAATTTTGTCTAATTGCCGCACATGGCGCAAAAGTTACGCGGCCACCTAGCGGGTGTTTGGATGCTTCGCCATGTTAAATCGGCAGTGCTGGTTGCTATTTGTTAGTCGACGCCGTGTTTCAACTCGTTTATTTGCACTCGGTCCGCCTTGCCGAGAAAAGGTCCAGCGTCGACAGCATAGACGACAGCAAAAGAGAAGACGACCAAGATCCATTGAGCTGACAAATAGCAGGCCTCGAAATCGGATCATTCCAGACTGCGTTGGGTCGTGGTTGAGCGCCCGCGTGAGTGGTGTCGACCTCGCCCACAATTGACCTCGGGAGGTTTCGATGCCGGCGCCAGTGGGCCAATCCGTCGAGTCCCATCGTGGGAACCGCCAAACGCTGCGGGCGGCTCCTGTGGCACCGGAGACTGGCGCATCCGAGATGCAGGCTGCAGGCTGCCTTGAGGGAGGATGACTGTGTGTGCGATCGACGTTGGACAAGGTGGATGCAGCGAAGCGATGTCTTCACGGGCCTGCACGGGCCTGCATGAGGCAAGAAGCACTTTCCTTGTCCCTTCCAGCCCTTGGCGGGACCAATCAATGTCTGTCCCCCACGATTCCACGGATGCACACCCCCACTCAACAACTGCCGCACCGGACCCTTGAAGCTGACGCATCTCAAGACGGTTCAACGTGATGAAGAGATGCGTGCCGGCGCTGTGCCGCCGTGGCTCGTGAGAAACATCCGAGACGACGTTCCTGAGCTTGGAGAATCTTTCGGGCTTCGCAATGCGAGGGACACCGGTGTGTGGCTCCCACTTCGGTGGCAGTTTCGCCACACTGCTTGCAGGAGGCACTGTGACCGCAAAGAGCCAGAAAAGAACAGCTAGTCGAGCAAGTTGGCAAGTTGAATGAATGCCTTCAACACGGATGAGAATAGTGTATCGGCAGTTTGCAATTCCTGCTGCTCTGTTGCTCTGCTCTGCCGTCGTCGAGCCAACCTTGACGAACTGGGAAAAAAGAAGAGGTGAATTGAGCATGCACGTGCACAAAACAGTACAATCATGCCTGCCTTGCGAGCCCGCGAGGCTCCGGCGGCAAAAACCGTAACCCCCACCTGGCGTTGATGAATTCAAGAAGGCGCAAACGCCGACTCATGGTCCGGATATATACACGGGCAAGCATTGAAGTACAATGAGCAATTTTGGTCTTTTCTGTGCATGCTGCTGCCGAGAAGCTAGTTACATCCAGGGACTGCTTCGCCCCAGCAGTCACCCTTTTATTCGCCGGCATCAATCCTGGTCAAGATTGGAGCAAACGGACCAATCATCATCACATTGAACACAACACTTCAACAAGAGAAAACGTCTCATCCAAACCCTTTGAAATGGCTGCATCACATCTATCCTTTTCCCCACTAATCCGCGCTACGTGTTGAAGATATCAAAGTAAAAGACGCTGTTCTGCCTCCTGTAATTCCGCTTGCCGTACCACGTTGAGTCGAAGACAATATGTTCTCATGATTTTATCCGCCGCCCCCGCCGCCGCCCCCGCCCTTCGTGAATAACAAGAAGGGGGAACTAAAACAATGCACTTTCTGATCGAATCGTCGCTTGTTTCGGTAGATCCTGTACCCTCTTCTAAAACAACCCATCAATCTCGCCAGTTTCCGTGTCGACATCCACGTTGAGATAGCCGGGGGCCGTGGGCAGACCGGGGATTGTCTGAATATCAGCGGCCAATGCGTATCTTATTGTTCGTGTTAGCTAGCAGTTCGCCTGGGAAAGGCCTCAAGGAACTTACAGATACCCTGCACCGGCGGCCATACGGACGTCCCGAATCGGAACGGTAAAGTCCGTGGGGGCGCCCTTGAGGTCAGGGTCGTGGGAGAGGGAATACTGCGTTTTGGCAACGCAAACAGGCAGGTTGCCATAACCTTGTCTGGTGTAGGTGTCGACCTTCTTCCGGGCCAGCTCGCTGAACTCAACCTTGGCAGCACCGTACATCTTTTGCCCTATGGCCTCGATACGCTCCTGGACACTCCCGTCCAGTCCATAGGTAAATTTGAGCTCCTTGGGCTTTTGGCAAGCCGCAACAATTCCCTTGGCCAGGTCAACGGCTCCTTGGCCGCCCTGGGCCCAGTGGTCAGACAGGATAGCATCTTCAGCACCAGCAGACAAGGCCTCCTCGCGAACAACGGCAATTTCGGCATCCGTGTCGGTGGCAAACTTGTTGATGGCCACGACTACGGGAACGCCAAACGACCTAGCGTTTCTGATGTGCTTCTTGAGGTTGACACAGCCGGCACGCAGGATTTCTACATTTTCCTGTCTGTAGACGTCATCTAGGGGGGCTCCAGGAGCGATAGGAGGGCCACCGCCGTGAACTTTCAGAGCGCGCACAGTAGCTACGACGACAACCACATCGGGAACAAGGCCAGAAGTACGGCACTTGATGTTGAAGAAGCGCTCACCGCCCATGGTGAAATCGAAGCCGGCTTCGGTGACAACGAACCCAGCTGATTCGCCATGGTTCTCATCAGGTTCGGTACCGGCTAGCTTCAATGCTAGCTTGTCCGCGATGATGGAGCTCTGGCCAATACTGATGTTCGCGAATGGACCAGCGTGGACGAACACAGGCGTTCCCTCCAGAGTCTGCATGAGGTTGGGCTTGATGGCATCCTTCATCAAGGCAGTCAAAGCACCGCCAGCCCCAATGTCATCACAGGTGACGGGGTCGCCGCTGCGGGAAGAAGCAACGACCATGCGTCCCAGGCGCTCACGCATGTCTTCCAAGCTTGTGCTCAGGGCGAGAATAGCCATGCACTCGCTGGCAACAGAGATGTCAAATCCAGTTTCACGGGACTGGCCCTTTTCTGTCGGAGCGGTGCCAACGGTGACGCCTCGCAGATGGCGGTCGTTGACATCGAGTACACGCCTCCAGGTAATGGTGTCGGGGTCAATGTCAAGACAAGCGAATCGTCGAATCTCTTCCTCGGTGAGGGCATCAGGGTCGGCCTTGTCAATACCGAGCTTTTTCAAGCGGCGGAACATGACGGGGGCAAACTTGCGCACTCCATTCTTGGCGGGGACAAGTCGTCTGTAGAGAGGTCCGTCCTTCTGCGTGTTTTCATGGAACATGCGAGTTTCCAATGCCGCAGCCAAGAGGTTGTTGGCAGCAGTGATGGCGTGAATATCACCCGTCAGGTGCAGGTTGAACTCGTCCATGGGAATCACTTGGCTGTAGCCGCCGCCGGCAGCGCCACCCTTGATGCCAAAGGTAGGGCCTTGGCTGGGCTGCCGGACGTTGGCAAACGTCAATCGTCCCAAGTGGGCTCCGAGAGCCTGGGCAAGACCCATGGTCGTCGTGGATTTGCCCTCTCCCAGGGGTGTGGGCGTTATTCCAGTGACTACGACGTAGCGGCCATTCCTTCGATGGTCGAGGCGTTTAAGCACGTCGAGGTGCACCTTGGCTTTGTAGGCACCGTAGGGTTCCAGCTCGTGCGGAGCAATGCCAACCTCGGCGGCAATACGAGTGATTTGCTTGGGAATTTGGTCTCTCGAGATGGCGATGTCTGATGGTACAGGGGTCTTCAACTTGAGGGGGAGGGGGATCGTCTTTCTAATCTTCTCCTTTTCAAAGAAGAGATTGGTGGCTTCGACAACGTTTTGCAGAAGCATGGCAACAGTCATGGGGCCCACGCCTCCGGGGACGGGGGTAATGACGGAGGCGACTTTGGAAGCGCCTTCAAAGTCGACGTCACCGACCATGCGCTGGCCACTCTTCCTGGAGGCGTCGGGAATGAAATTGGTGCCAACATCAATGACAACGGCACCTTGCTTCAACCATTCGGCCTTGACAAACTGAGCCTGTCCAATGGCAGCAATGACAATGTCGGCGTGCCTGAGGAAGTTGTCCAGCCCCTGGGTCTTGGAGTGGCAGACAATGACGGTAGCGTCAGCATGGCGCAAGAGGTAACTGACAGGACCGCCAACGATGTTGCTCCGGCCGAGAACGACTGCCGTCTTCCCAGCAACCTGGACGCCTGCCTCGTCGAGCATGTACATGACGCCCTTGGGAGTGCACGGCGTGAAGATGGGAGCGCCGCCGCGCTTGGCCAACTCGCCAATGTTGTTTGTTCCAAAGCCGTCGACATCCTTTTCATCGGCCACGGCAGAGGTGATGTTGTACTCGGAGATGTTGGCGGGAAGGGGCAGTTGAACCAGAATGCCATTGACGGTAGGATCGTGGTTGAGGCGACGGATCTGGTCCAGCAGCTCGGGTTCGGTGATATCCACGGGGAATTGGAGGAGTTCGCAAGCGACGCCAGCCTAAGGTAAAGATATGAGGCGTTAGCACCAACGTAGCCCACCAGTCACATGTAAAGGCACACGTGGGAAAATGGTGTACCTCTTGGGCAGCCTTGAGCTTCATGCGCACGTAGGTGGCTATGGAGGCCGGATTCTCCGGTTAGCTGTATGCCGGCTCACGATTCGCGGGGGAGGGGTCAAGAAAAACAAAAATCGGGCGAGGCGGGACGAACAAGAATCTGGGCGGTGGCCAACTGTCGAAGGCAGAGTCAGTACGGACAAAAGCGGAGGGACGAAGACTGTGGGAAGCGGAATTGCCTTGAATAATTTTGAGAGAAGGCTTGTAACGGGGGTTGAGCCTCTGCTTCTCGACAATCTCTGCACCGATCCTCTCACGTATGCTCTTGGCGATGGCAGTGCCATCCAACACCCGGGCAGTCATGGCTGCACTGGTGGCGAATCTTGTTTGACGACGAGGTGAGGACAGATGGTTGCCAAGAGACGAGGAAGCCAGCCGGGCAGGACGGCGTGAAGGGGAAGTCGAGAAGTAGAAGCGTGATGGTTGTGACCGGGGCGATGACGGCGGTGACGAGGGTCCCAATGGGGGTCCAAATGGGGGGCCATGTGCTAAGCTCCAGGCCGTCCAGGCTCGTGACAGTGCGGTGCTGGCGACATGTGAAGGCCTGAAAGCCAGCAGGCGGGTGCCGCCGCGGCCAAGCGGACGGTCAGGACGTCGCTGGCTGCATTGGGTGGCTCGGGCGGCTGCGGCAGCGGCTGAGGATGGACAGGCAGGACTTGGTAGCCGTCTGGCACAGGTTGAGTAGGTCGAGCAGGCATGGGAATGCCTTGTGCGCGCTGCTGGAGGCCGGGATGGTCTCAGTGAGATGGCCAAAGTCGTAGCCGAGTGCATCTCTCGTCGTCCCGTAATGGCACAGCGCTGCATCGTATCCCGCCTTGATGCTCCATGCCGCAAGCACACACGGTACAGGCGCTCGGAAGCCATTGCCGTGCTTCGAACTCGAAGGCCTCGCTTGGCCAGCAAATGCTCGTGCTCGGGGATGTGTATGCTGCAGGCTACGACTCGAAGTTGCGGGACCGGAACCAGGCCATTTGCAGAGCAGAGACACCGTCGTTGTTATTAAGGGTCCGACCGATGACCAGACGACAGCCGCGCCAAGGATTTGGCCTTTTTCTTTCCCCCCTTTGGCCTGGGGTGATTTCCAGTCTGTTTGTTCGCTGAGCGGATCCCAGGTCAGCCAGGGTTAGGGTTTAGCCAAGGTCAGCCCCGTCTTCGTAAAGCACCTCCCTCCACGGCAAGGTCGTGGGTTGGGGTTCTTTTTATAATTGCAAACTCCCTCCGCGATCCCAACCCGTCGAGCCATTACCATCACCCACACACTACGGATGCCATTGATTTCCCAGTCCTGAAACCCCGCTCCTGTTGTGAGGATGCGGCCCGTCTTGTCAGCTGCTATCGACAGACCAGGCAGGTCCATGGCCCTCATACTCGATGCGGCCAATGGCTTAGTTTTCATGACCAACGAATTCGCATCGCCAGCGCGGGGCCAAGGATGGACGATGCCAGCCAAAAAAAAAAAAAAAAAATAACCTTTCCAAGGGTATGTCAAGAGTCACGAGGTTTCGCTTGCATTGGCGCGCAAACGAGGCAGCTCTCTACATTCGATGATGCCGAGACTTGCCTGCTTGCCCATACTCTCCAAAAAACCCGGGGCCAAGCGTGAAACATATCATCGGGGCACACGGGTTCGTCAGGCAAAAGGGAAGCTTTCATGTTTTTACAAAATAGAGTGCGCCAGCCGGTGCGAAGCCTGCGGAGCTACGCCCCAGACTCCTCTCGTATCTCTACGTATTTGTTGATGCCAAGATTGCAGCAACATCTCGGATCAAAGTACAACCAGAAACAACCAGCCCACCATGTCGATCCAGCTGCCAAACCGGTCCGCTCGGCCTATTCAGACAAGCTAGGCCAAGGTGAGCCGTCAACTCCGCCGAGGGCTTGTCGGTTGTTGCCACGCTGCAAGGTGGCGCCGGGGAACCGCAGCAGCTGTTAGCTAACAGAAATTAAGCCATTCGCACGTGACGCTTTGCAATGGTATGCTGGCGGGGAGTCGGCGGCAACAAGGTTGTTTGTTTGCGTTGCCGTCAGACCGTGAAGCTCGGTCGACGAGGGCTGTGTCCGACCAAAATATGCTGTCGCATGATTCACCGTGAAAGTTTGCATGTTCTGTCATCAACTGTTTCACGTGACTCAACCCTAAAACCAATGGGAAAGTGATTCTGCGTGGTGCCTGCCGCTTGCTGCCAAAACGGTAACTTTGCACCTCTGTCATTGGATCAGCTTTCTAAGATACATAACTCTAGTACTCGCCTCGACATCTCTGCCCGTCAAATAAGTCGACCTGCATGGGCTTCATCAACCTCGGGAGTTTCTCCCGTACACAATTCCCGTCCCACCCGCACGCAGCACACACGTCCTACACCCACAAAGCAAGCCGTCACCATCACGAATCCTACGTCGCAGCACAACCTCTCGCTCCGAAAGACACATCGTCCAAGACGACGCACATCGGTCATCATTCCACCTCGGACCACAGGGCCTGCAGCCTCATGATCTCCATCCAATCATCCGTCCTGTTCGCACTCGCAAACCCAGACTGCATGTCATTAAACATTTGCGCGCCCGTGGCCCCATGCTCCGTCTCGTACCACCCCAGGGAGCTATTCCCATGCAAGTTCCCGTCCGCCGTGCCCGACAACACCGCCATGCTGTTCATGCCCGAGTACATGAGACTCAGCTGGCCCTGGTGCATGGCGTTCATCATCCTCATCTCCCTCATCTGTTGGATAAACTTGATCCTCGGCACCGTCTGCAAGTACACCTGCAACCTCTTGTCACCAAACGCCCTGAACCTTTCAACCTGCTCGTTGGACGCGCTGGAGCCGGGCTCCCCAGCCGCACATGCCTCCATCCACATGCCTCGCATGCGCGGCGACCAGACCTGGCAGATTTGCGCGCGTTGATCAACCTCTCCCTTGATGGGAATGTGCGGAGCCAGCCTCGTGTCGGCGACGAAGCCGACGTAGCAATCCTCGCAGAAGAGCGCCTCTGGATACCCCCACCACTTGGCCTTTTCGCTATGATGGATACCCGGGCACGGTGGCACCGAGGCAAACTTGCGCACGCAATCGGCGTAGTAGCTGAATACGCCGCGGTCCAGGGCCTCGAGGTACTTCTGGGCGAACTGCTTGAACCGCGGGCTTGCAGGGCAAAAGTTGCACACGACGGTTGTTTCAGGGTCCCGATCCGCCGCAGGCTCAAGGAACTTGTCGAGCCCCTTGGTCGTAAAGACGCCGACGTAGCACGCCTCGCAAATGTCGAAATCTCGACAGCCCCCTATTAACGTCCACCAGTTGCCGCGTATGATGCCTTTGCCCGTGCACGGCACGAGTTTGCTAATGGCCTGCGCTGATTTCCAGAACCCGTCAAAGTCCTTGTCGTTGATGGCTGTCTCGAGAGCAACGAGGACCGGCAGAGAGGACTTCGCCAATCCGCATGTCCAGCGCTGGCCCAGCATCTCCATCCACGCGTCAAACCCAACATTCTGATTGACGGCTTCGAACTCGCCCTCAAAAGCCGTCAACTCCAGCTTGTCCATGTAGCACGTCGCGCACACGTAAAAGTTGTCCAACTTCCGGCGGAAGAGGTACCACGGTCCTTCGCTGGCGGGTTTTGAGTCGCCCTCGCAAGCTGGGAGCTGTAGCCGATAAGCGGCCCGCTCTACGAATCCGGACCAGTCGTTCATCCCGGCGAAAGTTGCAAGCGCTCGATTCAGATACGGCCAATGTGTGTCGCAAAACCATTTGTCCTCGGCGCCTTGGCCACTGCAGGGCGTGAAAGCGGACTCGAACGCAGTGCCAATGATTTTGTCTTCGTAGCAAGCTTCACAAGTGATGAACCCTTTGATATCATTGTTCCGCATTCCGTAGTACCTGACGCCGTCTTTTCCCACCGTCGCTTCTTTACCGTTGCAGTTGGGAATCGCGAGACGACGAGTCGCGTAGGTGCGCAGGCCATCTAGACTGTTCTGCGCGAGGGCTTGTTTCCACAGAATATCCCTGACGCGCGGATACCAGAACCGACAGCTCGAAGAAGATGCTTCCTCTGCGAGTATTCGCTTGAACTGTCCCGCTAGTGACGTGCCTTGTATGTGATCCTCGTGACATTTGGTGCAGATGAGAAAATTCGGATTCTCGGGGAGCTGGTACCAGTAGAGGGAGTACTCGACGACGCGGTCTTCCGGGCAGTGCTGAACTGTGTCTCTTGGTGTGCCGCTAGCCACGATTGGGGGATGTACGTGCCTGGGGGTTTGGACGGACCAACCGAGGGTATTATTGTCTGCCGAGCCGGCCGGGCGGTTGCTCATACTGAGATTGTTCATCTGCTGAGCCATGGATTCCGCATGATTTTGAGGAGGCTGGTGATGTTCAGGCACGACAGCGTGACGGGCTTGAGCATGATCGCCAGTGTACCCATTGTGGCTCGTGTTGCTGGCTGGGGGGGCTGACTGTTGCGCGACCACAGGCTGGTGAGACCGCGCGGGTGCCATGGGAGAAGCCTCTCTGCTTTCCGGGGAGGAGTGCTGGGTGATGGTGGTGGTTGTTGGTGCATTATACGGGTGCGGGTTTTGCAAAGCTTCGGCATGTGGGTTTTGACTCGTCTGGACGGCTGTGTGGCTCGCTGTTGTCTCTGCCACGGGTCGGTACTGCTCAGGATGCTCTGCAGTTTCACGAGACGTAGCCAGGCTATAGTCTGCTTGTGGGCAATGATTATTTCCCTGCTGCTGCGGATTCGCCCGAGGCGGAGGCCCAGGAGGATAAGTCGTCGGCGAAGAGACTGGAGGCGCAGGGTTGATATGAGCGGTCTGCTGATGCAGTGTGCCGTGTGCCGGCTGCGTAGAAGTCGCCGCCGAAGAAGGCGCCTCGCGATCGGGGCTTTGGGCCCCATACCATGTATTCTGGTTATGATTCGGCAAACGGGAATCATGCGTCGGCGGCTGCTGGCGTGTCCGGGGCGGCAACGGCGGAGGGTGGTGGTGTTGACTGCGCCCATGATATCCGGCGGGAGAGGCAGGCGTCCCCGGGGCCGGATCCGATGCCGCTGACGTGTACAGTCCCTGTCCAACCGAGGGTCTGCTTGGCTGAGCGTGATGATGAGAACCACGATACGTTCCCGGCGCCGGCGTCAAGTACGTCGAGTGGTAGACCTGTTGTTGGCCCGCAGCAGTCGGCGTCTACGGGATCAGGTCAGACCAGGCTTCCGTTCCCCAGGTGCCACTGATGACTTTGTTATATCTACCTGATGGGGGCCCTGGTTGCCATGCGCATAATGCGAGCTGGCGCCAGTGTCAGTGCCATACGCGTCCGCCGCCGCCGCATTCGCACTCGCATTTTGCTCGTCGTATTTGGACAGTCGCTGGTGTAGCTGCTGCTGCCCAGCGGCGACGGCCTTGGCCAGTCCTTTCTGGAACGCCTTTGTCAGGGAATCCATTGCCCGAAGCGCGAGGGCAAATGAAGGCAAAGGCACGGCTTCTGCGCCCCCCGTGTCGATGTGGTGGCCGTCCACAATATAAGTCGAGCGCCGGTCAAGCATCAATTTGAGCCATTATTAAGCTGCGCAGCCATGTCTGACCGTTACAGGGGCGATCCCTGAGCTCGTAAGGCTTTTTTTTTTCCATTGTTCCACCCAGCTTCTGTTGTTGTTTGATGACGGCCGTCTGAAGAGTGAGGCTGAAGTGGCCTATTGACTGCGTGCAGGAGTCTCGACCCAGGTCTCCAGATTGCGGCTGACCAGGACGCGCTTTCTGACAGCCGTTGATGGCAATGAAGGGCAGCGATTTGAGCACGAGCATCGGTGTCGGATGACGATGACAATGACGATGACGCCTGGCTGACTTGCGGCGGTGGTTCGTGTCCGATGCGGCTGGCAATGACGGAGTATGTAGGCGACAGATTCGCGGCCACGCGACGGTCTACGTTGCCTCGCTGGTCCTTGCAATTTGCTGAGCGCTTTTCAAGTCTGCTGGCGCGGACTCGGTTGCGTGGATGGTCCCAAGTCCTGTCTCGTCGTGCTTCGTCACACATCACACGTGAGGCTTGGCGGAGGCACCGAAGTTGCACTTTGGGTGAGAGTATTTCAAGCCCCACGGTGTAGGTAACGTTATTTTGTCCCTCGGCCAGGTGTGGCGCCCGTGCTAATTTGCCCGCCACCCGCCCACCCTCTTCACAGATGCTGCCCGCCCCACCGAGACGCACAATCGCCAAAATTTCAAAGCCCACTCCGCATCGTCAGATCTCGTCCCAACGCCCTGCCCAGCTGCGCCCATATTGCCTACCCTCCGCCTTCTCTCGACTCTTTCTCGCCCAGCGCCGGCTCACCCGCAGCAACGAGGTCGATAGTAAATATTGCAAGCAGCTGTCCACCATGAGACCTATTCTGCTCTCAGGGCACGAGCGTTCGCTCACTCAGGTTCGGTACGACTTACTTGCCGTGCTTCCATCATCAAAAAATAGCCCCTGCCCGCCGTCAGACTATCGGGTTCTCGCCTCCCGAGCTGAACAATAAAGGGCTGGGGGGGAAAACTGCTTCGTCGTCGATTCACAAACTGACCTTGTTTCTCCGCCGACAGCTATAACCTCGACGGCGACATCATCTTCTCCGTCGCCAAAGACCAGCACATTTGCGCCTGGTTTTCGCACAACGGCGAGCGTCTCGGAACTTACCAAGGCCACATCGGCGCCATCTGGACCGTCGACGTCGACCCTACCTCGACCATGATCGCCTCTGGCTCCGCCGACAACACCATCCGCCTCTGGGACGTCAAGAGCGGCAAGTGTCTCAAGGTGTGGGAGTTCCCCACAGCCGTCAAGCGCGTCGAGTTCAACGAGGACGGCACCAAGCTCCTTGGTGTCACGGAAAAGCGCATGGGCTACCTGAGCAACATTGTCGTCATGGACATCAACCCCGACGTCGAGGCCGAGCAGAGCGACGAGAAGGCCTTGACCATTGTCTGTGACGAATCCAAGGCCACCGTCGCGGGATGGAGCAACATGAGCAAGTACATCATCGCCGGCCACGAGGACGGCAGCGTCAGCCAGTACGACGGCAACACGGGCGACCTCTTGGACAACGTCCCCATCCACGAGCTCAACCAGCCCATTGTCGACCTCCAGTGGGCCCCCGACCGCACCTACTTCATCACCGCTTGCAAGGACAAGACCGCCAAGGTAGGTGGCAGCCGGGCGAACTCGATGCGCCCACGTCGGGGGCGCTCCCGCAGCGACAGAGACTAACAGGGCCAACGCAGCTCATCGCCGCCCGCGACCTCACCGTTCTCAAGAACTACGTCGCCGACACGCCCCTCAACAGCGCCGCCATCACCCCCAAGAAGGACTTTGTCATCCTCGGTGGCGGTCAGGCCGCCATGGACGTCACGCGCACTTCCGCCCGCCAGGGTAAGTTCGAGGCACGCTTCTACCACAAGATTTTCGAGGAGGAGGTCGGCCGCGTGCGAGGCCACTTTGGGCCCCTCAACACCATCGCCGTCGACCCCACGGGGAAGAGCTACGCCAGCGGCGGAGAGGACGGCTACGTCCGCATCCACCACTTTGACAAGGGCTACTACGACTTTCTGTTCGAAGTCGAGAGGGAGCGAAGCAACCGAATGCAGTAAAATAAACAAACGAACAAACATACATACATACAAACATCACAACGATGAGACGTAAAATCCACCAAAGGTGGCGCATCTCGCCCTGCCATCTCAGCATGCTTTGCTGCGCAACGGCGAGAAGGAGGGGGCGAAAACAATCAATCCGCACGGCGTCAAGCTCTCGTGGTGCGACTCAGGAAAGCAGAAAAAAAAAGTTCACCAAACCACGCTTGGTCGTCGTCAGAAGGGCGCGTCTTTTCCTAGCCTGCTTGCATGGTTTGGCGTTGTTGGCGGAATACACGGAGAGGCACCTGCTTGTCCTTCCCTTTTTTTTGTTTCTGTCTTTTGAGGCGGGGAGGTGTCAAGGTAAACCAGAGCAAGAGAAGAAAAGAAAAGAAAAGAAAACAGAGACACAAAAGACACACAACAGTCGAGGAAAAGACGCGTCTGGCGGGCTTCAGGACGGCAAGGGGGGCCCCTTTTGTGTGCTATCTAACTAGTTCCATGTATGCCGTTTCCACTTTCGTGATGAGATGCGAGTGGAAAAGACGAAATGATAGAAATCGAGCGTCTGGCCATGTGGAACGTGTGGGAAATGACAGGTTTACTTACATTTTGAGCACTACTATTGAACGCTACATCCGTGGTCATACCATACGTACACCGGGGCCAGACAAACCAACCTTCGTATACTCGTCAAGAGCGTACCTACTAGACCAGGCCAGGCCACTCCGAACAAACCTTACAAGCTTCCAACACCCAGACCAACTTGTCGCATGAAAACGCCGTACGTCTGCATCAGTTCGTGGCTGCCTGTCCTACTTTCTAACCAGACTATGCACGCCCGTGCTTTGCTGGGGCTGTACATCACTTTCTCTTCTTGCCTTTTTTCCCCTTGGATGTAGTGGTCGAGCCCGTTGAGGCGACGCTTGATGCGCGCGAGGGGGCTCTAGAGGAAGCCTTGCTTAATTTTACATTGTCCAGAGCTTTGTTCTAGACCGGGCACTGTTAGTATTACTGGAGATGGGCCGGGATCCGGCCGCCGGCTTCGAAGTTTGGACGAACCTTGACGCCGTTCTTGGACTTCTTCTTTGCAGGGGCACCGAGGACGCTGTCCTCGTCAACGTCGTCATCCGGCTCGCGCTTGGTTTTGCCGTTGACGCCGTTGGCTCCTCGTGCAGGCACCTCTTCAAATTCCTTAACAATCGTAGTGATGAGGGTTGTGCAGCGACGGGAGAGCTCGGTCGGGGTTCTGCTGAGGAAGAACCAGTCGAACCGGAACAGCGGGGACTCGCGAATGTCGTCGCGCATCTTCTCATACAAGCCCTCGGAGTCGATGCCGTATCGATCGAGGAGGACCAGCAGGAATCGGTCCTCTTCCTCCGTGTACACCTTCTTGTTGGTCGTGGAAACCGAATAGTTGATCTTGAGCTGCTGCAGGGGCACTCTGTAACGAGACATCTTCTTACGCAGTAGCTTACGTTGATTCTCAATCTTGCGCGTGCGTTCCTCTCCGTCCTCGATGACCTTGATAGATTTGGTGTAGTCGGCAATTTCCGTGTACCGTTGCCAAAAGACTTTGGCGTAGGCCTTGATCTCAGCAGGCGTCTTGCTATCAATCTCATTGGAGATGCCCTCGTAGTCGTGACGTCCATACTTGCCTGATCCATTCACAAACTGCTGAAAGTCTCTTCGGCTCCAGTTCCCAAACCCCTTTGTCGATAATTCCTCCTTTTCCTTCTTCTCCTCCTCGGTCAATGGAGTGGCATTGTCGATTTCCTGCTGATCAAGAGCCCGCTCAGCTTCTCGGTCAGACAGTGTCTCTTCGTCGCCGTCCGGAAGGGGGATCTTATACCCGATTTCCTTTCTATAGTAGGCCGTCTCCCTATCCTGAAGATCACGTAGACGCGGTGGATAAAATTGGTAGTCCTGGACGGGAACCTGCTTGGGTGCGCGAGGAGCTTTGGGTTTGCCGTCACCCTTGGGATCTCCGTACATGGCTTGCCGGAAGTACTTGTCCATGGAGTACGATTGTTCCTTGCGCTCACGCTTCGCAGGGTTGATCCAGTTCATGCCCACATCTTTTTTGACGTTGGCAAAGTTTTCGCCATTCCATTGGTACGCAGACTCCGACGTAAACTTCTGGAGGTCGTCGATTCCCAGTTTCTCGTACTTGGCGTTGAGCTCTTTGGTCCTATTTTCGCCCTGGTTTAGGATGGCGTCGATGTCGTCATCGTTGAGTTCCTTTTTACCCTGCAGGTCTCCTGTAGCGCCTTTGGACTGGAACACCTTCTCCGCGCCATGCTGAATCATGGACAACAGTTCATCCTTGTTCGCCGCAGCCTTGGCCGCGATTTGTGCACGGCCTTGTTGAATAACCAGCTGGTCCAGACGGAGCTTTTGGGCGGCGCGCTCCAGAACCTTTTCCTCGATAGCGTTGTCGGTCACAAACCGATACACAACCACCTGTTTTGTCTGTCCAATACGGTGGGCACGGTCCATTGCCTGCAAATCGGCTTGCGGGTTCCAGTCGCTGTCGTACAGAATAACAATGTCGGCAGTTGTCAGGTTGATACCTAGACCGCCAGCTCTGGTGGTTAACAGAAAGACAAATTTCTCGGAATCGGGCTTATTGTACTCGTCAATGGCAGCGATTCGGTCCTCGTGGGCGGTTCCACCATCGATGCGGCAGTACTTGTAGTCTCGAAAAACACAGTAGTCCTCAAGAATATCGAGCAGACGGCTCATTTGAGAGAAAATCAATACTCTACTGCCCTGTTTTTGGAGTCGAACAAGAAGCCTGTCCAAAACAGCCATCTTCCCGGCGTTGTATACCAAGTGTTCATCTGTCGTATAAGGTGGACCAGGCTCGGCTCCTTCAAAGAGGTATGGGTGGTTACAGCACTTTCGGAGCTGCATGACAATGTTGAGCAGTCGCGTCTTTGACTCACGCTTTCCCCCAGCGCCATTGACGGCATCGATGTCCTTCTCAAGGATCTTCTGATACCACTTCACCTGCATGTCCGACATGCCCAAATACACGTTCACCTCCTTCTTTGGCAGCAAGCTCTTTTCGACATCACTCTTGACTCTGCGGAGCAAGAAAGGTCGCAATACTTTGTGCAGCTGCTGGACGACGGTATCTTGATCGCGATCTTGGCCTGAGAACCACTGATCAAATGCTTCCGAATCGCCAAAAACATCGGGCAGCAGGAAGTTCAACAAGGCCCAAAGCTCGTGAAGGTTATTTTGGAGAGGGGTACCAGTAATGAGGAGTCGGTTCCGGGACTGGAACAGTCGGATAATCTGAGACAGGGAGGATTCCTCGTTCTTGATACGATGCGCCTCATCAATGATGATGTACTCCCAAGCAAACTTCTTCAGGTGCGCCTTTTCTCTCAGGATCATCTCGTAGCTGGTAATGCAGACATCAAATTTCTCATCCACCAGGCGCTCATTGATGAGGTTGTGACGCTCTTCTTTGGCGCCTTGCAGAACCAAGACATTGACCTCTGGGGTCCACCTGGCGAATTCTCGTTTCCAGTTATCGAGTGTCGACTTTGGCACCGTAATCAAGTGTGGTCCCGTAATGCCCGCAATGTGCCGAAGATAACCTAAAAATGAGATTGTTTGCAGAGTCTTACCGAGACCCATTTCGTCGGCAAGGATTCCGGAAATACCGTTCTCGTGCAGAGATATCAGCCAGTTCAGGCCTGCAACCTGATAATCTCTCATCTGCCCTTGAATAAAGTGCGGCGAGTCACGGAACACGGTTTCGGCAGAACCCCCATGCTTCTCATCCTTGAGCAGTTCGGCATCTTCTTCGGCTTCGGTCCGTCGACGGCGGTCACTAGTGGCTCCTCCCTGTCGGCCAGCGCCTTTCTTCCTCTGAGCTGCCTCGTTATTTTGGCGGTCGATCTCGGCCATGATGTCTCGAATTTTGGGGTCTGGATTCGTCTCGATGAAGTGACGAAAGAGGTCGGTCAGACCAAGAAGATATCGAAATCGTCGAATCGTATCATCTTCCTATATGACGTGGTAAGTTTAAGCTCATTGCCAATAGACTGGGGATTCGTAGTCTAGGATATTGTGGCATACCTTGGATTCGCCCAGGCGGTCGTGCTTCCTGCCAAAGATGCTTCTTCGCAATTGGTTTGCTTCTGATCGACGCTTTCTCCCATCGGTAAGAGGCTCTCCGACGACACTACTAGCCGTTGTATTGGGGTTTGTATCTGAATCTGTGTAGTCTGGGGTTTCGTCAACCTCCTAGTCATTGCGTTTGTTAGCCGTCGTCGGGCTCATTACATTCACACAGGAACGGCGCCTACCATTTCTTCTCCGCGACGGTATTCTGGCGCGTCTGACATTGCGGCGTCGGTGTCCACACCGCTGGCTCGTGATCGCGGCGCCGCGGCGACGACGACAGATATTCAGACCTCTCAACGCGACGGTTGTAAATGAGACGCGTTGGAAGCAACCGTCACCGAGGAAGTCCAGAGACTTGAGCTGGCAAGAAATGTATGAGCAGCCGGCAGACGGACGCAATGAAAGCCAACGGGACTAGCGTCGCGGTGGGAAGTGTCTCGATAAAATTGGTGAAGAGGCTGAGAGAAGATGTATTTCGGAAGGTCGACGGCGAGAAGAATCTCTAGGTGCCCATCGAGGCCAAGGCCAGGTCGAGTCTGGGCCTAGCGCGTGCAGAAAGATCCACCACCCTCCAAGCAGCCGAAGGGTGAGATGTGAATGGTCGACTCGTTGAAGCCGGCGGGGATGCCACAGCCCACATACTGATTTCGGATCGGAAGAACTTTGCCCACGAAAAGTATCCCGAAGATTTGCGACGGCGCCAAAGCGTGGCCTAATATCTCATGGAGCGTGGCTTTGCAATCCTTCACCTCAAGGTATAACTAAATAAGGCCGGTCAAGGGCTGTCTGTACATGACGACCGAATCTAGAGTGCTAGTGACAGCCTTGCCTACTTAGTTGCAGTCAGCGTCCAGGTGGCATTAAGCCGGTAAGAACCCATTATTGGGCCAGCAAACTCAACAAAAGCATCTGAACCAGGTGGGGGCGTTCCAAATTTATTATAATATTTGGGAATTCCCAGTTTCATTTTTGAAATCTTTTCTCTATTTTATTTCTTACATTTGCGCACCATCGGGAGAATTTGGGGGAGATGGGGGGTTCTCATTTTGACATGGCAAAGTCACGTGCGGGCAGTTCCGAGTGGCCGCCCCATATGCCCGTTACGAGCCCCATGACTACAATCGGTGTTGGGCATAATCTGCTGACGTGACTGAGATTCGCCACTACACCGAAGGAGGAAGAGCATTGGATCCAGACACCTGCGAAATACGGCGAAAACAGGACGAAACTCAGACAGGTGCAGACCTATCCTCTGGCAGAGCCCTGTCCGGAACAGTTGCATTCTTTTGTTGAGTCGTCGGCGGGGTTGTAATCAGCCGGAAGGCTTCGACACACCGAGCGCATCCGTGCGGAACAAAATTGCCAAGGTACACAGTTGACGAAGCCATGGGCATCTAGCCACAAACCCCCGACAGACTCAGGAGTCTTTGTTAACACAGGATTACATAAAGGCGTCACGCCTCTCCTTTCTTTCTCTCTTTCTTTCTTTCTTTCTTGCTTATCTACAGCCATGGACGTCAACAAAGCCCCTGGCGGCAAGCACCCCTCGCAAACCGAAACTCCCGAACCACTGCTTGATGTCTTCAAGGCAGCAGCACTCTCCGTAACGAAGCTGTATAAAACTTCGGCTCTGGCAGAATCGAGAGCCAGGACCGAGGGCTATCAGGAATGCCTTGACGACATCCTTGCCTTTCTAGACAGGGAAAATATTGGCCTCACAGACGGAGAGGGGTGGTCGATACGGAAATGGGCGACGGAACGTCTCCATGGACGTGAGTCAGTGCCGCACACTACCGAAAGTGAGGACGAAACCGAACGAGCCGAGAGAACCTCGTCGCCGGAAGTAACAAGAACAAGCGCTGAACCTCAACCGTCGGCTGCTAAACGAACAGAATCGCCCACGCCTAACACTGTTGCGATTCCGGAGCCGATTCCCGAAGAACCTATGGCCATAGTTGTACCATCACAAGACAACTTTACCTTTCAGTCTTCGCACCCTTATCCAAACATTGCCACCTTGGACCTTTCGGATTCCCGAGCTCGTGATGGGTCATCACATCCACCTGCCCGAGGCTCCAAGTCAAGAATGAGCGGACACAACTCAAAATCAGGCCTGAGAGGAGCCGGCCATCTAGGCAAAGGAGCTGGAACAAAGCGCCGATGGGATTTTGACGACTTTTTTGGAGGCTGTCTAGGAGGTAAGGATCCACTCGGAAATGGGGGGAAGCGCAGTCGGCATGCTTGATGTCCTTGTAAGCAAAGACCATGTCAGGACCAACGATGATGAGGGATGAGGCACAACATTTCAGTACTACACTGGATAGTGTCATGCACATATGACGATAGAGGACATGGGAGCTAGCATAAAGCATCGGCCGGCGTTTTGTCTTTTGGGGCGGGATGGTTGAGGCAACTGCATATACACCGGATCCCATGGTCTCCATTGAACCAACCATTGTACGGAACGGTAGTCAGCATAGATGGACGTGTTTCTTTTTTTGTTTTTTAAACAAAAAGAAAAGAAAAGAAGAAGAAGAAGAAAATTACTACAATCATATGAACACCCAGCAAGATGGGATCGATCCATACTGTAATGCATGTCTTCATCAATCGTGGTCTCATTACTTGAATGTTACTCTCGCTAGCTATTCTTGACCGGAATGCTCGCGGGACTCTAGGCCCAACTGCAACTTCAAGGCCCTATTCTCATGCTCCAACTCCTCCATCTGCTGTTCCAATATTTCCATTCTTTCCGTGGCCCCCATGACAACTTCCTCGGATATCTTGGCCAATCTCCACAGACGCAGCACAACAACAAGGGAACCAATGGACTCGGCAAGGCCCTGCGAAGCAACATCAATAACAAAGCTCACCACAATAACGGCAGAGTCAAAGACATGGAACCACGAAGTAAGAAACCTAGTATTACGCCATTATCAGCGACAGACTATGCGACCGGATGAAAGAGGGCGGCTTGGGACGCACTCTAGACCAAATGAAAACAAACAAGCGGCCAACTCGACCATGAACAGACAACTAGAGACCAGACCGGCCGTCTCCAAGGCCTCCCTTATGCGCACCACCCACTCTTCGTCGCTTTGGTGCATCTCACAGGCGATTAGCTGGATGAAGACGTTGGCCAGCAGCGCCATGACGTCGAGCATGACGATGAACATGACGACAAAGTGCTTGCTGCGCGACGCGAGGAGGACTCTGCCTTTGCGGCGGAGGTGGTGGACATGACGGAGGGCGCGTCGAGTGACTGACGGGGAGAGGCGATGATGGGCGGGAGGCAGGAGGGGTGCAGAGCAGTCAATGTGCGTGTTGCCGTCCGACATGGTGATGGAGATGAGGCTTCGATATCATGAGCTGAGAGAGAACTTGGAAGGGCATTGATGAGGCTATGTGAAGAGTGAGAGGTAAGTACTCAAGTACGCTGTAGGATTAAGTGCAAGAGGCCCTGTGAACCAAGGCGATTGTGTTGTCAATGGAAGGTGGAACGAAGCCGGCTTCCTCTAGCTTCATGAGGGTGAGCTGCTGAATGGCCTAGCGCGCCTATTTAGTTAGTACTAAGCTAAGTAGGTAACTTAACTACTGAAGTAGGAACGTTGCTGAGCCAAGTTCGTCCCTCCTGCAGCCACGGGTACCTGAGTAAGTACGTACCGCCTACAACGCGGGCGGTGGATAAACTCCGGCTCCCCACGTTGAATGTTGCGCTACCGCGGCCCTGCGTCTAACAATAAAAGCTCCCAATGCCAGTCAGACAAGACTTGCAACAAGTTTCATTGGTAAATCGTGTCTCGAGCCTCATTTATCATTTGTTGCACCCGCCGCCCGTCCCGTATCCCCCTCTTCCTCCTTTGTCCTTGTCGCCAAAGCTCCGCGCCCCCCGGCAGTCGACTTCTCGTTCAGTCTGAGGCGAGTGCAAATTTCGCCTTCTCGGTACGTTGCCATGCGAACACCAAGAGCACGAGCCGTCTCGAGTTTTGTGGTTGTGGTCCCAAGTATTTGAAGGATCTCAAGGCCATCCCCCCACCAGTCACCTGCATTGTACCATTCCGCGCAACTTGTTTTTGCTCGTGCCCTCTTGTCTCTTGCTTGTTGACAGCATCCGAGTCCTTTGCGCATCGTTGACGCTGACTCCTCCGTGTGCTAGGTAGGACCTGCTCAAAAGTCTGTCGAGTTTGCCATAACCCTCAACGAAAATCAACCATGTCCAACGCAAATCACAACGAGGATAAGCCTGCCGCTGAGCGCGACCCGGAGACGGAAATTGCGGCATCTGAAGAGGTGGGTGTCTTGAATGGCGCAAATCAACAGCGACCCAGGAAGAAAAACGAGGAGAATCTGTTTTGACGCTTAAAAAAAGAAAATTGAAAAGAAAAAAAAAAGAAAGCAAGATGAACTGACTGGTATGCTCCCTGCGCTAGGAAGAAATCACGGCCATGAAGCGTCGTGTGGCCGAAATGGAGGAGGAAGCCAAGAAGCTGCGCGAGATGCAGGCCACCTTGGAGCAGCAGTCGGCCGATTTGGCGGATGACAAGGAGTCGGTTGATGCGCGAAGCATCTTTGTCGGAAACGTCGACTACTCTGCTTCTCCCGAGGATATTCAGGCTCACTTCCAAAGCTGCGGATCGATCAACCGCGTGACTATCCTCTTGGATAAGTTTACAGGCCAGCCAAAGGGGTACGTTGTCCCCGTAACATTGGATTCTCTCGAGATAAAACACGTCGTGGATTGATGTATTGACGGGCTATGCAGATACGCCTATGTTGAGTTTACAGAACCCAGCCTGGTCGCCCAGGCCCTCATCCTTAACGAAAGCGTCTTCAAGGGCCGCAACATCAAGGTTACACCCAAGCGTACCAACGTTCCCGGCATGAGTCGAGGCCGTGGACGAGGCGGCTTCCGTGGAGGTCGAGGATTCCACGGTCGGGGTGGGTTCCCTCGTGGAGGCTACCGCGGCGGCTATAGGGGCCGTGGCCGGGGAGCTCACGCGCCTTACTAGGGACCGGGAAGTGACTCTTTCCCTGGTCTGGATGCCAGCGACGGCGGTTCGTGGATGCCATCATCTGTAGCGCCGGGTTATTGAAGCGTTTGCAGGAACTGGGAATTTAATGGATTTTTCGGCGCGGTCACAAACGGACATTGGGAATGGGTGGACGTGGTGGTCCGTTAGGTGGGCATACAACCCAGGGACTGACGATAGTGCAGCGACACAAAGAGAGGAAAAGCTATAATCCAAACACGCAAGGAAATGGGGGGAACCCGTCGTGTTAAAGTACAGCGCCGCAAGGAGGGGGGAAACAGACAAGGCAACGACTTGGAGTTTAAAGGGTGATTTTAATCCGGAATGATTTGCTCAATTTGGCTGAATACGAAACACACATGTTAGCCCAGTCGAGTGTCTTCATCTGTGCTCGATAACCTCGGGAGCGAGGCTTGTCGGCGCCGACCAGACAAGCTCCCAGACACCAAATAACTACCACTCGGACCATTTCCACGAGTTGTCTTCGCTCAACGGGACGACTCACCCGGCAGTAGCATGTAGGCCGCACCCGCACGAGTGACCATACCAGACACCTCCCACTCACTAGACGCAGAACCTTGAACAGCAGCAGTGTCTCACGAGTCACGACGTTGCCGCTGTGGGGGCCGCCGATGTGGGGATGCAGGTCGGAGGAGCTGTGAAGCCACGAGTCGCAGCATCTCGCGTCTTCCCAGTTGGGAAATTTGGGTGTTGCGCCCCGCGAGTGCGCGCATGTCTGGTCTGGTTGTCTCTGGCGACGTGTCCTTGTTTTCAAAGGAGGTGTAATTAGCAGTTGTCGGTACTCCGTATTTCTGGGGGGGTTTCTCTTTGGGGGGTGAAACGACTGCAGTGCGCCTGGGCAATAATCACACACACACACACACATGCACGTCTACTTACCTACCTCGGTACATTCCCAGGTACATGTTTGTATAGAGCCCGTCTATAACTATTAACTACTCGAAAAAACACAATACAGGCAAAATGCAATGCTAATTATTAGCATTCATCCGGGGCGAGTTCGGAAGAACCGCATGGGCTGCGGCTGGTTTTGGGGGTTGTCATCGTTGTTGCTGTGCCAGACTGCCAGTGGAATGGCAGACGGTGTTCGCTTCTGTTCTTTTTCCCTTCTTCTTTCCCCCTTTGATCCTGCCTCTTGAGCAGTGGTTGTCGCGACGCCGTCTTACCAAGGGATAAGGCGTCAACAAGAGGGTTCATGCATTGGCTAGTTGATTGATTCGATTGATGTGCACTCCCTTGCTAAGTACGGAGCACACATGCCATGGATGCCTGGCCCTTTGCATGAAGCCTTGGGTTGCGGAGCACGGCGGTTTCCCCTCTCCTCATGACTGCGTGGGCAAGAAAGTCGTCGGCGGTAGACAGTAGATACAAGGCTGGGGGCATCGCGTTGCTGCAGGAGATGCGGAGTTGCTGGCGGCCAACTCTGTACCAGTGATGCCAGTCTTGGTACTGTGTAGAGCCGAGGATAAGCGGATTTTTGCCGCCAGGCCGGGTGATGCGAAATCAATAGGTGCATCAATACCTAGAAAAACCAGTGAATCGTCCAAGGGGGTGGTTTTCTCTCACATTAATTAAAGCAACCAATTTCAAGTGTGATTGTGGCAGCCTGGCAGGCGCACTCGAGGAGAGTTAGCCAAGCCTTGCCCCGCCATGGTTGACCCAGTCACGTGCCGCGCATGGCCTGGCAGCCGCTGGGCGCCGGGCGCTTCCTCTCGCCGGCCTCTGCTCGCACCGAGACTCTGCATGAGACGACCGTCAAGCGCCTGGCCATTGATGTTTGGAGGGGGGCCATTTGCACCAAACAATCCCACAAGGCATTCAACCATTCAACCACGCACGAGACGTTGGACCAGCCCTGGCGTCTTACCAAGCAACGTCCAGACGGCGACTCCAGCTTGAGAGCTTGAGGCCGGACGGCCACCGGAGACTCCCAAGTGCCAACCAGACGTTGCACTGCCTCAACCCTCTCCGGCTAAAAGGTGCCATAGGTGCTTGCCGTCCGCAAAGTCGTCACCACTCGCCTCACGCCTTCGACGCCGTCATTTGCAACCACCACCTCACCACCCCTTTGTGGGCACCACGTTCTTCGCCCTCTGGCTGCGACGTCGTTTTGCCACGTCTTCTACCAATTGCTTCGGCTCGTCCCTCATTACCGGCGCTCCTACACTCATCCCTACGCCTGTCTCGCCTGCAAGGCATCGACGTCGACAATGAGTGCCCGCACGGAGTCGGGGCTTTCAAGGTCAGTACACGCCGCCCGACTTCTTTTCCTCTGCTTCCCCCCTCCCTCTCTTCCTCGTTGGCTTCTCCATCTCGGCCGGCAGAAGGATCCGTCAAGACGTCAAGACGTCAAAACAATAAACTGACAGCCCCGTCTAGCAAGCCTAATCTTCGCGTTACCAGTATGTGGTCAAGACCCCTCGTCTGCCTCGGCCCCCTCGCTGTCGGACTCCCGCCATACCCCAGCTACTGACGTGACCGCGAACAGTCATTGCCGCAGATGGTCTATATAAACGAGACGTCTTCAGTATGTCCACAGCGGGTTCCTTTCGACCTGACGCTCTAGCCGGCCTAGCCCGAAACACCGTTGCTGACTGTCACAGGATTCCCCGACCCATTCGCGGTGGCCACCATCAACGGCGAACAAACAAAGACCACCGGCGTCAGCAAACGGACGCTGAATCCCTATTGGAACGAGAGCTTCGACTTGTACGCATATATCCCCTCACTGCCTGCTGTCACTAGGCGTCACTTTTCGATCCTGAATCTCACCATGATATTGCAGTCGAGCAAATGAAGGCAGCATCCTCGCGGTACAAGTCTTTGATCAAAAGAAGTTCAAGAAGAAGGACCAAGGTTTCCTTGGTGTCATCAATATTAGAGTCGGAGATGTCATGCCAGACCTCGGCCCTGACTCTGACGGTACGGCCCCTGCATCATCCTGGGGAGCACTGACACGGCTACTAACTGGCGCCTTGCTTTAGACCAAATGCTTACAAGAGACCTCAAGAAGTCGACCGATAACCTTGTGGTCCACGGAAAGTTAATCATCAACCTTTCATGTAACCTCAGCACGCCCGCACGGGGGGGTCAGGCCTCCAGCAGCCGGCCGGCCCTGTCCGTTCCTGGCACATCAAGCTCTTCTGCCCTCTCCGCTCCCGATGGTAGACCAAGCTCGTCCATGTCCAACCAGAACGGCATTTCTCCTGCGCCTCAATTGACCTTGCCTCATCACTCGCCTCTTTTCAGCTCGAGTTCTTCCCCTGCTCCGGGATTGAATGGCACGGGTTCCTCTTCAAGGCCGACCAGTCAATTGAGCCCCTTCGAGGACAACCAGGGCCGACTTCCTGCCGGCTGGGAGAGACGAGAAGATAATTTGGGGCGAACATACTACGTTGACCACAACACACGCACAACCAACTGGAATCGCCCTACCGCCAATGGCGGCGCAGAGACTCGAGAGCGAGAAGCCGCAACAGCAGTAGAGCGACAGCGACACCAGAATCGTACGCTGCCCGAAGACCGGACAGGCACTAACTCACCGCCTCTGTCTCAGCAGCAGCAGCAGCAGCCGCCGCAGCAGCAGGGTGGTTCCCAGTCAGGAGGCGGCGGCAGTCCGACTGGTCCCGGCAGCCCTACCCAAACCGGCGCGAGCACCACGGTGATGCACACCGGTGCAACGAGTCCCGGCACTGGAGAGCTTCCACCGGGCTGGGAACAAAGATGGACACCGGAGGGACGTCCCTACTTTGTTGACCACAATACCAGAACGACTACCTGGGTCGATCCCCGTCGTCAACAGTATATTCGCATGTATGGCGGCCAAAACAACACCAACGGCCAAATTCAACAGCAACCAGTCTCGCAACTCGGGCCCCTGCCCAGCGGTTGGGAAATGCGGCTCACCAACACTGCGCGGGTGTATTTTGTCGACCACAATACCAAGACAACCACGTGGGACGATCCACGTCTGCCGTCGTCCTTGGACCAGAACGTTCCTCAATACAAGCGAGACTTCAGACGCAAGCTCATTTACTTCCGATCTCAGCCTGCTATGCGAATCCTCAGCGGCCAATGCCACATCAAAGTCAGGCGTGAGCATATTTTTGAGGATTCTTTCGCCGAGATTACACGTCAGTCCGCCACTGACTTGAAGAAGCGGCTGATGATCAAATTCGACGGTGAAGACGGCTTGGACTACGGAGGTCTGTCCCGAGAGTTCTTCTTCCTGCTGTCTCACGAGATGTTCAACCCGTTCTACTGCCTTTTCGAGTACTCTGCGCACGATAACTACACCCTGCAGATCAACCCACACTCGGGCATCAACCCAGAGCACCTGAACTACTTCAAGTTTATCGGACGCGTAGTTGGGTTGGCCATTTTCCATCGACGATTTTTGGATGCTTTCTTCATCGGAGCCCTATACAAGATGGTCTTGGGCAAGGCTGTTTCACTTGCTGACATGGAGGGCGTCGATGCCGACTTCCACCGGTCCCTGCAGTGGATGCTGGATAACGACATCTCTGGCGGAATTCTGGAGCAGACCTTCTCCACCGAGGACGAGCGATTCGGTGTCATGACGACAGAAGACTTGATCCCCAACGGCCGGAACATTGAAGTCACCAACGAAAACAAGAAGGAGTATGTTGATCTCATGGTAAAGTGGCGTATTGAGAAGCGCATTGCGGAGCAGTTCCAGGCATTCAAGGAAGGGTTCCACGAACTTATTCCTCAGGATCTCATTAATGTGTTTGACGAGCGTGAACTCGAGTTGCTCATTGGCGGTATTGCTGAGATTGACGTGGACGACTGGAAGAAGCATACAGACTATAGAGGATACACCGAGTCGGACGAGGTTATTCAGAATTTCTGGCAGGTAGTAAGATCATGGGACGGGGAACAAAAATCGCGTCTTTTGCAGTTCACTACCGGAACTTCCCGAATTCCCGTCAACGGCTTCAAAGATCTTCAGGGAAGTGACGGTCCGAGACGATTCACAATTGAGAAGACGGGAGAGCTCACCAACCTTCCCAAGGCACACACTTGGTATGTAATCAACTGCTGGTGCAATCTATTCTTTCTTTTAAGCTGTTCTTTTTGCTGACCAGATATCACCAGCTTCAACCGCATCGACTTGCCGCCTTACAAAAATCTGGACACGTTGCAAAACAAGCTGACGATAGCCGTTGAGGAGACAATGGGATTCGGGCAAGAGTAATGAGAGAAGTCCAATATGCATTAAGATGACCAGGGATATGTCAACCAGCGATGTTTTTGCGTTGTGTCTTTTTAAGCCCCCTATTGAACGCCACTCTGGACTCATGTTTTGTTGTATCCACACTCGTCCCCATCTCGCACATAATTTTGCCAGTCTTTGTTCGTACATTCGTTCCCTGATGAATACCGTGTGTCTCTCACACTTCTTCTTTTATTCTCTCTTTTCTTTTCTATTTGCTTGTTCTTTTCTTTTCCCTTTTTTTTTGGCCTTGTCTCTCTCTCTTTTGGTTATGTTGTGTCGTCTTTGGTTTGAAAGAAAAAATGGCTTTTTTTCGACAAGGGTCGTTGACGGCGCTGGCGGGTTCAATTGTCATGGAAACACGCAGGAGGCAGAGCGGGAACAGCACAGGCATAAATTATTTACAAATCAGCACGACGTATGAAACACGGAGAGTGGCAGCGAAGTAGATTCTTTTGCGCGCGGTGACTGCAGTGCCCGTGAGAGAGTGCTTATCAAAAACCCCCCGCCATTAGAGTGAACCGGCAGGCACCGAGGACGCGCACCAGTAACTTGCCCAAACGGATTGTCTGCGCAGGTATGAGTATGGGCATGCGGCAGTTCCGGAAACATTGCGTGGCTTGTTTTCAAATGTCGGTCCGTGGAACCGCCACGTACGTTCAGCTCCCCGTTGAATCACGACGAGAGTGCACAAGACGACACGATCAGGGGGCACATGTGTCTCGTTTTGCGATGGGTGGTGAAAAGAGGACCAGGCCGTGACGAGCAAGGTATTCGGGATGATGGGAATGGCACCACGCAGAGGAGAGAGCACTGCCTCGAATGGTGTTTGTACAAATTCGTATTGCAGAGTCGGTCTATCTTGACAACCGTGTACACTTTGGCGAACATGGGAAAGTCGGAAACTTTGCCAAAACTGCTGTGACCGCACCGGACCCCCCCGCCTTCCAGGTCCAGCCCAGCAAGAATGGGCTATATTATATGCAAGGTCATTTTATTGCTCGCCTCCCCCGACGAGCCCGTGTCGGGACGGGAGCTACCGACGGCACTCTCTGACGAAACGTCTCGGCTTGTTTCCCCCCGAGTTCCGCGTCCCCTTTTTTTACCTCCTGTACCACATGCGCGTGATCTTGGTGTTGCGCATCTTCCTCTGCAGCTGGAATATGCCGTACATGAGGGCCTCGCTGGTGGGCGGGCAGCCGGGGACGTAGATGTCGACAGGAACGATGCGGTCGCAGCCCCTGACGACGCTGTAGCTGTAGTGGTAGTAGCCGCCGCCGTTGGCGCAGCTGCCCATGGAGATGACCCATCGCGGGTCGGGCATCTGGTCGTAGACCTGGCGCAGGGCGGGGGCCATCTTGTTGGTGAGGGTGCCGGCGACGATCATGACGTCGGACTGGCGGGGGGAGGCGCGGAAGATGATGCCCAGGCGGTCCTGGTCGTAGCGCGGCGTCGAGAGGTGCATCATTTCGACGGCGCAGCAGGCCAGGCCAAAGGTCATGGGCCAGAGGGACGATTGCCGGGCCCAGTTGGCGACGACGTCGAGCGTGGTTCTGCGCGTCCCGGCGGGTTCCGGCGTTAGATCAGGCCAGGGCGCGGGGAGGAGAGGGCGTACAGTGCATATTGGACGACGCCTTTGGTGCCTTCTTCGCTGGGGAGAGGGACTTCCTTGCGAGGCTTGGCGAGGCTCGATCCCGCAGCGTGGGGGGTCAGGGAGCTCGCGTCTCGGCGGTGGGCGATGGGCAGGGCGGACGCCGCACGGAAGGGCATCACAGCCGTTGCCGGCTTGACTGTTTGCGAGGTGGGCGTTAGCTTTTCTTGGGTTTTGTTTTGCGTTGGGCGTTTATGCCGGCGAGGGCGGAGGAGAGGGGGGAGTTGACGGGGCGGCTGGGCTTCGCGGCGTACCTCGCAGGGCCATGGAGGCCGCGGACCGTGATGAAGAGAGCATCTCGACGGGGGGCGTAGGCGACGGCTTCTACGCGAGGGGGTCGTCGGGGCCGGGCGTCGAGGTTGAAGGTCGGGAGAGGAGGTGTGGCGATGACCGTCAGTCAGGTCTTGGGACGTTGAATTTGTCGTGGATTTGCCTCGCTGATGGGAATTAGGGCCGTTCTGATTGGCTCATGTGGTCTGGTGGGTGCGAGGTTTACCCGGGTAGGACCGAGGATCCCACCCGGCTACCCTGTAGGCGGCTGGTGGTGTGGAGGTCGAGCGAGCGGCGGCTTTTTGTCTTGATGAATTTTCTGCGGAGTACGGAGTAGGTAACTCCGTAGATACGCGTGTGTGCGTGCGCGTGTGGGAAAAGAGAAAAATTGACGTGGTGGTTTATGGTGGGTCGCGACGAAATCCCAGCTTCTTCTCGAGCGCTGCTATGCCGCTGTCTGTGGGGACGGCCAGCTGGATGGCTTTCTTTTTGGACGGGATTATGGTATTGGGTGCGTGCTGTTGGTAGCAACGGCAAAGCATCCCATATGTTTCAAGTGCCACGACTGCGCAATCTGCAACAGTTCCGACGTTCCGACGGGGAACACAGAATGCGAGGGGAGGGTATGATGAGCCAATCAACATCCAGCGGGTGCGCCTTGACATAAGCTTATCTAGCTTATCTGCCGGCCTTGCGCAGACTCGTGGCACGGGGCACCTCAGTAGTACATCATGGTGAGCCCTGGCGAGCCTTGTAATAGTGGGGCGTTGCACGAGTAGTGCGTAGTACACTGTACATGCTCCAAGTACCAAGTACCGCGATTCGGACATTTGTCCTCGATCTCGTTCTTGTTCTTGGACAACCCATCAGACCAAATCGCTTCGGCACCACGAGGGAAAGAGAAGAGAGAAAGGGGGCGAAAAAAAAAATCGGGAAAAAAAAAGAATATACTCATGGTCAAATGCCCAATGCCCAACACCAGACGCTGAACGCTGAACGCCACACGCCCGGCATGGTCACGTCCAAGACTTGGAAGCGCTTGCGTCTCCGACTCTGGCCGTCCCGTCTCGCCCTGCGCTACAAGACCGTCATCATCATCATCTTGGTGTTCATCGCCAGCTTCACGCTCTGGCACGATGCCAAGCTTGGGAATGTTCATCTTCCACTCAGGACCAACACCAGGGCCGCGACCAGGCATCCTGTCCGGCAGCTCATGGTCGAGGCCATGGCCCGTCACAATGCCCTCCTCGCCAAACGGACCTTCGCCCTCGACGCGGCTGCCGCGCAGTATCGCAGCCGACGAGGACGGCACCCTCCGCCCGGCTTCGACAAATGGTTCCGCGCGGCCCTGAGCGCCGACGCCGTCATTGTCGAAGACTACTTTGACAGGATATACAAGGACCTGGCTCCCTTTTGGGGCCTCGACCCCGAATCGACCAAGAAGCGTGCTGGTGCCTGGCACCACGTGGTCAGAGTCCGCAATGGCAATGCCACCGGCCAAGGAGACACCACCGGCCGAGTCCCTTGGCTGCAGCTGTGGACTGCTCTCGTCGCCGAGTTCGCCGAGCACTTGCCCGACGTCGACATGCCCATCAACTACATGGACGAGCCCAGACTTCTCGTGCCCTACGATACCATTGCGAGCCTGGTGGCAAGGGAAGCCAGGGAGAGACGCAAGGTTGACCCTCGCAACGCCACCTCCGAGTTCACGGGACTCGCCGCCGTCGACGCCGCCAAACCCGATCCTTACGATCCTCACTGGCACGGACCCGGCCACCAGTACTGGGACCTATTTGTCAAGACGTGTGGCCCCGACACCCCAGCCTTTGGCGTCGAGCAAGTCCGCGACATGTCTGGGCCGGCCGAGTTTCCGCAAGACTACAGACCAAGTTACGCCTACAGAGGCTACGTCCGAAACTTCACCGCCTCCTCAAATCCCTGCCTGCAGCCGCATCTGCGCCAGCTCCACGGCAGCTTCATCGAGCCCATCAGCCTGTCCTCCACGGAAGAGCTCATCCCCCTGTTTGGGGGGTCCAAGCTCCCCACCAACAACGAGATCCTCATCCCGGGCGCCATGTACCTCGACCAGGGCGAGTTCTACTCTGGCGGCGAGTCGCACGGCCCGTCGTGGGATCGAAAGAGGACCGCCGCCGTCTGGCGTGGCGAGAGCTCCGGCGGCCGCGCGCGAGAGCCCAACTGGCACCATTTCCAGCGCCAGCGCCTCGTCCAGATGCTCAACGGCACCGTCGTCTCGCAGGTCGAAAAGTCCGGCGTCCGGGCCAAGACGTTTGAGCGCCCCCCCGAGTCCATCTATCCCAGTCCACGCCTCCGCGACGGCAACTTGGGCCCCTTTGCCGCCGAGATTGCCGACGCGGCGTTTGTCAAGCTGTGCCCGCCCTCGGACTGCCCCTTTTACAGCGACGCCTTCTCGGTGCGGGAGCATCTGCCCATGAGGCAGCAGTACCAGTACAAGTTCCTCCCCGACGTCGACGGCAACTCCTTCTCGGCGCGGTTCCGCGGCTTCCTCCGCTCCACGAGCCTGCCTCTCAAGGCCACCATCTACGCAGAGTGGCACGACGACCGCCTCACCCCCTGGGTGCACTTTGTCCCGTTCGACAACACCTTTCAGGACCTGTACCCCGTCCTCGACTTCCTCTCCGACGTCGACGGGACGGGGGACGCCGCCGCCCGCTTCATCGCCGAGCACGGCCAGTCGTGGGCCGAAAAGGTCCTCCGCAGAGAAGACATGGGGCTGTACGTGTGGCGGCTGCTGCTCGAGTGGGCGAGGGTGTGTGACGAGAACAGACACACCCTCGGCTACGTCGATGACTTGACGAACAAGAAGGCCGGTGAGTGAATGGAAGACGCAAGTTGGTCATGGCGTTGTTGCTTCGTCCCTTTTTTTTTTTCCCCTTTCCATCAAGGAGTATTTCCTCATCTCTGTTTTGGAAATCACCCGCAGTCCCCTGTTGGTTAATCGCGCATAAGCATTCGGACGGGCGTCTCGGCGTGGTCTCTTTTATTTTTTTTTTCTGTTCCCCCGGCGCCCCGTTTTATGCCTTGTAAGCATACTGCCCGGGGGGGGAGAGGAGGGATCCAAGTGGCTTGAATAGTGTTTGTTGGACTTTTGGATGGTCTGGTTCGGGCTTCCACACCCCCTTTTTTTTTCCCCTTTGGATGACACGGGGCCAACGAAGCAAAGTAGACAGATGGGTGGTGTGAATTCATATGAGTTCCTTAACTATTGCCAACAGAATACCAGGCTATGCTCGTTGCTTGTATATGGTGCCGCGTATATCCCCCGCGCCCGCCCGCCTGCCCGCCCGCCGTTGCACGTCCAGTGATGAGAGCGAGCCCTGCAGAGCACCCAGCCGCCGCGACGTGTCGTGTCTGTTCCCCATCCTGGCGCCTCTACAGCTGGAGATTTGCGAGGAGTGGCTTGCTAGGCCCGCCTTTCAGGTGCGCGGCCGACCCCTTGTACAGGCTCTGCCAGATAAAGGCCTCGCTGAGGAGCAGCTCAATGTCCTTTTCTGTCCACGTCTTGGTGGGCAGCGACTGGAGGAACATCATGATTTCTTGAAAGTCCATACTGACCAGCTTGTCGGACCACTTGACGAGGAGGGCGGCGCAGACGTACAGGTGGAACTCGGAGAAGCCTTGCTCCTCGGCCTGTTACACGGTCACGTAGTTAGATGACGAATGTTGGCGGGGAGACAGACACAGACACAGACACAGACACAGGGAGGAAACAAGACGTACGAGGTACGTGTCCCACATGCGGATGATGTTCTTGACGCTGATTTCACGCATGAGGAGGCAGTTCATCCAGCGGAAACTGAACTGGATAAACTCGACGCCTTGCTGCTCGAGGTGCTTGGAGAGGGTGGCGTCGATGCGGGCCGTGAGGTCGCGCAGCGCCCCGACCTGGCGCTGGATGCCGGGCTGCGCGACGATGTAGTGGTCTTGGATGCCGTCGAGGAGCTTGGTCAGGCACCAGAAGGAGTCGGCCTCCACGGCGTCGAGTACCGACCTGGGCAGCTGGCCCGGGTCCATGCCGGCCTCGATGTTGGGGTCGGCTATGTACAGCCCGAGAAAGACCTGGAAGAAGGGCGTGACGAGGTCGTTGATGCCCTGGACGTAGCCGCTTGCCGGGTGGCGCACGGCCCAGAGGTACAGGATGCGCTCGAGAGACCGTTGCGTCGCCTCGTAGCTGTAGAGCTCGATGTGCGGGTTTGTTCGGGGTATGTCGATGCTGATTTGGTGCCAGATGGCTTCGTCCAGCCCCCGTGCTCGACCGGCTGAGGATACGTTGGGGCCGACCCGTTCAAACGCCTGTCGCACGCCGTCAACGTATTCTTTCCGCTTGCGCTCCAGCGTCGCTACCCTTCTTTCGCTGTTGGTCGGCAGGTAGCTGAGGAGGAGTTGCCACGTCATGGCGCGCACTTCCTCGGGAACTCCGGACCAGGCCAGCGCTCGAAGGTCGGGTAGTGATATGGACGACGCTTGGAGGAGTTTCTTGAACTTGTTGATTCTGGTGATTCGAGAGTTGATGGCATCGGCTTCTTTCGTGGTTGCGTCGCTGGAGGTGGATGGGTAATTGATGAGATGCAAGGCATTGGCGGGATCTATATTGTTGTTTGTGGTCAGCGCGAGAGTCTGGTGTGCCCTGGGGCGTTGGTTTATCAAGGGAAAGGAAGGGGGGAGGTGAGCTACCTTGAAGAATGTCTTTATACTGCGGCCGCAGGATTTTGCCCTCGCTCTTTTTCGGCATGGGATACGTCAATGATGGTCGCTCGACAGCAATGTCAGCACTATTCGAATGGCGCCTTGTCCCTAAGCCAAACGACCCATCCAATGCTGGTGTGAGACCTCCGGCGTTGGTTTTGTTTTGCGTCGCCGTCCTCCTAGACCGTCTCTTCATGTTGGACAGGCTGGGCAGCCCAAAGTCGTCGCCGTCGTCATCATCGTAACCGAGCATCTCATCTTCGTCTGCTTTCCAGTCATCGTTGGTGTTGGAAAGAAAATTGATGTAGCTTTTAAAGGGCGGAGAGCTGGCGCCGCCTGCTGACCCTCGTGTCGGAGGGGTTGCTTCACCTGAGCGGCCGACTTTGGTGACGGAACTTGAAGGAGGTGTCCTGGGTCGGTTGCTGGTGAGGCTTCTAATCAAACGGGCAGGTAAGAATATCATGTCGGGCTCGCGATGGGGGACAGAGGACGGACATGACTCGAGCAGGAGCACCTACAATGAGTCGAATTTGAGCATATCGGCATGCGAATAAGCTGCGCCCACGACGAAGTTGGGATCGCGGCCTGCAGGCGACGTCACACTTCGCTTAGGAGCATGTTCTCGAACCGGAGGTCGCCAAAACGGGGAGGCTGATCTGTAACTGTCATGAGTGTCTGGTGTGCCTGGTCGGAGCAGAGTCAAAGAAGCTGGGACAGCGTACTCGGAGCGGTCTGTGCTCGAAGGCATTATGCATCAGCAGGACAGTTGCACAAAGAAACAAGGATTGGACAAGAAATTGGATGGATTGGGCTACATACCGACCTGGACCATTTCCTGCGGCTGCTGGGTGGGCTATTAGCAAGCGATGAAACAGCAGGCATGTGCCCGACGGGGATGTCGATGTCGATGGCCATGACGATGTCGATGTCGATGTCGATGATATGCCACGACATGACAGGCGAGCGAGGTGCGACGAGGGCGATGAGGGGCGACGAGGGGGACATACTGCAGCTGCCGGCTTCTTGCCGCTGCCAGATGACGACCACATAGTCACGGTTGGTCGTCGAGAGGGCGAGATGGACGCTTCATTCTGCGAAGATTGCGCGGGTGAGGCCGGGAGAGAGCCTCGTTGCGCGAGGACGTTGGCGGTTCAACGGGTGAGTGACTTTGATGTTGTCACGGACGCTCAATGGACTTTGACTTTGGAGTCTGGTGGATCCCGCGCTGTGGTGGCAAGGCACCGGCTGCTGAGATTAGTGGGGCTTCCCCGCTGCCGCCCACTGCCGCCCGCTAACACTCACTATGTGCCTCCCGCCACAGCTCACCTGCCTCCAAACGGCACGCCGTGTCAATGGCATCGCGTCAGGCGATCGTTGGATCGGATTGTCTATCAAAAAAATCAAAAATTCTGCACAGCTGAGGCTGCGTAATTAAAGCTGTACAACTTGTTTAACAAGTCGACTTTCACACGTGACAAATGTATTCAACCCACGCCGTTTGCTGGGCACTGAGCAGCTCGCCCTTGCAAATTGGAGTCCTGGTCCACATTATAACTTAGTTATTCGTCTGCCAGGCTGCCCTGGAGCCCTGGAGCCCCGGAGCACCAAGCCCAATCTGGCACGGACCGTCTTAGTCAGCGAGCCGGACAACTCCGCAGCTCCTCGCCATTCCTAGGGCACCACTTCCAACTTTTCACTCAACCTCCTTCAGCATCCCATCGACGACGCAGCTCGCGCCATCATCGAGTGAACCGTAGCATATCGCCGGGCGTCTTGCCATCTTGATACTTGTCCGCAGACGCTTACGTCACTGTTACTTACGTTTCTCGGCGTCACCTACTGCGCTTGGCATTCCGGCGTCACCTGGAGCAGTCCTGCAAGCGCTTCGACCTCCTGACTTGCTTACAGCCCGTCCTTGTTTGGCCTTTGACAATCACAAACATGACAGAAACCGAGAATTTTGAAGAGGACCTTTTTGCTGACCTGTATGCGCTACAAATAACACGACTGCACTGGATCGTCTCTTTTGACTAACCGTGATTCTAGCTACGATGACAACGACACATCCGCAAAGGGGCCCCCCGCCCCAGCACCTGTAGCGGAACCGCCCGACAATGACCAGCAGAAGTCGTTGCCGCGACCCAGTAACGATGCAAACGAGAACGAACACATGCATCACGATGGCGGAGAAGAAGAAGATGACGACGAAGTTGACTTTAACCTCGGAGGCGGCTCTAATAATGCTGTCGCTGCTCCTCCCCAGGATACCGGCTCGTCGACCCCTCCGTATGGAACTGTTCACAAGGCAAGCGCCAAAGATGATGGGTAAGTCTCGTTGCAACCTAACGCGCATGCCATTTCCTATATTTTCCTATATCCCCCCCCTCTTTTTTTTTCCTGCACCATCATTCTCCGTGCCCCTTGACACTATGGCCCGTGTCGATGGCTGCTGGTGGTCCTGGTCAAAATGGAGACCATTGGCAAATTGGTCGGGCTGGTACATGGGTAGACTGCCTGTTTTCTCCGCACAGGTTTGAGCGGGTGACTTCACTCGGGTGGAAATATAGACGCTGGGACAACTAGCTGGTTTGGCAGATATCTCAAGAAATATTCTCCACGTCCCCACAGGGAAGCTTCATTCTAGTCTTGGAAGTATGACTAGTACCGAGTGCCACCACCTACGGGTTGGACACCACAGGACAACAAGGCGTGTGATGAGTCTACAAAAGGCAGAGAAGAGAGTTTTGCGAACTTGCGGAAAAGAGAAGAGGAAACAAGGAAAGACACTGGAGTGTATTTTTCTTCCTATGGAGATGATCGAAAGCACAAGCAGCCGACTCTAGTCTATCTCAGGGCGCCGCCTTGTCTTTTATAGCCATCAGCAACGGGATATCTGGAACTCCTTGATGCGGGTTTCGTACACCTTCGAAAGCTGTAGCCGCTAGATTGACGGCGACTAGCGCTCAGGGTTAGAGCATAACTAGCATGAGACAGTCAGTATGGTCCAGACAGTACAGTTCAGAGGAGAAGAGCCAGACGATAGCACAATTCGAAACCAGACAGAAGCAGAACAGAAAGAAAAGAAAAGACAGAATCGACAGAAGGGACATAGCATTGGGCATTCCATGTTGGCATTCTGTGGCCTTGTCGTCGTGTTGGCTGCCTTTGTCGCGCACTTTGCTGCGACATTGGCTCCGCCTTTACCGCCACGTCTCTGTCTCCCTCCGTCTCCCGTGGCCGACTATCAGAGCCTACTGTCATGAACGCCTCCGATTCCTGCGACCAGGCCAAGTCACATGGCTCACACGGCATGTGAGATGCAAGCGCGGCGACAAAGGTTATGCCAACATGTCCGGACGGACTTGTCCGGGGTCCGCTCCACGACATGCCGGGTTTCGTCGGCGATGATCTATTCTCTGCCCTGTACTCCCGCTCACCAAGCCGGCCTGATGCAGAGACGGCCTGTACTCGGGCCCATCCTGCCAAAAGCGGCCGACAATCATGTCTTGAACGACTGCCCTTGTGTTCTGACGGACCCTGTTTGTTGCCTATCGTCCCTTTGTTGTTGTTTTTGCACCGGTGCTGTTTGTGTGCACAGCACAATTGCTTTCTGTGCGTATGAGACGACGGCTGATCATGTGCTTAGAAAAATGTTCATTGGCGGGCTGAATTGGGAGACCACCGACCGTGAGTTGAAAAGCGTCTTGCGGTATCAGCAGAGGGGAGCCTTCTAACCCGGCGGACCAGAATCACTACGAGAGTACTTTGAGCAATTTGGCGAAGTTGTCGAATGCACCGTCATGCGTGACAGTAGCACCGGACGATCTCGTGGGTTTGGATTTCTGACCTTCAAGGATGCCAAGACTGTGAACATCGTCATGGTCAAGGAGCACTTTTTGGACGGCAAGATTGTGAGTCGGTCCTTCTCGCACGAGGCTACGTATGCGCCGTATACTGTGAACATTGCCCTAATGAAAGCCCCCCCCCCCAGATTGACCCCAAGAGAGCCATACCGAGAGACGAGCAGGAAAAGACGAGCAAGATCTTTGTCGGTGGCGTCAGCCAAGAGACGACGGATCAAGAGTTTCGAGACTACTTTGCGCAGTTCGGACGAGTCGTCGACGCCACGCTCATGATGGACAAGGACACAGGGCGTCCCAGAGGGTTCGGTTTCGTGACGTTCGAGAGCGAGGCCGGCGTCGAGGCGTGCATCAACGTGCCCCTCGAGATTCACGGCAAACCCGTCGAGGTGAAACGGGCACAGCCGCGCGGCAATCTCCGGGAAGAGGAGGAGGCCGCCAAGCGCAGCAAGTTCAAGAAGGACGACCAGCCAGGCGGGCAGGGCACGAGCCAGCAGATGGGCAACAGCGGCATCACGCCCCAGGTCATGGCGCAGTACTTCCAACGGATGCAGCAGTACTGCGCCATGGTCACGGGCCAGATGGCCATGAACCGCGGCATGAACATGAACCCGGCCATGTGGCAGCAGATGGTGCAGATGCAGCAGATGCAGCAGATGATGGGCCGCGGCGGCGGGAACAACCCGCAGGGCATGATGGGCAGCAACATGAACCCCCAGATGATGCAGCAGATGCAGCAGATGATGCAGCAGCAGCAGATGATGCAACAACAGAACCATCACCAGCAGCAGCAGCAGCAGCAGCAGGGGCCAGGCTCGCCAACACAATCAGATCAAGGCGGCTACGGCCAGTTCAGCCAGCCACCACCCAGCGGCCCATCCGGCGGCAGGAGAGGCGGCAGAGGAGGAGGAGGAGGAGGAGGCGGCGGCGGCGGCTACGGAATGGGTGGCGGCCGCGGAGGCGGCGGCGGCGGCGGCCCAACCTCCTGGGAAGGAATGTACGATGACGTCCCGCAGCCCGACGCAGGAGGATATCGTCGTGGCGGCCACGGCTCAGCGGACGGCGGCCACGGCGGCGCCGCGCCGCTCAACGCCCCCACGGGCCCCAAGAATGCAGGTCGTCCAGGCGCGAATTACCGCGGCGGCGGCCGTGGCGGCGGCAGAGGATACCACCCGTACGCTCGGTGAGGTCATGCATGACGTCTCCGAGCTTGCTCCCGTCTCACCATACTACACGCGGAGGGGGGACCGGCAGAGGCCCCTTTGAAAAGACACTGGCCGCTGGACCGCTGGAGGCGACAGCAAGGGAGGGGAAGAGGACGGGAGATTGAAGCCATGTACTATACCATCTACCTAGGGAGACTCGAGACGCCGCCACGTCGGTCGAATGCGTGAAACTGCTAGGCTTTACAGCTCGTGTACCGTGTACTCTGTGCCATCGACGCATCCACCCGTCGGTTGCGTGCCTGCGGACGTCGGGCCATGCATGCCAGGCCGCGTCGCCACGGAGGCGCCATCATTCTTGGCACCGCGCTCGCCCGGCACCGGTCCGCAGACGGATATAGATGCATGCCGAGACTAGATTGGACGGGTAGGTGTCTGTCAGGCTCTCACGGCCGGTATCTGAGACAGGCACGGCAGAGTATCCGAGCCATCGCCATCGCGGACCTGGACTGGGAGCCAACTCGACAGCGCCTGGGTAGGCACGCAGCTTGCATTCATGGACATGTCTTCATCGTCTACCGGTGGCACCTCCGCCGACCTGGACACGAAACAAGAAATCGAATCAACTCTACGTTGCACGTCCCCGTGCCTGAAATGCCTGGAAGCGCGCGCTGATGAAGAGTACACTACACAAACGACGGCCCAATGAAAAAGTCTCGAATACAATACAATGCCCGATGCGAGCGGGAGCACGGAGCATCCCTTTGCCCGTTCTGCGCCCCCGGCGACGCGGGACAAGAAAAAGAAAAAGAAGAAAAAAAGTACATGCTTGGTCGTCAGTCATCAGACACGGCCGGCTAGAACCAGCTCCAGTTGTCCACCTCCTCCAGCTTTCGAAGAACCCCGACCGAGTCTGCGAAGAGGATGTTTCGCCCGCCGAGACAGTCCTTCTCCAGGACATCTCGAACAAAGCCCACAATGGCCTGCGAGTCCTCCCGCCTGGGCAGGGCCTGCAGCTGGCCGGGTTCGAGTTCGGCCACCGTGCGGATCCAGTTGATGGCTCTGGTCCGCGCGGGGAGCCGCTTGCCCGTCGTCGTCGCCGTCGCCGTCGTCGGGGTTGTCCGTTTGCCAACATGCCCGAATGCCCAGCAGATGAGGGTGCAGACGTACAACCCCCAGTAGTCCGAGATGTCCGTGCAGGCTGTCACGCCGTGGGAGGCGCTGCTGGCCTTGGCCGGGTTCCGCCCCAACTTGTCCGAGAGGTCCAGGAAGTCTCGAACGGCTCGGGCTGCGAAGACGGTTGCGATTGCAGACGTGCCCGAGTCTCGCCACCGGCCCAACTTTTGTTTGTACTCGGCAAACAGGCTCGCGTCGGGTATCTTCTTGTTGAAAACCCAGCTGTCGCCCGAGACAGCCAGCAGAACGTGCAGCGGCGTGTAGTGTAAAGCGAGATAAGCGTTGGCGCCTGGCCGGCGGTTAAAGGATTTCGACATGGGCAGATCGTTGCTGTTGAAACCCGACACATCTCGCGTCAGGCCCACCTCCTGACGGCTTTGTCGGGTTGGCAGCAGAAGCGCGTGGGCCGCAATGACGAGGGACACGTCAAATGCCGGGGTTGCTTCCGTGGTTGCCAAGTTCGGATTCTCCATCAAGTCGCCAATCGTGGTCAACATCATGGTCGACGTGTCAATTGCAGCCCATGCCTCGGCATTCCTGGCCTCCCAGAGGCTCGTCGTGCTCCCGGATAAAGTAATGTGAAGTTTTGATGAGGCCAGGCTGTCCAAGCCCAAAACGGTGGAATACGGCTGCTCATGATAGCACATGCCGTGAACGCTGAGGAGAAAGCAAGCAGCCAACAGTCTCCGACACGATTCAATGTACACCCACGCGTTCCAGCGCTCGGTGTTGCCGCCAGATGGTTGCGGAATAGTCCCAGAGCAGTACCCGGACACCTATGAAACATTTATACGTCAGCTTATAGCTCCAAGCGTGGCTTGGCAACAACCGCCGCCTACCGTTTGACATAGGGTGAGGAATCGCGACGAGGGTTGATAGTCATCCTTGTGTCGCCCTCGGAATCTGGCGTAGTACTCGCAGAGCAGGACGGTTTGCATGGCCGGTAAAGACCATGTGGCTGACTCTGTAAACTTGATTCACGCATCCCAAGTTAGCTCATGGGGAGGCTATCGGGTATGAAAAAGCAAGCAGGGAAGAAGGTTACACCCACGGTTTTTGATTTGTGCCAGGCATAAGAGTGTAGTTGACTGCCGTTGATGCGATGTTCTCTGTGGCCCAGAAACTGCGTCGCGAGTGCGGCCATGGCACACCGCAAAACGTCTACATGCTCTGGGACGGCGCCCGCACCATCCTCCACCGTTGATTTGTGAATAATGGGATAGAGAGGGTACACCTTATCCCAGAAGATGTCGATATAGTTTGGCAGGGCACTCCGAGCTTCCCGATTTAATGACACAGGCATGAAGCCCTGAGCTAGCAAGCCCAGCCTCGAAATCGGCTCCGGTGGACACGGCAGAGGGTTGACGACACGATCCGTTGGCAGTGGTGCCGAGGTTGTGACCATTGTCTCCGATGACTGGCCAACGACTAGTTGAGGGGACATGCGCATGCTGGGAGCGGGAACATGAGGTCCATAGAGCCCTGGCGTTTCTCCATATCCGGGAATGCCAACAGTCGACTCGTCATCGTAAATGGAGGAATATGACTGCGGAGCGGAAGGGCCATACCCGTAGGCAGCATACCCTCCCGTGGCCATCACAGCTGCTGGCATGACCCTGGATGTTGGCTGATCAATGCGGCTGGTCCAGGCACTGTTCGAAACGGCCATGGACGATCGTTGACTGCCCCGTGAAAGTACGGCTGACGTTGAAAAGGGGCCAGAGGCTGTCGATAAGGGTGTCGTAATACGCGGGCCGGCCGGCCAGGTGATTGAGGTAGTAGGGATCGTCGAAACACAAATCGAGGCGCTTCCGTTGCCGTTGGCTAGGCTGGGCATGACTCGGAGTTGTTCTGCAAACGCAGCCGCAGCGGTCGTTGGCATGTTCGGCACCGATTCCACCAAATACTCGCTTTTGATACCGCCTATAGTGATTTCGTCTGGGCTGTGTCGTACGGGAACCGCTGTTGGCTTGGCCGAGTGTGACGCCCATGGGGAAGAGTGCAACGACAGGGTCGGGGTCGGCGCTGATGACAACGAGGTCGGTGAAGTATTACCATACGACTGTTGAACTTGAATCAATGATCCTGGTGGAGAACTAGGATAACTGGGTGGTCTTCGGCTACCTCCTTGGGAAAAGGAAGGACTAGACGATTGGCCATTACTTGACTTTCCCACGCGATCTTCCTGGTCACTGGGTGGAATTAATAAAGAAAGAAAAGGGCTCTTTTTTGGCGAAATCGGGAGGTGGGACTGCTTACTGTCGTTGTTGATGGCGCTCGAGGAGATCTCGCCGATGAAATATTTTGTCACATCCAGGAACTGTACAGGGCAAAGCCGGCGGCTGATGGCTAAGTTGATGGCGTCTTCGTGGTCCGGTTAGCAAAAACGGCGTCTTGCTCTACCATTTGACAAGAAGAAGAAGAAGCAAACCTCAAGTGCTCGGCTCGGGTAAAAGTCTAACCAAAACACACACACACACACAACACGTCAGCCAACACACATATGCGAGGAAAAGAGGCTGCAAGCGCTACCTTGGGTGGACGGCAGATATCACAGGTGTGGACTGGAACTCCCTTCCTTGCTCTGCTCACTCTTCCGGTGATAGGGGTCAGTTTGACGGGAACCTCTTGTTGAGGCGGGCACGGTCTCATTGGCGTGGCGGAGAAGGCACCAGCGGTTCCATGCCCATAGACTTGTCCTTGACCGTAGTGGGAATCCATAGAGTCGGCGCTGGCGTTGCTCGGGCGCCTATCGTGAGGATGCCGACTGCCTGGGTAACCGCCGTAGGCCATGCCCGGCGGGTGTTGATCGACCAGCAACGAATGCGAGGAGCGTGTTGGAGGAGTAAATCTTTGGCTGCGAGACGGCGACGCAGTCATGGAGTAGTCCGAGCCTCGACCGTACGGAATGGAGGCTGTCGAAGCATCCGGCGGATGTTGTAATGATCTTGATCCTACATCCATGGTCTTTAAAGAATGAGAGTTACTGGCATGATCGTCATCGGCATCGACGTTCATGATATTTCTAAGGCTGGCCATTGTTGGTGGCAAGTAAGATGGAAGCAGCTGTGTCAAGTGCCCGAGAGCGCCCTGCGTCGGAGAATGCTAATATCAACAACGACCTCGCACAGCCTTCTCGGCTGCTAAGTTAAGAAGCCTCAGGTAAGCAGGCAGGACCTATATTGGGAGAGATCTCCCGAGACCAGTAGCCAGAGCAAAGTGACCTCCGAGGCTGTGAAGGTCGGGCTCCGGTTGATGTAACAATATTGTTCAATAGACGAGGTGAGAACGCAGCTTTGGAGAAGAGCGTATGGCAGACCAGGACTCGGGACAGGTTGTCTTCAGCCTCATGAGACGACTGGGATGTTGAGATGACACACAGGACCCATCTGCGATGAAACGCACAAAAGATATCCTGGCGAAATATTCAGGACAAGAAGGCCATGATTACTTGATCACAGGTGAGCAGGCGGGATTTTAAAAAAGAGGGTTGAGACCAGGCAACTCATTGCGAACGAGACGGAAGATGACCCTTGATCCATCCCAGCGCCATGGCCCAACAGGCCTGGCAGCTGAGCCAGGCCCGCAGGAACGATTACCATGTACATGGCCCACGCCGCCTGAGGAAGGGAACAAGTCGCGTTCTGTGACGAATATGGTGTAGAGCGGGCTACGGGTTGCTGACAACTGGGGAAACGAAAAGCAGACCGCCGCCCTCGAGTTCTTGTTGGGCGATCCTTGTCGAGGCTGACAGCGTAAGATGTAAGAGCAGCCTCAGTGGAGGTGAACCAACCCGGCGGAAACGGGCTACGTGCATCCTACCCGCGACTCGTGAGCCAAGTACTAATGTAGGGGTCGCGAGAGGAATAGGGGCAAGGAAATACATATCCAGCCTCGTCCTGACTCCTGATCGAACCACCTGCTCGTTGTTGGCCCGGGGGTCGACTCGATAAAGACGTCCATATTGCTTGGTCCCCTTCTGTTGGAACGGTCCAAGGTCTGGCTGGCCAATGGCTGTCTGACTGACCGTAATATGAGCCTGGCCAACCATACTCCGTAGCTCGATGGGAACTCACTCTGCTCTACAGACGCCACAACAGCTCCCCCCCCCCCCCCCGGGCCACGGTTCGTCACTACCTCCTCTGTGCTCGGTATCTTGCGCAGCAATGCTCATGAACACACATGACTGGCCATGATGGCATCCACGCTTGAGCAGTCGCTCGAGATGTGCAGACAAACTGACCACCGAGTACTCCGTAAGAGCTGTCAGTGCTGGACCTTGACTGCGGGCACCAGACGTGGCGTTCCGCGGTCGTGGCGGGTATGGCGTCAAGTGTGACCAAGCTCAGTGGGGCATAACGACAGCGCTGAAAAGCCGCCGGAGCTCAAGTTATGGGCAGGATGGAGGGTCGAACCCAAGGCACGGCGTCGGTGGCTGCGAGGGTTGGCAAGCCGCTTGGGTCAGCGGAACACGGGGCTGGACGAGGGTGATGGGGAGAGCTGAATGATGGTGTTTGGAAGGGTGCGACGGTGTAATCAACCAACAGAACCCAGAACCTCGGAGCAGAGGTATTTGGGCATATTACTAGGGGTGCACACAGCTGTTGATCATCCGTGCCCCGTCTGCGGTTTCCAATACCGGAGGACCCTCGCGTCGGATTCTGTGCGCGTAATAAGGGGCAGGCGAGGTTGGCGGTGGACGCAGCTTGCGTGTCCGCAGCCAAGGGCGCACGGCATTCTCGGAAACATAGAGGGCTGGTGCTGATGTTGGAAATGTAACCCTAACTCGTGATTCCGGACCTGAGCACGCGGCGCGGAACACGCAGTAGTGATGATGTCCTGGATGTGACACGCCTTGCCAGTTCCAACGGGCCGTGATCGTCATGATCCCTGCTGCAGGACATGGGCAAAAAGCCGGGAGCAGAGCGCAGTGGAAATTGGCTCGGGAGGCTAGCGGAAAGAAGGGCCGCAAGGAAAAGAGAATCAAAGGCATGCCCGTGGGAAAGCGTGAATCTCCCGCGAAAATCATGGGGAAAGTTGGCAGGGCGCCTGCATGCTTGGTTTCTCGCACAAGACAAGGAGTCGATTGGCCTGCCCTGCTTAACGGGGTGTACTAAGTGCTCCGTGTCAGGCTGGCAGACGCAAGTCAGAAGATCGACAGTCGAATCAGACGAACGAAGGCGTCTTTTCGCAGGTCCATCTTGGCGGACGAGGGTGAGATTGTGCACCAATCAACGTGTGACGACGCGACTGCGCCGGCCAAGCCCGTGTGTAAGATATTTTGCCGCATGACGGACTATGTATTACTCCGTAATGTGGATCTGGCTTGCCTAAGTAGCTGGTGACCTTGGAGAAATGCAGTTGGGACGAGTCGCCATGAAACAACAAGCCAGATTCCGGACGGCTATTGGCCTGGCACGTCGCTTTGCGTAATTCGTTTTCGTAGCCCACTGCTACGTGATGAGACCGGAGCTAACGTTCACTGAACCCCGGCGGTGTACATGACGGACCGTCTGCCCACGTTGTGAGGTCAAAAACAGCAAACACGCACACACACACATGCTCTGTTTCTCCCGTTGGCCGTTTCGGCGTTCCTTGTCCATCATGTCTCTCTCTGTCTCTCCTTCTTCGAGTTTCGCTGATTGTTGGCCGAGCTGCGCGGAGATCCCCATTGTCTCGCCCCCTCGCCCAGATAAGCGGGAAGTGTGCGAGAGTTGAAAAGCGACTTGCCAGCCCGCTTACTCTGGTCGTGGTCCAAGGATTTTTTGCGAGGGGTTGTCGCGGGGATGTCATTTTTGCACCTCCGCTTTCGAGGATGCCATGGCTGCCGACGCATGCCACAGGCCATGGCACAGGCCAATGTTAGGAGGAAGCCAGGCGCTGAGCTTCAAGCTGGGGGGGCGCGCTGGTGCCGAGGACACGTTTCTGCCCCATCGGCGTCATGGAACGAACAAGGGCATCGGGGAATTGTCGCTCGTTGTAAAGCACGCACACGTACTCCGTACGGAGTACGAAGTACTGCAGGCCGTGTCTATGCAGTACCTGGGCTACTAGTCGTCAGTGCGTGACCTCTTGGAGAACAAGCGTTGGACTGTCGAACTGTATCAGAACTCGCCCCGGCTGGTTGATCGGCGAGTACGGATAGATGGACACGGCCAGCGGCTGAGCCAGTCAATAACCGGGCCAATATCTGTGTTTCCAACATGACCCATCGCGCGTGGTCGGTCCAGATGGACAATTCTGGAAGCAACCGGCAAGGGTCTAGCCGTCAGCTCTGGATCTTTCCCCATAGAGCAGGAAGCCGGATGGGAACCATCGAGCCATGCCAGACATAGGCCATCGAGTCAACGGGCTGTGTGTCAGGCATGCTCGCCGCTGCTACCCAGGGCTGCCGTCAGGGCTGCCACGTTGAGCGGCGCCTGTTCAACCAGTATCATGAGCGAAGCAGTCGAAGGGGTGGGATTGGTGTGGACATGTCCAAGGTAGGCCGGACTGAATTCGAAGCACCAGGGCCCGGCTTCCAGATGGAGGGTGTTTGCATATTCTCTTCCCTGTCTTTGCGGCCGGCTTCCACCAACTTGGGACGGGTGGAGGCATCATCCACCAAGGGTAGCGGGCGGAAGCAAGAAGTTTACGACCACCGCTGGGCAGAGTGGCATTGACTCCTCGTGCTGTTGCTGGACGAAGACGTTTTGGCACGTCGCAATGTCCACGTCGAGTCGACCCGCTTGACGTTCGCGCGCGCACTTCGGAAAGCGGGAGCCTGTGTCGTTCCTTCCCGATTTTCCGGGATGCCAATGAGACTGTGATGAGTGAGATGCAGGAGGGTGCATCGCCATGGTGGCAAGTCAACGTCCATGTCAGGCTGACACGAGAGTGCACCTTCATGTTTGACGAGGGCCTCTACGTGCCGAGTCTACTTTGCAGGTGCGTCAAGGGCGAGGCTGACTGTGTGGGCGCGTGAGCGTGACACTGAGACTCATCAGCTCGTGTCAGTGCAAACAGCGTTCATCAATCGCATCATTGCCAGCACCTGCCGGTGCCTATTTTTAGTCTCGGTGCTGCCGGTCGACCAAAACAAGACGCGTCGACCTGGCGCATCCGGTCAAGTCAAAGACTGGTGCCGTGCCTGTTTGCCGGGACTTGCAGCATGGCATGAACCCAGAACAGAGAGAAAACAAGAAGAAAGACACCAAATGAATGTAACTAGAAAAGAAAAGAGACGAAAAGAGAAGAAAAGAAAAGAAAAGAAAAGAGATACGGATACTACCAAGTACTACCAAGGAACCAACACAGCAATACCAGTTTATGCCCACCAGGGAAAGCCGCCTACAATCCATCACCACGGGCAGAAAAGGAGGGACGCTCTGCGGTACAGGGTAGGTAGACAGTCCCCAGACGACGGATGGCCCATCGCCCACCGTCATCGTCATTGATCAACGTCCATCAGCCCGACAGGCCACCCAAGCATCCGTCCCAACGGCCCAAAACATCCAGATAGCCCCCATAACGGCGTCTCTCGTGCCGGCGCCGAGCGCTCTCCCGGGCCTCCCTCCATTGTCCACACCCGTCACTTGACACTTTGCGACTACCCACAGAGCCCTGCTCGTCTGAAAAGACGTGCGGAAGCGTCCAAGGCCCGGGCTCCCCTTGGCTCGCTTGCGTCTGTCCGGCGCGAGTCGTCAACACCCTCAGCCATGGTCCCCGACGGCTGCGCGGCTTATATTTGGGGGCGAGGGGCTGCCGTGTTCGTGAACGGCACCGCGTGTTCAAGTCTCCAGATCAAGCCTAAGCCTCAGCCTCACAAACCATGAGACTCGGCACCGCGAGAGCGACGGGCTTTCTCGTCCAAGCCAATGTGTATAAGAGGCGCAGAGGGCCTGACAGAGGCCGTAATCGCGGCAAGGTGGTTTGCGTTCAGGCCGCATGCCGAACTCAAGCTAGATGCCCGCTCGCGGAGCTGCCGCGCGAGAAGGCTCTCCAGCAACCAAGTTGCGAGTGACGGGCTGTATTGCCGATCCGTGGCTTCGTGGGGCGCT